GTGGGTTACCGACCTCCAGGTTTTGGTTGATGCCACAAAGCGTGTAGGGCAGAATGAATCTTGTGGAAGCACGCTTCTGAAGAACGCGGTTTACCAGCTGTGGTCAACGTTGGACAATCAGCTCGTGGAAGCTATGATTCTTGATAAGACCGATTTGGCGCTTTTGAAAGCCACGCACCTGGAGCTGTACAAAGAGGAGGGCCTGAGCGATATTGCTTCATTTGATGGGGAGTCTTGGACTCAATTTGAGGGGTTTGCAAAGAAAATCCGATTCCTTCTGCGAGAATATGACGGGATCCGCGCATTGTTCACCAGTGCTAGAACGCTGCAGGAGTTCACTTCAAGGCGCAAGTCCGCTGAGGAGGCTTTCGAACTCCGTGAAGCGGTGCTTACCAAACTAAGGCAATTTGAAGGAAAGCAGCTTCAAGTCACATACCCCGAACATGCCAATCAAATAATGCAGGCCTATGTCTCCATCGCCGAGAAAGCCGTCGAGCGCGCTGCGAGCATCGGAGCATCGACAAATGCGAGGTTTGAGGCAATGAGGCTGGACATTACTGAAGGTGGCTTCGTCCCGTTGCCCCCAGCACAGTCAATACACTACTTGGCGAGCTCGCTCTTCACGAATCTTCTTAAAGACGTGCAGAACCTCGAGAAGGAAGTCGGCATTACTTTGGCTAGAGCAAAGCGCCATTTGGAATCCATTATGGGTGACCATACCGCAATGCCCCCAGGTATTGCCCAACGCATGGAATTGGCAAGAATGTACTGCATGAAGGCAGCAGAAAATTCATTTATGATGTTTGGGCTTGAACAACAGGCAAAACAGCTCGTTTCTGAGTTCAGCCTGCTAGAGGTACTTGATAAAGACTTGACAGAAAGCGTTCGGCTGTTTCATCTCTCCCGGAGGTACACTTTTCTCGAAAGTGGCCAGGAGCATGAGGAGGCCATGCGCTTAACGGAGTCGTTTCAGACACTCCTCCAAAAGGCGCGGGCATCAATGGGCTTTACTCAGATCGCCGAAGCTGCCGCAGACCTCAGAGTGACCGTGGACAAACTCAGGCGATTAGTCTACAAACACCAAAGAGGGATTTTGCGCTAAGATTTACCTTCGGCGAAGTGCTAGGTGCGCGCGCAGTACAGAGCTGCTGAACGGCCAGCTACTGCGAGACACAGGACGCGCTTGGCAGCGGAACGGCTTGCTGCATAGGACATACACAAAACCCATGGACTGGTGAAGGGCGTGTGTCGTCTACGCCCGGCGTTTCTGTCCGGAGGCTGTGCCGTGATTGGTATTAATAGGCTCAGTGTTGCCCTTGCGCATTGGCGTTTTATTTGTAATAATAATCATTGAATTATTTTCGTATCTCTGCCCTGCAGCATCCACCTGCACCTTCGAAGGAGGGTAGGGGTCTGCGGGCTGTAGGAGCTAGCATTAAATCGTATTCGGCATGCGGTCAAGCGACACGAGAGGCACCCCAGGCTCTCCACCTTTTTCAGCTCGGCCAGCTAGGGACCAAGAGCGCCATGGAGGCATGAATGTTAAATTACCATGCATCAGATACTTATTTAGAAGAATGTTGCCCCCTGCATGCTTAGCGAGAATGTTCTCGTACCCTTGGTGCCTTTCGGTAGGTTTTTCTGGGACCTTAAGGGGGCCGCGCTTGCAGAATTCCGCGCATGCTCGGCAGAATTGTTGAGGTCCTCTTTTTGTGTGATATTTTTTTAAGGCTTGAAGAGTTTACAAGTGACGCACCCTAATGCCTTTTTGGATACCCTGGGGACCGTGTGTGTGCCTTGTACGGGGAAGAGAACGAAGAGGCCCCGTGGCTAGAAAATTTTGCTAAACTTTCCTCGTTGAAGATTCACGAGTGCTAAAGTCCTTTTTCGTAGACTCTGTCGACACTGCTGGGTCATTCTGTGCTTAAATTGGGCAGCCTAGATCGCAGCCTGAGGATCGAAAGTTTTTGCTCCTAGGGGGACTGGGAGGGGAAGGGGCGGCTCACGACAACTTGCACACTTGTTAGAGTGCCTATGTCGCCCATTAGGCAGCCGGCTGCAGTCAGTTGTTTCGAAATCTCGACATTCCTAGTTGCAGGAGCAGTATGCGGCAGGTGGAACGCCCATTCGGTACCTTATGATACACTCGTTATCTAAATCCAAGAATTGATGAGAAAATGATTATTCAGGCTCTCTGTGGGTTCTCTACCTCTCGCCTCTATCAGAGAACGCTCTTTTATCGATAATAGAACACACGATGCTATTTATATATCATGTGCTCTTGATGCAGGGTTCATATGGCATTGAGTGCTCAAAGTGCGTTGAGGGAGCAACTAGACGTATCCCAGCTGTGCCTTTTGCCCTAATCTCGGGAACGCTCAGAGGGTGGGCTTTTTTTTTTGAGAAACACGCAGCAAGTTACTGGAAAGTTTGTGTTTGGAATGTGGAATGCAATGTGTCACTGCAGAGGCCTTGGAAGCAGCGTCACACGGCCTGCCACACGGCTCCTCTCTCGTGAGAATTTAGTCTTTTAGGGCTTGAAGCGATAAGGATATATATGCATATATTTGTACGCACATTGGTGGCCCAGCGTAGCACCGTGGGTAGAAGTCATTCCTAGTTCGTGTACGAGTCGGCCTCCACAGCTCGAGAGTGTATCAAGGCCAAGAGAGGTTCACAGGTGCAGGGGCGCTACGTATCATCCAAATAAGAAGTCAGTCACTTTGTTTTGGGAAACTTCCTGGGGGTCTCGCCTACTTAGATGGCAACATCCAGACAGTCGCTGCCGACTTTATGCACATAAGGAGATCGGGCAAAAGGATCGACCAATGAAACTAGGCTGTAATGTGCCTCGGGTGCAGCCTGCCATCAGTCACGTTTCGCCTTGGCAGGTGCCCCGGCCGTTCGCAGGCGTACCCAAGACTCTATTAAGCTCTCATTCTAGCTCGGCATGACCACGGCTTTCCTCTGGAGCCGATCTAGAATACGTAACCTACTTTAAAGCCTAAAAATGAGGGCTATACGCCGATGCAACACAGCACTGCCGGCGGACTTGAGCGACCGACGTTTAGTGCAGTGCTCCATCATACGCCTCTGCAGTGCGGGACGTGACATTTCACATCGCAATCCATAGTAGTGGAAAGCCAATGAGTGCCTTCCAAACGAAATTTTCCCTCCTCTGTATTCGCCGCCCAAAGGGAGTTCTCGACATGAGGGGAAAGGGGAAGCAGGTTGAGTCTAAAGCTGCACTCTTGGTAAAGGACAGTGAGCATTCATAGCTAGTTGCTCGTGACATCTAGAGCACACACATACACATCGATGGTTGTTGTATCAACACATCGATTGCGCATGAATTCTTAGTTTTATATAACTAGCGTGTTGTAGGAAGTTTCGAAGTGGTGCTTGTATGCCACATGTAAATTGTGTAGTATGCACGCCTAGGGAAGCCTCTAGCCCCTCAGGTGGCCCGAAGCCTGTCACGCAAAGGCAGTCAGAATTACTGCCGATTGTGGGTAGGCCAACAACCTCCCTCGAAGGTGTGATTCTCCTTTTTAGAGGCTACGGATTCATGAAGGGCAAAGGCAGTGCTTCCTATTCTAGGGAGTACACTCTGTTCCCAAACTAAGCACAAAAATTGATTATTGGCAATGAAATGTATGCGCCTCCAGGCTGCATATTTCTGTACCTATCATGCTCTCCGAGCCTTCGAAACCAGTTGCACCCTCTATGGTCCCCGTAGAAAGACACTTAACTCCAGACTGAAGATAATCTTCAAGCAGCTACAGGGTGTTTTCCGGAAGAATTTCCGCCTTTTTTCTTCCGTGCCACTCGAAGTTCCAGACATGCGGAGAGAGAGACAGCTAGTTTGCGCGTTGCTGCAACTGCTCTCCTTGCTCACTTCTCACAAGGTCTCGGCAGAAGGACAGAGAGCGACTGCAAAAGCGCATTGAAATTCTTGCGCCCTCTATACGGACTTCGAGGTTTTCTTCATACACAGTTGCCCGACGCACTCTATAGCGTACAGGTGCATACCGTTGATGCATATAGGACTGAAAAAATACAGGAATGAAGAGCGGTTTAAGTGCACTCGGCAGCAAAAACCATACATGCACAACCAAAATAATCATCGGTCAAGTCGTCCTGCTACTCGAACGAATACGCTTAGGGCAGGAGAAGGTATGTTAGTGCAGCTATTCGCCGGCGACATTCAAGGCCGCTGACTGGCTTGCGTGGATGGTAAGCTTAGAGGATTTACGCTGGCCTTTTCACGCAGCTCGCACGACAGCACGATGCAGTGCATTGGAATCTACAGCCAACTAGGCAAAGGCGCTGAACTCCAGCGTTTGCGTGACCTCAAGACACTAGAGGTTCTCCCTCAAGCACAGCAATGAGCCTGCGGGCCCCCTGCGATTAAGCCTCCGAGTGGCACCGTCACCTGTTCGAACCTCCACTGCAGCAAGCAGGGGATATTCGCTGCGCGTTTTCTGTTGTTGCTAAGTCCTGCACGTAGCCCATTGCATCCCTTCGAAACACACATGCATTTGTCGGGGCTGTGGCGGAGCCCCAACAGGCCCTGCATGCACGGCGCCCCCTCCACCAGAGCTTCTACCAGAAAAGGTATGAAGGTGAATTTCGCTAAATCATTGAGCTACAGCATCGCCTGTATGTCGAGCCATACGGGCTCGTCTTCTGTGCTTGTTGCCGAGGGGTTTACCCAGCAGCAGTTGGGGGGTCCAGGGCCAGATCGCTGGTATTAGCCGCTGCGAAAGGTAGAGCAGCACGCGGCGACTGCCGGTGCCTGACTCTCCCTGGGTGCAGCAAATTCTTCGGCGCCTCGAGGTGGTGCTCGCGTAGCGGCGGCAACTTTTCGCTAACAGCGATTTCCTGCTCCCTCGTTGACAGGCAGTCTCTGGGGCGCCTCCCTCCCCTCCCCTGCTGCCTCGGGGGTGTTGCTCCTCGACAGTCCACAGGGACAGAGGCATGCAGCAGTGGTTGCAGCGATGAGTCAGCAGGAGCTGCACGGGCCTGTCCATGCGGGTGTTGCAGCAGGGGCGACTCCCTCCTGTGCAGGACGAGTGGAGGTGTCTGCTGAGCTTCGGAAGTGCCTCGCGTCCTTTCGCCATCTGAAGCAGCTGCTGCTGTCCCCCTCAACGAGTCCGTTGCTGCTGCAGCAGCTGCTGCAGCAGCAAGCGCTGCAACAGCGGATCATCGCCCTCCGTTCTTCTTTTCTCTCTTGCGTTGACAGGGCCCTTCCCCCCTCCGTGTCAGCGGATACATGCAGAGCTCTGCAGCTGCTGCAGCAACAATGGGCAAGGGGCGCTCGCTTGGCGGTTTGGGGAGGCGTTGAACCCGCAGCCGAAGCGGATGGCGACAGCAGTAGTGGCAACAACAGCAGCAGCAGCAGTAGCAGCAGCACAGGCGTCCCGTGCTGTTGCTGCTCAGTGCCTTCAGAAGCCGTTCTCTACGAGTTGTTGTCGGCCTATGTCTTGCGGCACCACAGCGGGCAGCAGCAGCTCTTACTACCCGCCTTCGAGGCCTCCCAGTTACGCGAGACTGTGGATCCTAGCAATCCTCAGGTTCTCAGGGAGCTAAGAGACGTGCTGCAGGATGAGCAGCTCTGCATGTTTTGGTGTCTTCAGTTCATTTGCATGCAAGCTGCACAGAACAGCAGCAGCAGCAGCAGCAGCAGCAGCACGCGGGGGGGGCTGACAGTGCAGCAGGTCTGCAAGGACTTTGCCGCCATGCTCCTGCAGCAGCAGCAGCTGGAGGCGAAGCTGCTTCAGGTGTATACGCAGCTGAACAAGCAGCCGGATCCCTCCACGTGCTATGCACGGCAGCACCTGCAACAGGCCGGCAGCAGTAATTCCAAAAAGAGCGGCCGAAAGGGAGGCGAGGATGCCGAGGCTGCCGCTTTCGAGCTGCACGAGTTGCTGCAACTGAGAGACACGCTACAACTGCAGGAGGCCGTTGTTCTCTGCCTCTCCGCCGCTAGGAGTGCTGCAAGGAATTTGGATGTTTGCAACACGAGCCCAAGCATCAGCACGCCCAACAGGCGCTGGTGCAGCGAGAGTCTTTACGGCACCTGCTCTCTGTTTTACGATGACAGGTTTTGTGGAGCTTTGGCCGCCCGCAGTGGTGAGAGACGGTCCTTGCTGCACAGTCGCCAGCTGCTGCGGCAGGCGCAGCAGCTCGGAGGATCCTGTGCTGTTGCCGCTATTTCCAGCATTCCTCTGCAGCCGCTGCTCGAGAGTTGCGAAGGCCATGGCAGCAGCGCTGCGGCAGCGGACGCTGCTGCTGCAGTGTGTGTCTTCGTCGAAAGCCCTAGCTTCGCCTCGCTGCACAGAGACGTGATGAGCAGCTGCTTGCAGGATATCAAAGAGGCGCTTCAGCGGCAGAAGGACCAGCAGCAGGAGGCGCACAGAGGAGCGTCCTCCCCTGCGGCGTTTCCGCAGGGAGGGGGTGAAGTGTACGCAGACTTTCTGTATAGCTGCTACATCGATCACCCTGCAGCGGCTGTGCTGCTCTTAGCTGCACACGCTGCAGTGCTCGCTGGATACAAGCGCCTGCGAGGCAGCAGCACGGGTGGAAACGGGCTGCAGGATGAGGAAATCGACCTCTTTACATCCAACACTGCCGAGTTCGTGATGCCGCTGCTGCCGCATGCTCTCCAGCAGCTCCTGCTGCAGCACGACCTGCTGCAGCAGCAGAAACAGCAGCAGCAGGATCCGCTGCGGGAGGCGTTCGCTGCCCAGCTGCTGCTTCTCCTGGATGCGTCTTTGATGGCTTATCCGTTGAATCAACTGCAGGGCCTAGAGCTGATGGTGCACTCCGCGTGTGAACTCCTCGCGCAACTGCCGCAGCAGCGAAACAGACTTTTCCATCTCCTGCAGCAGACGTGTCTCCAGCGGCTGCAAACACACGGGAGTCGAGACAGCGGCAGCGGCCTTTTGCGGCTCTTGGGGAGCTATCTGTCGCTGTTTCCATACGGAGGGCATCTTACGCTGCAGTTGCTGGCGGCTCTCATCCCCCAGCCTCAGCAACTGCAGCTGCTGCCGGCAGATGAAGAGACGGACTGCGATGCAGCGGATGTCGGTCCTGCGCTGCAGTTCTTGCTGCTTCTTTCCCAGCCGCTCGCCTCGGTGCTGTTACCCCCCACGGACGGCTTGGTTTTCGCCTCCAGTCCGAGCAGTGCAGAGAAGCCGCAACAAGAGCAGCGCGCGCTTGCCAGCAGCCTTGCAGCCGAAGGAACTGCTTCCTACACTGCTGCTGCACCCATACCTATAGAACCCTGCTTGGCACTGCTTCTCCAGCTGGACGCGCCTCAGGGGCAGCTCCTCAGACGACAGGGATTCGACGCTTCTACCGCGAATGGCGGCGTCAAATGCTGGTCTTTTGTTCCCCCTGATGCGCGAGGACGCGTCGTTTCGGTGCCTCTGTGGCGCTACCTCCAGAGTGCAGCAGCCGCCGAAGTGCTGCTGCTGCAGCAGCTGCGCGCAGATTTCGCCGCAGAGGTCCCTCTGAAGCAGCAGGGAGGTGAGGAGGAGGACGACAACGCCTTCTGGCTAAATAGTGAGCCCTCCCCCCCCCCGCTCCCTCCGGTGCATCGGCAGCAGCAAGCAGAGATTCAGCGCGAGCAGCAGCCGCTGCAACAACAGGCCTTCTGGTCGCTACAGACTGATGGGTGCCGCCTAGAGCTCGCCAGTCTCAAATTCCCAGTAGGGGAAGGCATCCACAGCGTCAGCAACATCGCCTCTACCCCCTGCAGCGACAGCCGAACCTTTTCAGTGTGGTGGGCATTAGAGAGTCGAGGTCGCAGCGGGAATAACCAGGGATGCTTCTCTCTACTTAAGGCGGCATGGCTCCTGCTTGATCTGGGGTTGCAACATCAAGAAAATGAAGAGTGCGGACCGCTTCCAGATCCTGCCTTCAGGTGAGATGAAAGGCCCTTCAAGAGATCCTCTAGGAGGGCGAATATGAGTCGCATGCTGCATGCGGCAGACAACAGATGTGAGCTGTTTTTGCGCTAAACATGCGGCAGACAACACATGTGAGCTGTCGCTGCGCTAAACATGCGGCAGACAACACATGTGAGCTGTTTTTGCGCTACACATGCGGCAGACAACACATGTGAGCTGTCGCTGCGCTACACATGCGGCAGACAACACATGTGAGCTGTTTTTGCGCTAAACATGCGGCAGACAACACATGTGAGCTGTTGCTTATATTCACGGCGTGTCTGCAGAGCCTTTGTTGCTGCCAGCGCTCTTTGGACCCGTGTAGCTGCGTGGCCTTCTGCTGCTCGCATGGCAGCAGAGGCGTTGATCGCAAAGGAAGTGTATGGCTGTTCCTTGGAGGATGCAGCAGCAGCTGCAGCGGATGCGTTGCGTGGAGATTCCTCGGAAACATCATCGCCCTCCTTTCTGCTGATGCCTCGCATGTACAAACTTACCTGCATCGCTGCAAGGCGAAATCAGCTGCGGCTGCTGCTGCCAGAGGCGCTCAGCGCACTGCGGTGAGGCTGATGCTCGAGCCAGCGGCTGCCTCTTCCTTCCCCTCGAGTCCTCTCGATAGGCAGCCGTATCGGCGATTTTTTTCTATGCTTCTGACAGACCACCCAACTGCTACGTTTACTGCCGCGCTGGTGCGGCTGCTTTTGCGAGGCCTTACTCTGGGGATATATGGTGCCTGCTGTGTGTCTGTGTGTCTATGTGTGTCTGTTGTGTCTGTGTCTGTGTGTTACAGGGCGTGTTTGCTGCCATGCTACGTTACGGATGTGGACCGCTGTCTCCTGTTTGTACAGCAGCAGCAGCAGCAGCAGCAGCAGCGGGTCGCGTGCAAGTGCTTGGTAGAGCTGCCAGTGCAGCATCACGAGCTGTTGCTTTCGCCGGAGTTGCTGCATGCAGGCTGGCGTATGTTGCGTTGTTGCTGCGCTGTGAGCGAGCATCAGGGAGGGTGTCTGCCACTGCCCCAGCTGTTGGAGCTCCTTGCTGCGGTAGGCCTAGAAGAGCGACAGCTGCGAACTTTCAGAGTTATGCAGGGAACGCTGCTGTTTTTGATGCAGCTGCTTCTGGTGGTGCCTCCCGTCCTTTGGACAGTCCCCTGGCAGCAGCAGCGCTTGATTGCAGCTGCGGCAGTGGCAGAGGGTCTGGAGCAGCTGCAGCAGAGCAGGCGTCGCCGCAGCAGTTTTGCAAGCGCTGCGGCAGAGGCGGGAGGGGGGGGCCAGCCTGCTGCTGCCGTTTCTTTAGCCCACACGTATCTCTTGCCGCAGGTGCAGCAGCAGCAGCACCAAAGCGATCTTCCGATTGAGCAACTGGAGGCAGCAGCGCAGCAGCAAGGTCGGGCTTTCGCTGCAATCTGTGAATTCACCCTGTGTGGCGTCTTTGCCCGCATGTGTGCGTGGGGCTTTCTGCATGCGGAAGACCGCTGTGAGGTTGCACAGCTCGTGATGCTCGTCTTGCTGCAGCTGCTGCCTTTGCTGCACTGGAGAGCTCAGCCAAGGGAGGCGGGGTCTCTCAAACTCGCGGCAAAGGAGACTGTGGCTCCTTCGCCGTGGGGGCGTAAAGACGGCGCTGGAAGCCTCGAGCACCTCGAATCTACGACAGCCTCGTACGAGCTGCAACGCGACGCTCTTGCTGTGAAGGCGGCTGCGTTGAAGGGTTCTCAAAGACAGCTCGAGGTGGGTTCGTCGTGATCTTTGCTGCTGCGTGTGGGGCCCTGCAAGTCGGGGTTGGGCCGTGGCTGCTGCTGCTGTGTGTTTGCGGGAAAAGTAAAGCCACATGTTGTCGTGCTTCTTTCTTTCCAAAGGGTCTCTTTTCCCTCTAGCGAGCGAACTTTAGGCCCCCCCCCGCTTGTGCCTTTATGACGCAGCTTTTGGAGGCGCTGCTGACGTCTTTGGCAGCGGCGAACGTCCCCGAGTCGCTAGCCGCAGTTCTGCGCTGCAACATCGTGGCTATGAGAGGCAGAGGAGCCGTGCAGTCCGCTGTTCCCTGGGAAAGTAGCGGTAAGGGAGGTAGGGGTAGGGGCGGTAGTGGTGGTGATGCAGGCGGCAGCCGTGGCATCGGCGACACAGGCGTCAGTTCCAGTCCCAGCAGCAGCCGTGCAACGAGTGATGGACAAATTCTACTCAGTTTTTCCTCTCCAGTCCTGCGATTCTACGGATCTCTGGACGTTGCAACCTTTGCTGCAACGTCGCGGCTGTCGGCTGCCGCTGCCGCTCTCCTAGCGACACCTCCGCTGCAGCAACTGCCGCAGCTCTGCTCTTTCGCGGAGAGTCCAGGCTTTTTCTATAAGCTCCAGCATTCGCAGCGAGATGAGGAGGGCGAGGCTCAGCAGCAGCAGCAGCAGCTCGCCTTTTGCGAATTTCCAATTTCGCTCTTGCCGGATGCCGTCTTCTTGGACCCTTACACCACGGCAGGCCGCTGGACGGGGCAGTGGAGCAAGTCTCTCCTGCATCAGCAGCTGCCTTTCGCTGCAGCTGCTGCTACAGCAGGAGGTGCAGCAGCGGCTGCAGCCGCTGCTGCATCCTCCGGTGCAGCGGCGGTAGCTCCCTGCAGGGAAATCTCGCAGTGCGTAATTCTTGGGGCTTTCGAGGCGCTGCATCACCTGCTGCTGGCTGCATGCAGTCCGAATGCAGCTTTGCGTCTGCAGCGGTTAGCTGCTGAGTTACTGCGGCTCTCCTTACAGCAGCCCCCACAGCCGCAGTGCCAGAGTCTTGTGTCACCTTCAGCTGCGGATGGCCTCCCTGTACATCCCCACGATCTCCTCGCATGGCAGCAACAGCAGCACTTTGCCTTCCTTCTCGCGTCCAGCGGCGAAGACGCCAACACAGCTGATGAGGGTGGCAGTAGCGTGAGTGCAGCTTCTTCTGCGAAGACGGGAAGAGCCGTCCAGCCGCCTCCTCCAGACAGGCTGCTATACCCAGCCACCTTCCCTCAGTGCGTCTTGGCATTCACGGACTCGCGCGTCAAAGTTACAGCAGTCTCGGTGCTCAACCTGTTGTGCGTCCTGTGGAAGCAGCAACAGCAACACCTGCAGCAACAGCAGCAACACCTGCAGCAGCTTCAGCAGCAACAGCAACAGCAGCAACACCCGCAGCACCTGCAGCTGCTTCGTCTGCCTGAGAGCTCCTGTGTGCCATACGATCCAAACCAGAGCTTGCTGCAGCTTTTGCCGCCGTGCGAAAACATGGACAGCACCAACGGAGGCGGAGGCAGGGGTAGAAGCTGCACGGGCAGTGGCAAGAGCAGTGCTGTCTTCTGCCTAGCTGCTGCCCTCGCATTCGAGCCAGATGACTTGCAAGCTCTGCTTCAAGAAACACAGAAAATGCAAACGCCATGCGGCGTGGCGAGGCCTAACGGCAGCACCCGCCGTTGGTTGCGGACGCTGTACACAGACCGCTTTGTTGAGCGCCTACTGCGGCATTTATATGCGAAGGAGCAGCAGCTGCTCGAGTTCAGGCTGCTGCTACTGCAGTTGCTACTCCTCGCCCTCGACAGTCAGCAGCAGCTGCTGCTCACCGGCGAGGAGTCCGCGTTTGCAGCAACTGTGCAGTTTTCGCAACAGGTGCTGCTTGACGTGCTGCAACAGCAGCAGCAAAAACAACAACAGCAAAGCCAACAGCCAGAGCAGAAGTCTGCAGGCATTTTGCTGGGGGAACTCAAAGTCTTGCGGCTAGCTCTGCTGCTGCTGCAGCAGACGATCTGCGTTCACAGGCCTCGTGACGGACTGCAGCAGTTGCTGCAGCAAAGCAGCAAAGCGGCACTCACACCCCTCCGCAGCACCAGCAGCGGGGTATCAGGGGGCTGCCTGGAGGCTACGCCGCTCTGTCCAGGTGGATGGGTGCTCTTGTTGCAGATCGCGCAACTTTTGCTGCAGCAATGGGAACACATTGGATGGGGATACGGCGCAGAGTGGCTAGCTGCAGCGGCAGAGCATGCAAAAGACAGCAGTCCGCAGCACTCGCTGCAGCCGGAGAACCTTGAGGGGATGTATTCGTGGAATGGAGAATGGGGGCAGCCTCCACAGCAGCAACTCGGGGGGCAGGCGCTGTACCAGCGGCGCATGCAGCCGCTGAATTCAACTGTTGCCTCTGCAAGCAGGCTGCTCTCTGCCGCTGCTGTTGACCTCCCGCTGTATGCAAACGCTAGTGGCAGCAGCAGCGCTAATAACAGCAGCAGCGGAGCCAGCACCAGTAACACAAACAGTGGCAGCGGTAGCAGATCCAGCGATCAGCATCAGCAGCAGCATGAAGACATGGAGGATTACGACGCATGCACTCCACTGCTTGCAGCAGTCGAGATATGTGGGGCCTTAGCATCCATCTGCAGCATTGCTGCAACGCAGTTGCGTCACCTCCCGGTGGCATTGCGCAGCAGCAGCAGTGGCGGCAACAAGAGCAGCAGCAGCGGGGGGGGTCCCCCCCACAGCGACATCGCTGCGTATGCGCCGTTTTTCGCATGCTTGGAGTTTCTTGCCTTCGATCAAGAACTGCTCAGTGCGCTGTTTCCATTGCAATCGTTACAGCCTTCGCAGCAGCAGGAGAGGGGGTTGGCAGCCGCCAATCCTGGTGTCGTGCCGCTGCGCTCTGCAATGGACTGTTGGATGGAATTACTTCGGGCAGCACCTCCGGTGTATTTCGAGTTCGACGGCTGTGCGGCTTTGCTCGCTGCACATCGCCGCGTGCAGAAACAGCAACAGCAGCAGCAACAGCAGCAGCAACAGCAGCAGTTGCCTGCTCTTCACGAAGAAAGAGTCCTTGCAGTTCTGCCGCAAGATACAGAAAGGGCAAGCCTCTGCCTCGCCGGTACGGGTCAGTACGGTGCCTCGTTTTGCGTCGAAGGCAGACTGCTTCTCTTCCTCTCCCTGCATTGCAGCCTGCAGCGCCATCGGCTGCTGCAACAGCACCCTCAGCTTCCACACGCGTCGCTGTTGAAGGACCAGAAGCAGCAGCAGCAACAGCAGCACAGAACGGGCAGCAATGAGGCAGCAGTCCTCCTTGAGGGAGGAGACAGACTGAAGCAGCAGGCGCTATTTCAGTCCGTCTTCGCGCCGTGGATACTTGCTGGGCTAGCTGCCCGAGTGTCGGTGGGAGCGTCTCTTGCTGAGTCGCAGCAGCAGCTACTGCAGCGGTATACGGCGTTGTTTCTTGCGTGCCGAGATGCAGCTGTCTATCCGCTGTACATTCCTAGGCCTATTGTTGGCAGCAGTAAAGCTGCAGAGAGCCTCGCAACCTGCGAACAAGCGCCTTTCGCTCCTATGCTGCTGCCAGTCCTCTCAGTCCTTGCGACAGCTGCCTGCTACAGACAGGATCTCCTCTACCGCCGTGGCTTCTTTGAGGCTGCCGCATTCGCTGCTATCCAACTTTTGACTGCCAATTGGTGCACGGACCTTCGAGCGAGCAAGAAGCTCTCCCCGTCGAGCGGCAGCAGTTCTACAGACGATCCCACCAGCAGTACTGCCTCCACAGCAACCGCGCAGCAGCACCAGCAGCAGGGGGCTTCTCTTGCTCTGGAAATGCTACTCGGCTCCGGAGGAGTGACGTGCTTGGCGCACACGGTGCAGCCCGCACTGCTAGCGCCTCCCCAGCAGCAGCAGCAGCAGCAGCAGCAGCAATCGCTTCAGGCAGGTGCTGCTCTGCAGCAACCCCTTTTCGACGGCGCTGTCTTCATTCCCTCCACAGACGTGCTGCAGTGCCTCACCAGCCTCAGTGCCGCCGGAGCGGAGAAAGAGAAGCTCCGGCCGGAGGGAGTCTTATACGCTGCACTGCAGGGTGTACTGGCAGTCATAGACTTAGTGCAGCACGCGCTTGGCACAGGAGGGGCCGAGCCGCAGCAGGTGATGCAGCAGGTGCTGGTGGAAGGGCTGTCTTTGCGGCAGCTCGATCCTCCAGAACTTTTGAGCATCTGCAATGCAGCCATAGACTTCTTTGCCGTTGCATCGAGCGTTTGGCCACACTTCTCGCTGCAGCAGAGACAGCAGCAGGTGGGGTTGCAGGGAGCAGTTGGACCGAAGAAGAAACAACAGCGCTGCGACACAGAGGAGCTTCTGTGGTTCCACTGGCGCAACGGCGTCGGCGAGCTGCTGTGCAGCGTGCTGCACAGTGCATGGAGAAGCAGCAGCCTCCAGCCGCATGCAACGGCAGCAGCAGGAGACGCAACGGGGTGTACAGGGCATGCCATGTCAGCCTCCTGCGTGCCAGCGGAAGAACACCTGCGGAAAGTTTCCCTAGCGCAACAGCGCCTGTGTCCAATGCTCATCTCTGCTGCCAGCAACTTGCTGCTGCATGCGGAAGCGGCGGCTCTGCTGCTGCAGCGGCAGAAGGCGCTAGCGCCAGAAGGACTGCTGTTGCAGCAGCAGACGCAGATGCAGCAGCAGCAGCAGATGCAGCAGCAGATGCACGGGCTGTCACAACGACCAACCATGCTGATGCCTCCTCCCTTTCCTGGAGGGCCTTTAGGAGGCCTCCCTTCTGAGGCATCTTCACTGGATTCTGCAGCGGCAGCACAGACTCATTGTTCTCTTGATGCGTGGGAAGGCGCTCAGCAGCACGTGTCTGCGACTGTGGCGGCAGCTCTCACGGCTCTGCTGCAGCGGTGTGCAGCGGAGGCTTCAGGTCAGTACCTCTATCGCATGTCTGAGAGCACTGGAGGCGCAGCAGCAGCAGCAGCTGCTGCTGCTGCTGCTGCGCCACCCCTCGCCTTCTTGCTGCAGGGGGCAGAGGGCTTCACAGCAAGTGCGCCCCCAGGAACGCGTGCAGAAGCAGCCCGATGCAGCGTCATCGCCGGAGGGATCCTCTTCTTGTCTCATCTGCTCAATAGCGGCTGCCATTTGCCGTGGAATGGATTTTCCTCAGCAGCAGGACCCCACTCCCACCCTCAAGAGACAGCAGTCGTCGCTGCCGCTGCCGCTGCCTCGAAAGGAGCAGTTTTGCCGCTTGCGGAGGTGCTGCTGCTCGAGGGATTCTTCCAGCGTCTCCTGTTGCAGCAGCCGCTGCTCTCTCTTGTGGCGCTCGATGGCAACGGAGCCTCGGGGGGGCCCCCAAGCTCCGCTTCTACACGGCCACCTTACGACGCTGCATGCGCTGCAGCAGCAACAGCAGCAGCAGAAGGCGCCGCTCACCCAACGCTGATGCGGCGCTCCCCAGTGCATCTCACCTACTGTCGCGTCCTCCAGCTGCTGCAGCAAGTGCTCGAGCACCTGCAGCAGCAGCAACAACATTGCCAGCAGCGAGAAGTGCCTCAGGAAACTGTTCGGTCTGCTTTAGGGATTCTCCGCTTGCTAACTCCTAGGCTGCGCTCTTTATGCAAGCACCCTCTGCAAGGAGTTTCTCTGGCCATCGCTGAGGAGGCACTGCTCTACGTAGGCATCATGCGACGGCTGCCTGCGTGGCAGCAGACGCCAGAGGACTTGCGGGTGAGCCTCTTCCTCGTCCTTAAGTGGGCTGCTGGCGGTTTTGAAGCTGCGGCGCATGCAAGGCTGCCACACAAGTATGCAGCTTAACGGCTGTGCAATGTGGCCCTGCTCGAACACCTCGCACCTGGAACTCATTGAATCTATACATGTGTATATATATGAGGGTGTATATAGATATATGTGTGTGCTTGTGTACAAGTATATACATATGTATGTATATATACATACATATATATATATATACACCATGCGGCGTTCATGCAGATAGGCGCGGCCACCACAGCCACCTATATATATATATACACGTATGTAGCTTATGTGTACAGATATTTATACATACGCATATTTATCTATGTAAATGTATGTACCTTATGAGTACAGACATATATATATGTATATATCTACATTGGGGTGATTGTTGTGGGTGCCCCTGTTTGCGTGGGTGTCGCAGGATGTTGTGGGGTCGTGGTTAACGGCTGGTCGCCTCTTGCTGCAGAGGAGCTGCAGAGCCTTAGAGGGGGCTTTATTGGCGAGTGCGCCTTTGCTCAGGCCGTGTAGCTTGCTGGAGTGTTGCAGCGCACAGCAGCAGCAGGGAACATTGGAAGCGATGCTGGAGCAGCAGCAGCAAAGCTGCAGCCGTTGCAGCTATGGCCGGCGGATTCAAGGAGATGGGCGTAGCTGTGTCTGCTGCAGCTGCTGCAGCAGAGTCAGCAGTGCCGCGGCTGCGAGCGGCTGCTCTGGACTGCCGTCTGTTTTGCAACAGGTGTGCTACGCAGAGACAGAGGGATCGATCACGTAGTTGCAGCACTCCCAAGCGGCAACAGACGCTGACGGAAGGAAAGCCCCAAATATTCATAGATAGACAAATAGATATCGAGGCAGCGCGACGACGGCCCTATGGGCATGCAGCAGCAAAACGCAGCCGTTCGAAGTGGGGGCTTTCTGTGTCTCTGGCTGCCGCATTTTTGCATGCGTCTTGTGTCATGCGTCTTGTGTGTGTGGTGTACTGCAGCGCGGATTGCTGCTGTTACTGCAGATTGTAAATGGCGTTGTTTCTGCCATACAGACGCTGCAACTTGTACTTCCGGTGTCTCACCAGCTGCCTCCGCCCCCCGGTCTGCAGTTGCCGCTGCAGCGGAGTGGCGGCTGCGGCGGGAGCTGCGTTCCTCTGCCGATTGGTGTTTCCCGGGAGCTGTACATACAGCTGCTGAGTGCTGATCCTGCGGTGGGGCTGGATGCCGCGCGGCGGGTGCTACAGCAGCAGCAGCAGCAGCAGCCGACGTCATCGTCTCTCATGCTGCAGTCGGCAGTGAGTGGAGGGGAGAGCGCTGCCTCACCAGCAGGAGGAGGTGCTGCAGCGGGAGACAGCTTTTCCTGGATGCCACCGGTGTCTGTCCGCCTTGGACTCTTGGGGGGCCCCCTGCTGGGAGCTGGGGGCCCCTCGAAAGAAGGCAGGCTGCTGCTGCAGGGCGTCTCTGGCAAGTGTTTCGAAGCTACTGAGGACGATACAGCCTCCACAGAGCTGTCTGCAGACTGGGTGCGTGCACTCTTCCTCCTTCTTCCCCCGCCTTAGGCTTGCCATCAGCAAGCAGTAGCAGAAAACGCAGAACCGTGGAGCAGCCGCTTCTTGACTTTGAGATATATATATATATATATAGAGATATAGATATATATATATATATATAGATAGATAGATAGACAGATAGACAGATAGATAGATAGGTAGAGAAAGCCCCTCTGCTGGCAGGCCGAAGCGACTAGGGCGCTTTTGCGCGCATGGCATGCAGCGCAAGAGAAATATACGCATTTTAGGAAATTCTCTTTCTCCGAACGCATGTCTTCTCCCTATGGGGGATGTATCGCAGGCCCTGTCTTGCTGTGTTTGCTGCTGCTGCCGGCGATGCACAGTTTGGGTGTCTGCTGCAGGCTGTGACCACTGCAGCCTCCGTCCTGCAGCGTGCGAGAGAATTAGGGCCTCAACTGGAGACAAAAATTTGCTGCGTATGGCAACCCCTCTTTCTGCAGGAGACGCGGCGAGACCAGCAGCGACGCAGAAATCCTCGCACTTTCAGCGACTGCCGACCCTTTCAAAGTCTTGTGCCTGCGGCACGGTGTGAGTGTCTGTGAGTGTTTGTGTGCAAATTCTCTTTGATGCAGGTGCTGACAGCCGGTGGACAGCGGTTGCTGCCGCTGTCTCTCTTGCTGCAGCCGGAGGGGCAGCCCCTTTTGCTGCGCGAGGAGTCCGCACCACAGCCAGAGTTAACTCCCAGAAGAAGCAGTGGAGCGTAAGGCGTTGGGCGTAGACCACTAGCTTTTCCTTTCTTCCCGGCAGCTGCTGCGCCTTCTGAGTCTGATGCCAAGGAGGAGCGTGCAACGTGTGGTCGTCCAATGTTGTCTGTATATGCAGCTGCCCCCAGATATGCTTGCGTTCATTATTGTGTTGCCGCAGAGGTGCACCGTCATCCGCAGTTTCCATCGCTGGACTCTCCTATTCGCAAGGAGCGGCAACAAATGTTTTTCTCAGACAGCGGGTCTGTCTGCTGCTGCTGCTTTTATTGTTGCTGATGCTGCTGCTTCTATTGTTGCTGATGCTGCTGCTTTTATTGTTGCTGCTGCTGCTGCTTTTGTTGTTACTGATGCTGCTGCTCTTGTTGTTGCTGATGCTGCTGCTTTTGTTGTTACTGATGCTGCTGCTCTTGTTGTTGCTGATGCTGCTGCTTTTGTTGTTGCTGATGCTGCTGCTTTTGTTGTTGCTGATGCTGCTGCTCTTGTTGTTGCTGATGCTGCTTTTGTTGCCTATGGTTAGTTCGCGTAGCTAAGCCGGGGAGCATAAAAAAGCCACAGGGGAGATATGGGGACTCTCTCTCTCTCTCTCTCTCCTTGAGGAAATTATATATATACTGCCGAGTTCGCTGTTTGTTTGACTGCAGGGAGTAAGCGCATCCTTACGCCGGCGCACACCGGCAGCAGCAGTTGCTTACGGAAGGCTGCGGCAGCGGCAAGCACCTTGCTGTTGCTGTTTCTGCAGCAGCAGCAGCAGCTGCACCAGCAGGGAGACAGCAGTTGAAGCGGCGTCTCCTGCAGCCTCCGCTGCAGCTGGCCACGCGCCTCACCTGTCTTTCAGTGGCGTATATACTTCCACACGAGCCGTTGCGGAAGTTGGCTCGGAGAGGTGCTGCTGCGAGCACGAGCTGAGTGGGGTTCTTCCCCCTCTGATGTCTCTTGAGGGAGTTCACCAGCTGCTGGATATGGCGCTGCAGCGGACTGCAACGCTGGGGGCGTCCATAGTTAACAGGTATATATATATGTATATATATATATGTATATATGGCTCCTTAGCAGCAAAGCAGGACCAACCCTTTCGTCCTTTGTATGTAGCTGGTTGCACCGCTTTGTATGTATCTGGTTGCACCGCTTTGTATGTAGCTGGCTGCACCGCTTTGTATGTATCTGGCTGCACCGCTTTGTATATATCTGGTTGCACCGCTTCATATGTAGCTGGCTGCACCGCTTTGTATGTATCTGGTTGCACCGCTTTGTATGTATCTGGCTGCACCGCTTTGTATGTATCTGGCTGCACCGCTTTGTATATATCTGGTTGCACCGCTTTGTATGTATCTGGCTGCACCGCTTTGTATGTATCTGGCTGCACCGCTTTGTATGTATCTGGCTGCACCGCTTTGTATGTATCTGGCTGCACCGCTTTGAACAGAGCTAGCTGGGGTTAACACATGCCGCAGCAGCAGCAGCGGCAAACGCTTGCGATCTGGACTTGAACTGTGTGAGCGGTGTGCTGTTTCAGCCTTGTGGCGGGGAACATGTTGAGGGCACACGAGGAGGCTAGCTCCCAGTTTGTGATGTTGCTGACACGCTTAGCGCGCCAGCAGCAGCAGCAGCATCACCGGCAGCAGCTGCAGCAGCATCGAAGACCTCCACTCAGCAGCATAGGTCCCCCCTCCGTCGTTGTGCTGCAGCAGTCTCCCGGCAGGGGCGGCAGCGGCTTGTCAAAGGCTGCAGCAGAATCCAACCCTCACAGCTACTTACAGCCGCATCCCCAAGAGCGACGCAGGTCAAGTGCAGGAGCAGCAGCCAGCGCACTGTCAGCAAATGGACAGACAGCAACAGAATCGGAGGGAAAGAATGCCGCTTTCTTCGCGGCACTGCTAGAGTTCACCCGGAGACGTCTTGCGGCGCATGAGCGGCTGGCTCAGCGGCTAGGCCTCCACATACCCCTGCTGCTCGCTGTACCCTATACAGATGCTTGAAGGAGTTGTTGTACTGCGGCTGCTGCCGCTCTGTCTGTACACCTCAGGCAGCAAGGGGACTTGCTCTTGTTTGGCCAGGATGCGGCCTAAAAAGGCTAGCAGCAGGACACCCTCCCTCCTCCCCCTTTCCCCTCCGTGTTGACTGCCTCTTCCAGCAGCAGCAGCTGCTGCTGGAAGCTGCTGCTTCTGCGAGCCTCGCTGGGTGGGAATGCGCGCGTGGGTGCCGGGTTTAGCGAATGGCATATATGCACATCTCTCCATTCTTGGCGAAAGAGGACTATCTGAACGGTCGTCCAGGAAGGCCTTTGTCTCACCTTCGCGCTGGCAAGGCTCTTACGTTCTATCTATGTCCAGCGAGTGCACCCTACAGGCACGGAGTCTTAGCGCGACTGGCTGCACGTTGACTTTGACTGCGCGCAAGTGCCTGGTAGACCGCTTGCGAGACTGGATTCTAGCGACAGAGCCTTTTTTGTGTAGAAACGGTTGTCCTCGATGCTGTGACAGGCACCCGGAGTGCGCTGCATAGGGGCCTCTAAGTAAGCTTGAAGGGAAGGGGGTGGCAGCACCAATACGCCAACGTCGGGAGGGGCAGGCCTCTCCTTAGGGAAGTCACATTAAATTAGCGTCTACCCTCTAGGACTGCCGCTTGCCAGTCACACCCACCCCCTTCAACTGCCTGCCAGGCCTCAAGTTCTATTTCACCGTCCATACAGTTGGGCTGCCGTGCCCTGCGGACTGACTGCCTTTGACTGTGGCGCTTTTCTGGGGGCGTGTTGCCTCTCTACCTGACAGTTTCTGCCATCGTTCTCTCCCTCTCTCTCATCTCTGTCTCCGCCAACCTAACTTGTGTGTTCTCCCCCTCAAGATTACCCAAACTGCCGTATCGCCCTCCTCCGCGTTTGAACGGCCATGCCCCCTTGTCTGGCATCTGCAATTGGCAATACTTCCGACAACTCCCACTGCCCCGCCCGCCATCTGCCTTCGGCGGCAGCAAATTAACGTAACCATTTAGGCTAGTCTCTAGCTACGGTGCGCAAAGTGTCTCTTGCTGGCATGGGGGCCTTGCCCACACGCGCAGGGAGAGCGAGCACCCTTCCCTCCCCGCTGCGTCCAGCAGCCCGCCAAGGTGCTACCCCCATGATGTAACAATGCAGAGGCAAAGGAAAGGCCTGCCGCAAGCTCCCTGTTACAGCAGCAGCCATGATAGTCGAAAGAGAAGATGGTGTATGGGCTAATTAGGAAGTCGGAATTCTGCCAGAGCCGTTGCCGCTACTGCTGCTGACTGACCTGGCAGTTGGGTCGGCCCATCGCAGGGGGTCGTGTAGGAGGTAGTAGGGGAACCAGCCATTCCTAATAAAGCACCAGAGCATGGTCGCAACATGCATGTCATGAGCGTGCAGCAGCTATAGCTAGAGCAAGAGCAAGAGCAAGAGCAAGAGCAGCACTCAACTTCGCCAACTCATCACCCGCATGAGAGAGTGCAGCAGATGCAAGCGGAAGAGTCATACAGCAGTGGCGTGAGGAATAATTGCAGCTACAGATGTAGTTTTACCTTTGGGGGTCCCCGCGAATGCTGCCAAAAACCCATCCATCTTTCTGGTGGATCAACACCTCCACACTCTCTCCTCTATGGCAGCGAAGCAGCGCAGGATGCGCAAGACTGGCAGCAACATTCGCCGTCGCAGGTTCACTACTGCCACTGCCACACGGACTATCCCTCCTGTTTTCATGGCAGCAGCCCTCTCCAGAGGCAACCCCATATATCGATGCGCCGCCGTAGCAGACCAACTGCTGCGGCTGCTGCTGTTGCTCCTGCTGCAGTCTTGGGGGCATGCTGGAATGGCAATAGTCTCGATCCTGTTGCTGAAGCTGTTGCAGTTGCTGCTGCGTGTCCTCAACTAACTCGCCTCCCCAGCACCAGCGCAGCTCACAGACCTGCACTTCCGACGGGATAACGTGCAGGATGGCGCACAGTGGCTGCCCCTGCTGCCTTTGCTGCTGCTGCAGCAGCAGCAGCTGCTGCTGCTGCGGCGGCGTGTATCGCCAGCAGTAACACCCGTCCGTGCGAGGGGGGAGGGGTTGTTGTTGGGGCTGTTGTTGGTGTTGTTGTTGGTGCTGTTGTTGCCCACCTGGTAGAGCCGCGACACTTCTCCTAGGGACAAGATCCGACTGCTCTGAACCAGCGATGGCATACCGCCGTGCAGCCGTGGGAATGAAGTGCTGCTGCTGCTGCTGAAGAGCAGTCGGCTCCCCCCCTCGAGCAGCAGCGGCAGAAGCATCCACAACATATCCCGGCAGGCTCTGTGTTGTTGCTGCAGCGGCCTCTGCTGCTGCCTGTGAGATGTTGCGTGCGGAGGCGTACCAGGGGCTTGCATCCCGGAGAGACGGCAAGAAAGGCGCACTGGGAGGGGTGGTATTGTGACTGTTGTTGGTGCTGCTGGTTTGCTCGTAGAGAGCCCACGCTTCCTCCCGTGGCTGCTGGAAGTACTGTTGCTGCTGTGGCTCAGACTGTTGCTGCTGCCGCTGGAAAGAAAGCGCGGCAAGCTGCCTGTTCCCCACTCCTAAAATGCATGCAGCGATATCTGGAAGCCCCAGGACGCCTGTCCGTGGGCTAGCAGCCTCGTCGTTGTCTCTCTCCTGCCTGCTGGAAGTGCATGCGACAGCAGGCATGGCAGCTGCAGGGAGAAACACCGCATCGGGGATGCTGCCTTGCAGGGGATCTGGAAAGGAAGATCCAACAGACGCGGCTGTCATCGCCGTAGCGGGGGAATTCCCGAATCGCGGCTGCCTCTGTTGTTGCTGCTGCGTTTGTTGCTGCTGTGTTTGCTGCTGCGTTTGCTGCTGTTGTTGCTGTGTTTGCTGCTGCTGTTGCTGCGTTTGCTGGAGGAGCTGCAAGTGCTGTTGGTGCTGGAGAAACTGCTGCTCGTGCTGTTGTTGTGCTGTAGACGCGAAGGGCCATACACCTGGAGGCGCGCCTGTCCTCGAGGTGTTCAAGGATCCTTCCAAGGATGGCATACAGAGCGCCTCGTCTCGAGGACGAGACGATCCCCACACTGCTCCAGCGGCTGAATCTGCAGCATTCGCGACGAAGAAATTGTGCCTTCCATTTGCATCTGCTGCCGAGGAGACAGATGCAGTGAACACCCCTCCCCCTCCCGCTCCCCCTCCTCCTATGAGGAAGAGGGGGGGCGCGTCTGCAGGACTGCTGCTGACGCTACTGCTGCCATCCCCCCCACTGCCGAGTGCTCCCCCCACTTGATATGCACTGTGACGCCTATTGGGAGAAGCGAGCTGGCCACTGCTGCTGTTCATGCTGCTCGTGTTGTTGCTGTTGCCGTTGCTGCTGCTGCTGCTGTTCATGCTGCTGTTGTTGTTGCTGTTGTTACTGTTGCTGTTGTTACTGTTGCTGTTGTTGCTGTTGCTGTTGTTGCTGCCAGAAGGACCAATTGGAACGCGATATCCAGGACACAACCAGCTGCCGTTGTTGCTAACTGCAGCAGTGCAGGTACTGCCGAAAGAGAATACACGGCGATTTCTTGACGCCATGTCGGGGGCTGTTGAGGCTGCTGCGTCTGCTTGTGCTACTGCCGACGCTGCAGAAGAGGGAGAAAGAACACCAGTTTCTTCCGCAGCGTAGGAAGAAGCTTGCTGTTGTTGTTGTTGCTGTTGCTGTTGCTGTTGCTGTTGCTGCTGCTGTTGTTGCTGAAGGAAGGCAACAGCAGCGCTAGAGCCGCCATACGCCTGCTGTCTGTCCTCTCGCTTGGCTCCTCCCCTGCCCTGATGCAAGGAGGCATCGCTTCTGCCGTTGCTGTTGCTGTTGCTGTTAGTATTGCTGCTCACAGGTTTCAGTGGTGCACTGTCCAAGGGATAATCCTTCCCTTCTAGACTTGCGCAAACTTCTGCAGCAGCAGAAGCAGAAGCAGCAACTGCAGCGGGCACCGATGCGGTTGCAGATTCTCTCGAAGCGCTGCTAGGCGAAGAAGTGGCGGTGCTGCAGCGTGAGACGGGGGGCATTTTGGAGCTCTCCTGTTGCTGTTGCTGTTGCTGCTGTTGTTGCAGCTGTTGCAGCTCTGCACTGCAAGATGATAAACCCGGTGCCGCTGAGATGGCAGAAGCTGCTTTCCGGAGGTCACTTGCTGCAACGCGTGCGAAAGGCTCGCATACAGCGGCAATGTTGCTGCCGTCGAAGGTTGTTCCCAGGGTTTGCTGCTGATGCTCGGGGGGCTGCTGTTGCTGCTGCTCGCGCGGGTGGTGCTGGTGGTGGGGTTGCTGCTGCTGTGCCTGCTCGACGGACGACGCAGCGAAGCAGGCATCTGCGGCTCTGCAAGAACGCAGACCAGCGACGGATGCAGAGGGAGACGCAGCTTTTCGCACATCAGCTGCAACGACGCGATCAAAGGGGGCAGCAAGCTGCAGCAGAAGCTGCTGCTGATGGAGAACGCCACAGCTGAGTCCGCTGCTGCTGCTTCTGCTGCCTGGACTGCTGCTGCCCGTCTCGCTTGTCAGACTGTCGATACTGCGTCGGCGTCCATTGAAGCTGCAGGGATCATCGGCACACGTGCTGCTATCGCTGAGACGGCAGCTGCTGCTGCCACAGGTGGCCCCTGCTCCTCCCTGATGCTGCTGCTGCTGCAACAACGCCGCATGCAGCCGCCTGTCAAGAGGATCTCGATACACCCCCAGGCAGCTACCTAGCCACGGATGCGCAGCAGCTGCAGCGTCGGGACCACTTGCTGAAGGAAGCGACGGCCTTGCGCTCTTGCTGTTGCTGCTGTCTGCGATTTTTGCAACGAGCTGCTTGGGCTGCTGCTGCTGCACCTGCTGCTGCACCTGCTGGACCTGCTCTTGGAGCTGCTGAGCATTGCGGGTAGCCGCATCCTCCTTCGCATCCGAAAGAAACCCCTCCCCTTGAGCATCCTGCATGCAGCATACAGCGGCAGTCCCACACCCAACGACGCATCAGAAACGATGACGCGACGCCACGACCTTTCGGAAGCCTGCAAACGACGCATACTGCGGCGGCACGATAGTCAGCACGAAAGTGTCCTCGCAAATTTTGTAACCTCTGCTGCTGCTTCTCCTGCTCCTCCTCCGGTCTGGAGTGTATATACTGCCCTTCGTCAGGTGTGATACGAACCTCTGAGGTCGAATATGCGCCTGCACAGGCTACCGTCTCTTTGGCAGAAGTCTTGCCACCCCCAAGAGTCCAAACTGCGGAAAGCGAATAGCGCACGAAGCGGCGGTGAGCGCATGCAGAGCTGCTTCTGCCACGGCAGCTGCAACAGACAGCACACATGCCATGAATCCTGCAGCCACCAGCAAAGCGAAACTGGTCTTTTCCCCGCCCAGAGGGCTAGAGACTCTACCTGAGAGGCGCTGTTTAAGGCCTTGAAGCTGCTGCAAAGTCTCCTGCATGGATGCGTCGGGGGCAGGAGACGGTGCGGTAGGTGCTGCGGTGCCTGCTGCAGTGTCTGCCGCAGCAGGACGACCTAGTGGATCGCACACAGACCAAAAACATCTGACACGAGATCCGGCGTTAAAACACGCAATACAGCGCAATACTGATGACACGGGCACTGCCGAAACAGGGAGTATGCAAAACGCACAACAGCATCCTATGGGAGGCTGGAAGTCTCCTGTCGCAGATATCTGTTGCCGCTGAAGAGTGGATATGACGCAGGAGGAGGAAGGGAGGGAGAAGAGGGAGGAAGATGAAAGGAAAGAAGAGGAGAAGAAGGAGAAGGAGAGGAAGAGGAAATGGAGAAGGAAGACGAGAAGGAAGAAGAGAAGGAAGAGGAAATGGAGAAGGGACACAAATAGAAAAGGGCCGTTCCATGAAAGCTTACTCATAAGATTTGATTCGTCCCGCCTTAGTTCTGCCTGCGTATGTTGTTGTTGCTGCTGCTGCATATCGTGTTGTTGGTCTTGTTGCGAGTCGTTGTGATGCGGCATCCCCTCTTTCTCTTGTTGCTGGTGGATGCCAGGATGCGGCATAGGCGAATGGGCGTTTTTTTCGTATGAAGAGACGCAGCAGCGGATATCTCGCTGCACTAGTGTGTTCAACTGCCCTTGAAGGTGCTCGCCCATTGTGACAGCAATGCGTTTGCCGACGATGGGGGGATCCCGTAAGGCGTCTGGGGGCAGCTGCTGCTGCAGCCGGTGGGGGCAGCTGCTGCTGCAGCCACTGGAGAAAAGGAGTTGAGGGTGAGGCGCTGCGGCAGCGCAACGCCTCTGCGACGTCTCCTAAATGCTGCCCTTCCTCTGAAGCGGCGGCAACGGCCACCGTCTAGAGGAGGGAAGGCGGATGGAGCAGCGGCGCAGAGTGCGTGCCGGGTATTTGCAGGCGTTCTCTTCTGCCGGGAGTCTTAGAGACCGCTTCAACTGACTGCTCAACTGCCTAGGCGGGCAGTGTGTGGCGTTCCTCACTGCAGCCAGCGGGAAGACGGCGCCTCCTTGCGTGGGAGGGAGAGACCGACGCAGCGGCAGCCGTGTATTGGCTGGACTGTAATCCTGCAAAATTGCTGCTGCTGCCACTCCAACAGGTCTGAAATTGTTGTTGCCGAAGTTGATACACTGCGCTGACTACGGGGCGATAGAATGAAAGTGATCCGATACGCGGCGCTCGGCTCCTGCTGCGGCGGCTGCTGTTGCCGCCGTTGCTTTAGCAGCCCCGTACAGATGGTATGTAGGTATCACTGCAATAACGAAATTCGGGTGTAAGAAGACAGGAAAAACGGCTTTGCTGTCCGTGGAGATGCTCGTGCGGCGGTTGCTCCGGCAGCAGCGGCAGCAGCAGCAGCTGCTGCTGCTGCCGCTGCTGCCGCTCTGCTGCTGCTACATTCAATACCACACCGCCTCCCGAGAAGCCAAGCACGGACGTGAAAGACGAGACGTCTTTATTCATGTGAGTTCGTAATGCCTCTAAATGCAAGATACCAAGTAGAATTGATCCGGCAGCTCGTCATGAGCTCGTGTAGGAGCAACAACAACGACCACACATAAGGTAGCAGCAGCAATAAAGGGAACGCTCGGTGACCGTGAAGGGATGTACAGTCTCCCCCACATTAGGAGTCCCGTTCTAGTGTTTCACGCCTCCTTATCCTGCGTCTTTATTTCAGGAAACCCCCATAGGTGTCTATGAGCCGTTTTGGGTTGCCTCTAATAACACTCCTGGTTCCGCGGCACGGTGGCACTTGGTTACAACTTTACATGTGTACATATACATAGTGGAGGGAGTCGTCTAAAACCGCTGCAACAGAGGCGCTGGCGATTCGCCCAACTTCAAGCCTAATGCCACGCCACCACTGCTGTCTACTGTATACGTAGCATCCAGTAACCCCTCTAAGGGGGGCAAATATGCTCGATGCGAAGCAGTGGTGACACTAGCAGCCACAGAGAAAGCACCAAATTGCTGCACAACACAAAAGTAGCAAGAACGGCTGCGGTCTCTGCTTGCGTTGGTGCTGCTGCGGACTTAGTTGCCTCTTCGTATTCTGAAGAGCCTCGATTCTTCCGTAGAGCGGTCTGGGGCAACATACCAGCGGGCATCCGCCGGCTGTTGAGCTAGGTAAATCTTTCTCAAGTAGCGACACTTGCTAAACGAGTTTGTCACGAGGCCAATCCAGGCTTAGCTGTCACTTAATACCATGACGCAGCTGGCGACAGCCAGCAGCGGTGAGTGGCCTGAGCCTCATGCCCCAGCGACAGCACCAGCACGGTGCACACGCTTCGGCGCCTGCAGTACTGTTTCCCCTGCAACAACAGGAATGCAGCAACAGGAGGAGACGAAGCAGCGTGATCATTATTCTGGGCTGTAACTCGCAGCTGACTTAGAATAAAGACACATCTTCAGAGGGCCCAGAAAGATGGTGTACCTCCTTCTAAGGGGGTATCTCCATGTCAATTATGCTTTTGGGGCCCCCTCGGGTCCCTTTACAGAACGGTTCGTTCTCCTGTCTCTCATGCATGCTGCTTTGAGAAGCTGCGGTAATCCGTAGCTAGCAGCAGGAATATACAAGGTTTTTCACCAGCGCAGAGCCACTCTGCAAGCTCCCGCGCTGCCACTCCTGCAGCTGGCCCTGGTGTAAGGAACCCCAACAGAAAGAGACAGAAGGAGGTCTCGACGACACTTTCTTTTATCCTGCAGCACGTGGTAGTAAGACCGAAGCGCCCAAGGGTAGCGGAAGCGGCGAGGGTCTGAAGTATTTCAGGCATGCCCATGCTTGCGTTCCGCAGGCCCATCTTGTGTAGACCCTTGGACGCTTGCAAAGCTCCTGAGAAAAGGATCCCAGGAGGCTTTGACAAGGCGTGTTACGAGGGCCTTACTTTTCTCCCCAGGGGCGGGCCTGCGTCTCTGGATGCTGCTCTCGAAGCCCCTGCGGAAGACCAAGCAAATGCAGCAGGCATTACGGACACACCGGCAACAGCAGCTTCAAAGGCTACGGCACCAGGAGGAAATTCCTGGGATTTATGTTTCGGAGCCCTGTGGGGCCTCGCGTCTTCAGCGCGACGGGATGAAGGGTGGAGGAGGTATTTGAGGCAGCGAACGCCGAAGGGCCAGCAGAGGGCTGAGAGACGAATATATCTCACGCATTGCGGCAGAATGCGAGGGGTTCGTGGAGGAGCCTACCGCACGCGCAAGCCCCTTGCCGAGCCCAGGCAGCGCCAGGAGACAGCTGGCAAAAACGGTAAAACACCTGAAATATTGTCGTTTGCGCTCAGATGAACCTGAGGCCCCTCCAGAGCACCAGAATCTCCATCAGGGATGGCGATCCCCAAGGTCCTACTTCACCGGTGTTTTTGGAAGTTGTAGATGGAGGCCTCGTAGGGCGAGAAGCATCAGTGGCAGCAGCGGCTGCACAATGCGGAGACAGTGTCCACATTCGTGCTAGGAGCACATTTCTCGAGGGCCCCTCGCATCCAGTACTTTTAGGGTTACAGGACCGAGCTCTCGGGATCCCCTCGAAAAAGGCCCCGGAGGAGGCATCCAACTCTTAACTGCTTCTCACACACATTGAAAAAAATGCATTCTGGCTGTACGGCCAAAGGTGTGGAAGACTAGACTGTGTCTTCCTGCGCCGGTCAGCTCCCCGTTTTTCCTACTGCGCAATATGTACCAGCGCCTACGCCTGTTGTTTTCCCCCTTATGATGGCGCATTCTATCCGGCCTTTCCCTACACGGTACCTCCTTGGTATAGGTATGCCTGCTGCAAGTACACCCCCTTCTGAAGGCGAAGAGCAGCATCTGTGTGACAAGAGGCAACTCTCCGCCCAAAGACAAGGTACCTCTGCAAACGCATCGTTGATGGAATTGATGATTAGCCGCTTGAATGCCTCGGAAGCTCTTCGCGAAGTATAAAAGTCAGCCCCGTGTTTCTCTCCTGCCCAGCAGTATGCCACAGCGCTTACAGCGTCTTTCTCCCCGTTATGATGACATTTCTATGTAATCCTTTCCATACATGATGCCTTTTCTGCGCTTCGTACCAGCAGCAACATCTAACTAGACCAGAAGCCACTTACATGCTTAGAAACTTGTAACTGACTCCTTCTCTCTTTGCGGTGGCAGCAACAGCAGCAGCACATCTGCGAACGGCAGGCACTACACGAGATCGATAGCTTGGTCGCAGCAGCCCCTACTGTGCAAACGCATCAAGCACAAGCAGAGCGCTTTCCTGACCACGGCAGCGGCTGCGCTACAGCGGTTGCCCTTAAACGCATCAGTACGAGGACCCCAGTGCTCGCCGCCTTGTACGGCAGAGGCAGAAGCCTTTTCGGCAAACTTTCCAATTAAAGCTCGAGTATCTCCAGAAGCATCAGGAGATCCAACAGCGGCAGTTCCTGTAGCAGGTCCAGCAGCAGCAAAAAAAAAGCAGCATGGAGAGGCACCGAACGAACAAGAGTGGAGAGCTGTAACGTGTAGGTTACTCCACGTGGCCTTCTGAATCCGTGGGTGCGGGCTGCAGCCACAGCACACCGCTGCACTATACCAACGGAAACTTCTTGACTTAGCCGCTACAGTGACGATGAGGCAATCCTACAGGAGCTTATATGGCATTCCCAGCAGCACAGCAAACAGTGGCAGCCGCACTGAGTACTAGAGCAGTAAACGGCGAAAGCTGCGTAGGCCTTCTCTATTCTATGTTTGCGGCTTTTCGCGAAATTGACAAGCGCTTGCATGAAGAAGTAGGGCACTATGTGCCATGGCTTTCAAAGTGTCATACTGTCTGCAAGTCCTACTTGCTTCTGACTGCTTCAGAACGAATCAAAACAACATCATGACCACAGCCTTTCAGGGCCTCCTACCAAAGGTGCATCATTGATCTTCAAGAATGGGGAGCCAATGCGTTTTTGGGAGCGCGAACCCTGTACAGAGTTTCACTTAGGGCCCTAGAGCTTCCTCTTTTGTAATCCACGCCCTTGCGCTTAGTTTTTAAAAAAACCTTGTCTAATTCAGGAACTCGTAGCACGCAGATTAGCTGCAGCAGTAATGCACGCGATGGTGCAGTGTCTTCAAGGGTTCCTGCTGCAAGCAGAGGGATACATGACACTCTGTGCGAGTTGCAACTCCTTGCCCACAAAAACAAGCTATTGTTACGGGTTTTTGTGGGAGGCCGTGTAGGTGAAGGGGAGGGTAAATGCAAGGGGCGCAGCAGCAGGGGTTCTGCCTCAGACTGGGTAAGTCGGGGCCCTCAACGTCATTTCACTCCCCGAGACAGCCCTCTGCAACAGCGCGCCTCTAGGTCCTCTCACTGCGATGCTGTGCGTGCTTCTGTTCTTGATGCAGGAGAAGGTGTTGGTGGCGTGCTCTCCCATTCGATGCTGTACCGCTTAGAGGGCCCCCGAGGCTCCTAGAGTGCGAAAAGGGTGTATGAATTGGGGTGTGACATAATTTAGGCGCAGGTCTTGGATTAGCACTGGAAGCATTGTGGGGAACTGGATCTTATAATATAAGCTTGTGTTTTGAGGGATCAGCCTTTCGTATGCAGCAGCCATCACACTGATGCAGTAACAGTTTCACTGGTTGTATCAAAGCGTGCCGCCTGCTGGAGAGGATAGCTCCGATTTTCGCGCCTGTGTGAGGTATTTATGAAGTATTAGCTGTTCCTTTATGGTTTCATTTTATTGTAGAATACTCGTTTGCAACGGCATCATTAGTACTAACCTAGCACCAACAGGGGCATCCGCGGACGAATAAGGAAAGGCGTCCACGCAGATGCACTAGCACTTCGCTCGTCCTAGGCAGTCCCTAAAAGTTCCTGGAGGCAGTTTCTTGTTGCTGGCAGCCCACCCACGTCCAGTGTCTCTCGAATCCCCTTGAGTGCTGGCTGCTGCATCATCAAACCCACCCCGGCGACAACGCAAGAAACTGTATTAAACACGTGCAAAACAGCTAGAGGAACCGCTGCCAAAATCCCCTTTTGGGAGAGACTCATTAATAGCTTCGTGCAACTGCTGCGGCTTTGAGGCCTCTGAGGCAGTCGCATCTGCTCTCTTTCGCCTCCGCTGCGCCAAAGTGGCTCCTTGTGATGCCGGGTGTAGCGGCGTAAGCACCGCTCGAACACATTTACCCACAGTAGATTTCGTCTCCTAAGAATCATCAACAGCTTGACACACTGGAATATCTGTTAAAATATCGAATATATTGCAGAGCAATGATTGCTCGATACTAGTCTTGTGTGCGTGCGCGCTACACGTAGGCGCAACTAGCTGTAAATGTTCGGTGTGAACGGAGGATGCAACTACGCGCATCCTGTCTAACCCTTCCGCCGTATGTCGGGAACTCTGGAGGGGCGCAGGCAGGGGAAGCCAGAGGTCCTTTCGGAAACTAACTTTTTGTGAAGTTGGTAGAATCTGGAGTTATCACACTCTCTGCGGAGACCTAGTATACATCGGTACTTCAGAGGTCTTGAGGATAAGCCTGCCACTACCCTATGTGATACTAATTCACTTGCTGTGTCGATGTAAATTAGTGTTTTCTTTCTCCGTCGGCTTCGCCTCTTTTTGCCTCCCCTTGTCCCTGACTCGGTTTCGCTGCTTTGCGTGGCAGCGTTTCCTAAGCTGCAAGCAGGCACGCCAAGGAGCATTTTTATAGGATGCGGTCAAGCTGCATTGGGAATTTCGGACAAATCCAAGGTTTCGCATAACGATGGTAAATTCGATACACTGAATGTCACTACGAGTGCAGCATTAGAGCCGCCGTGTGCTACCTCACGGCGGATCAGTGCAACCTCGCTGCAGCATGTCCTAAGGCACGCTAGAAGCATATCTAGTCGGTGTTATGATCTGAACTAGCGGAGGGACTGTCCGGTCTGCTGTTGGTTCTCTTGGTTTACAACATCCACACGGCCCTTCAATTTCGGCAGTGCTATTAGGCCCTTGCATTCCTGATGTATAAAAAGAGATTCCCACCCGATCCTTCTGCGGAGATGCTCGTAGCCCCCATCCTGTCCACTTCCTCAGCCAAGATCCCTCCTCCCTCCCCCGCCATTCCCCACTGCCGCCTGCTTCCATCTATAACCTTGCGTTCAAAATGGAACTCGTCGTAACCATTGAGGAAATACTTCGACCGTGAGATTCAGGCTTAAAAGTGCAAATTGTGCATTTAAAAGGTTAGGGCTTTATGTGAATTGGCTCGTGCGGCAGTAGGCCATTGGTTTGCTACGGCTACCAGGGCAGTCGTGCTCTGTCTGTGGTTTTGTGGGTAGCCGGGAAAGGAGAGAGGAATTCAAAGTGGCAATCTTCCATTCAGGTGCTAAGAAATTGCACACTCTCTTGCAAAACACTGGGAATAAGTAGACCCCCTACGCTTCTCAGGCAAGGCTCCTTGCCGGGTAACTCGGCTCCTACAGCGCACGCTTTTTTGACCATGGTTTCTGCTGCCTGCTGTCGAGGACCTTGAGCGGTTGTGTTGGGGTTTCAATCCACAAATAGCGATGGATACAGTAATGCAAATACATTACACATAACATTTTCAAGCTTTTTTCCCCGAGAAGGGCCCCTTGGGCCCCCTACTTGCCGTTGGCTGTCGCGGTGCACCGCATCCGAGTGCTCTGGCTAGGCTTAACTAGGGAGTGGAAAGATGGGCTTAAGTGCACACTCTGATGCTTTTATGGCTTGTTTTGCGTTTCCAGCGTTATTTGAAAGCAAGTAGAGAGAAAAGCAGGAAGAACAAGTGAAAAGAAACGGTACAGCCCTAGGGCTCTGCACCTCGAGGCGCGCCACTTGGCTAGGGCCCGCTGGCGACGGTCGGCTTGCAGCAAGAGCAGGAAGAACTACTCTCCTATTCCTGGTCGATAAGTCTGCCTACCTTTTTCACTTTGGCCTCTCGACAAGGCCATCCTCCTGATGACTTCGGGCTCCGAGGGGCTCCTCATATTAGCTCTTCCCCGTAGCCTCCTTCCCTGATCGAACCTAAGGAAGGCTTTCAGTGGCTAGGGACTTCTGTTTCCTTCTCAGAGCACCTCTAGCAACGCTCAGCCCTCCTTGAGCATCAAAGGCTCCTGGAGCTGTGCTCCTGCTTAGCTTCTCAATAGCAAGGCACCCCAAGCTCTCTGCATGAGGGAGAGAGAGGCATAACCCCGCGCAGTTCCGGCGTGAGGCAGCCACGGAAGCCAAGCCTCCTTTTTAATTTTAGGCCTGCCAACTGCACCAAGGATACACTCCCAGCAGTTCGCGGAATTGATCGTACCGGGGCTTCAGAGCTATGTCCACTGATGCCGGAGGCGCTGCATGTTGCCACCTCGAAGACATTGACTGCGCAAGCAGTGCTTTTATGGGGAGAGCCTCCAATCATCTAGTGCCACGCTACTATCTCATTCAGTGGAGAGACAAAGCTACATCGCCCTGAGATCCGCATTTTGGAGAGTTCCCGCCAGACTCCGCTGCCAAGTAGCGCTTCTTGCAGTGCCGGCAGCGAAAGCAACGTTAGCGGCAGCAACAACACATGCACGCGGAGAGGAGCAATGGGCCTCTTCTCCCTGTCCTCCTTCAACCCTCTTTCCATCCGCATCCGCTTAAAGCCCTGAGGGTTCATTTACCTGTTCTAGGGGTCCCCTCTCTCTCCCCGAGGGCCCCCGTGGCGACGATTAGGGGGCGAACACGGTAGCCTAAGGGGGTCAACTGGCCATGGCGAGTCAGGATCAGCCGCTGCAGTTTCCCTACCCGTTCACTCACCCCCCTCGGTCCCTCCCTGGTCCCCCCCCCGGGAGGCCTCGTGAAGTTGACGAGCCTGAGAAACCACGAATAGGCCCCCATGTGCTTGAGTGGCTTTTGCGCGCCAAAGCCGAATTAAGGGCTCTTCCTGAGGCTGACGGAGAAGGGACCCCCCCTCAAGGGGGCCTCCATGCCGACGAAAGGGGGAAGCATTATGGAAGATCGCGAAAAAACGAGGGCCAAGGCTTAGAGTATTGCCATGATGATGACGCCAAAGGCCCTCCAGTCTGCAAGAACCCTCGTTCTGGCAGGGGCAGCTCCCATAACGGAAGCTGCAAAGAGCAACGGAAGCATTTTTCGTGTGGCGGAGGAGAGCTTGGAGAACACGTCGTTGGATCTCTGCTACACCTTGACGTCACCCTGAATGCCCCTGGAGAAACCCCTTTGGCACCAGGTCCTTCCGACACTACTAAGGAGTGCAGAGAGGGTGACGTCGGGCTTCTGGAGGAGGCCATGTTAGATGAGTTAGGATTTTTCCCAGTGTCAAGTTTTGAATGGTCCGATAGGGACGATGATGGAGTGCCTGTATTCCTATCGGGAGAGGGCAGTGGCTTCCTGGACAAGAGGCAGCCGAGCGGCGAAACAGACCAAACAAGCAGCGAGAAGCGGCCCCTACAGATTCCCATTTCGGAAAGAAACCTTCCTTCAGGGTCCGGCCAGAACATCGCACAAGTTGAGGACGGAAGTGCCTCAGCAGGAGCAGCAGACAGTGGTGGTGGTATGGGGGGTGGTGCACCTGCTGTTGCCTCTGTTGCGATTGGCTCGGCCTCATCTGCGGGGAGGCAGAGGCCTCCAACTGTAGTGTCAGCGAGCTCCCCAGGTGCTGCAGAGACTCCCCTTTGGCCTTGTGCTGGCTGCGCATCGGAGGTATCTTCAGCACTTCACGAGACGAGCCCTCTGATATCCCTCCCACAGGCAAACACATGCCTGCCCTTGCCAGGAGAGCGGTCAACTCCAGCGTCTCCGCACGGATGCGGGGGCCCCGCTCCCCATTTTTCTCCTCTGGCCTATCAGGTGTCTCCTAGGGGTCACTCAGGGGCCCCCAAGGGGCCTCCTGTCAAGGCCGCGGATCTTCCACTCTCTCCAGGACCACAAGGAAGGCCGTACCGACCAGCCAACAGCAAGCTAAAGGGCCAGAGGGCTGCTGCTGCCGCCTCTGCCGCGCACCAGATGCAGCAGGACGAAAAGCAATCCCAGCACTGGCTTCATAGCAAGGACAGCGAAGCGGCGGAGGTGTGGGAAGGGAGTGATAGTCTTCGGGGGGGTGGAGCATCAACAGCTGAAGCGCCAGTGATGGCAGCAGTGCCTGCAGCAGAAGCATCAGCAGCTTTACTACCGGCTCCCCAGGAGTCATTTGCAGCGCGAGTTAGACGAGCGGCCCTGCAAAAGCAACAGCAGCAGCAGCAACAACAACAACATATACAATTCCAGCACCAGCATCAGAGCCTGCAGCACACGCATCAGCTACTGCAACAGCAGGTAGAGGGACAGAGGCTTCATTCTTCTCCTGCAAACCCTTGTGCGCCGTACACTACCCACGCACAAGACCTACTGCTGCACCAGCAACAGCAGCAGCAGTTCGCCTTTCGGCAGCATCAGCACTTTATTATGCAGCAGATGCCCGCTCTGGGATGTCCCCACACCCAACTTATAGGAGGGCAAGTATCGCAACAGCAACTGCACCAGCAGAACTGCTCCTTCCAGGTTAACTCGTCTGCCTACATGCAGCAGCAGCTGCTGCTTCGAGGAAACTTCTCATCCGAAATTCAGGAACAGCTCGACGGCCCGCTGTGCTTCACTGCGCTATCTCCTACGAGACCCAGAGTAAAGCACCGCCCGTGCTCTCTAGGTGACTGGCTCGGTCCAGGATGCTGATCACCAAGCAGTGCTGGCTAGACGAAGTTCGCTTCGTAGCTGGCTGTTTGGTGGCTCGGTGGCCTTTCCTGTTCAGGCGACAGACGCTCCCTTAGGACCAGGCAGCTCAGCGTCCTGGGGGCCGAGGCAAGGAGTATGCATGATACAACTCTCTGCGCAGATATACCGCACTTTGTGAACACTATGCAGGCAAGCTAGTCTGAAGCCACGTCGCAAAATGCAGCTTTGCAGGCTGAGGCCTCCGGGCTCGATGTTCCCAGCCCATTTGTGCGCCTCTGTTAGTGCCTCTTTCCATCTCTGTTGGCATACAACCCCCTCTAGCAGTCTATCTGTCTCGGTTTTCTTCTGTTTGGCCTTTTTCTGCGTGGCGGTGTAACCTCAAAAATGTCCTTTGTGTCGCTCTCCCGTATCGCAGTGCTCTCTTTGCAGTGCAAAGCATGCCGCCGCACTGTATGCTATATAGGCTAGGCCTAATACACTTGTAATGCATCGCTGAGGTGGCGGACGGCATGAAGCCGCCGCCCCCTGCCGGCACTTAAACAGTGATGCCTGCGAACAAATGTCAACTTCTCTGGCTAACAAAAGTATGAAGACGAGCTGCTGCTACGAAAAGAGGGCAGAGAGATCATAGGAGGGACATGAGCTAACAGAAGATAGAGGCCATACTCTCCTGCGCACAGCTCCTTGGAAGCAAAGGTGGCTTGAAAAGAAGAAATACATTAGAATACTTTCAACAGAGCGGCGAAAACAGACAGCGTGGGGCAAGAAACGGTAGGTGTGATGATGGGCGCACTCAGAGAGAAGGGTTTGTGAATAGAGGGATGACACGGCCGGGCTACAAGCAGATGGCACACGCACACACGCATACATGCATACATACACACATACACGCACATACATACATACACACATACACACATATATACATACACACTCATTCATTTACTTAAAGACGCACAGACGGCAAGCAGTGTGTTAGAGGGCGGGCAGACGTGAACAAACACGTGCTCGGAGAGATATACCAGAGGCTAAAGTTCGAGTAGGAGGGCCGGGATAGTCACGAGAAAGAAGGATGAGACACCGAGTGGTAGCTAAAAGTCGGTGAAGGACGCTGCAGATGCCGTGCGGAATGCGCGATAAGATGGGGGAAGACAGAACGTGGCCGAGGTGCACGGCAGGCCAGACCGGTAGAACGAATACGGGAGGCCAGAGACTGGCGACATGAAGGAGAGATACTGACTGGGCTTCAAGGGGGCATCATTGAGTACGAATAGGAAACAGAAAAGGGTCAAAGGATACCCTGTTTAAGGACTGTCTGTGCCTGGGTCCAAGAGGCAACTGCTAGACCCAAGGCCAAAAGATAAGCCCTCCTCTTACGCAGCAAGAAGTCGATAAAGGGCCTTGAGCCTCTTGGGGCCTCTTGCTATTAGAGCCTTTGGCACCCCGCTGTGCCCTCCCAGCCCGTGCCTCCGTCCGCCTAGACGCCTAAAACCACCCCACCCACATGAGCCTGTTTCCCCTAGTGCCCTCCTGTTGTCCCTATGCCAAGACAGCCACTCTTCGCCCGAAGCGGGAAAACACAGTCTGCTCCCACGCCAAAAGACGCGCCAGCCGAAACCAGTAGTGAGCTTTCTGACCGTTCTGCTAAGAAATTTCCTGAATCGGGCTTTTCCTGCCTGAAAATCCTTGTGCCTCACCCGAGAGTGTCGAAAGGAGATGCGGGACGGGGGGAGGCGGGGAGGAGGCGCTACAGGGGCGCAGTAGCCGGTTATCCCCACACAGCATAGACCTGAAGCCCTTCTTTTTATCTTCTCACCCCTCCCTTCTGTCTGCTCTCGCCGCTAAAACCTCGCCCTGTCTGCCCATCGATGCCTCCTCGCTGCATTCCCCACCACCTACCCTACGCTTTGCATCGGCATCTGAGACAATCCCAGATGGGTCCTGCCCCCTCTGCCCTCTGTCAGCCGGCGGAGAGACCTTCAGCCCCTTGCGCATCTATATATCTGTGTCGCTCTTTCTGCCTCTAAAGACCAAGGCAAAACGAACTCCCTGTAATGAGGCGCTCAGGGCCTACAGCACCTTGGACTTGCTCCTTTCTGTGTCCACAGTATCTTGCGCTTGCTCCTCAATGTATGCCTTACACGGTATATATACCTTGTGTCGTCAAAAAAACGTCATCTTGTTGATTTGCCATTTTCAGCCAGCCCGAGGCTCAAAAGGTGCAGACATTGGTCCACGCACCGTCAATTCCACTGCCGTTTTCTCGGCAGGTAATGCTATCTGACACGCGTGCCACCCTCTCCCTATCCCTTCTTCCCACCCTGTAGAATTCACCTGCTGCCTCGATCCCGTCAATTGCAAATCTCAGATAGTGCCTCTCTAGAAGGTCCTCAAAAATTACGGTGCCGGCTATCTTCACACCCGTAGCCTTTGTTACACGGCACGACACACATAGCAGCTCGGCAAGCAACTTGCTTGGCATACAACACCCTGCTATCTCAATTAAAAGCACCTAGGGGACGCTGCTGCCGTCATAGAATATTTATTTAGATAGCCAAAAGGCAAGGGTCATTCTGTGGTCAATTAGCTATCTACTTTCGGCTGGTTCGCTAAGGCCAGCCAGCAAACAGACATCGCCGCAGGTATAACACAGTCCAGGCTGCTACATTAGCCGCATTTTCAGGCTGATCGATGCTACTGGTACTACATTGACTGTTTCGCCCCGATATCTGGATTTAGCGTACATGCGTTGATGCCTCTTCTTGGCGCTTTGGCTAAGATGCCTCTTTCTCATCTTTTTCCGGCACTTCTGCATGCCCTTGCTCGCCTTGAGGTTCTTCCTGCTCTTGCGAAGCTGCCAAAACATGTTTTCCTCGGGAGTCCGTGTGGTTTTCCGCGGCAAGCTTCGTCTGCACCCTTCGCGTTTGCTCTACGCCGTGGTTGGTCGGCCTGCCGTTGCTTTATTGCTGACCCTGCAGCTGTTCGAGGTCCTGCGTCATCTGCTGCTCCTCCGACAGATGCTTAGAATATCTGTTCCCTGCGCTTCGACTGTGGCGCCTCTGCTGCTTCGCTGCCTTTCCGGCGTGATTTCCTCTCGCTTGTAGGTGCTCCTGTACGTTTTTCAGACAATCGCGAATCAGTCCATCAAGCGTTTCGCAAGCGGGCAGGGTGGCGGCCCCTCTCCCCTTCCAATCTTTTCCCAGTCGATCCCTTGGAAGTAAACGTCTGCCAAAACCTCGTCTAGCGTTATACGTTTCTCAATGTCGTCTTGCACCATTTTCACAATAAGTCGAACAAAGGCTTTCTGGTTGGGAACATCCTGGTACATTCGCACGTGCGACAGCAGCCTGGCGAAAGCCACACCTAGAGCGTAGACGTCTGTCTTAATGCTAAACGGCACATACGAGCTATCAATGCTTAGCTCTGGGGCCGTGAAGCCTCGCGTGTGCGTGGCTTCTTCTTGCGGGCAAGGGAGGGAAATTGGCCACAGCATCTCAAAGTCCGCCAGCTGAATGTGCCCTGTTTCAGAGACAAAGTAATTGGGGGGCTTTATATCCCGATGAAGAAAGCCTAATGCGTGCAGCCTCGACAAGGAGTAGGCCATCTCCGCCGCGGCGTGCTGGACGTCCATGCTCTTTGGAGCATCCCTGTAATACTGTGATAGGTCACAGCACGCCCTCGGCAGAACCAAGTAAATATTCCCTGTGCGCGGAGATCTAAACGCAGTCAAAATCGAGAAGAAGAGAGGATGGTTTCTCGGAATGTGCCACTGCATAACGTATGCCTCCCATATCGCCTGCTCCCTGCCATATTCCGGACGGTAGCTTCGGCCCTTGAGCGCAAAACCTTTTTTCCTCTCGCTGGGTCCAAGTTTTAAAAAGTCAGCTAATGCCTGCGAAGGCTTCTTCACGATACTCAGAAACGTACGCCTCCGCGTTCCCTCCTTCAAAGCACCTCCTGGAATCACCACGGGAGCTCCCGGGGGACCGACTGCACGACCCTCTAACCCGTCAGCGACCAGGCGAAACTCCGGAAAGACATTCTCATCCACGCGAGGCATTCGCATCATATACCACGTCCACGACCACGGCTTGTCTGAAAAACCAGCGGCCGTTATTATACATATATACACATAATAACACAATGCCCCTACATGCCCTCCATCTGGTCACGGCCTCCGCATCACCCCACCCCACATATGAAGAAGCGAGAGAGATAGAGAGAGAGCGAGAAAAAAAAGTGGAAAAGGCACCATCGCCTCAAAGGCTCTCTACGCGTGCAGGCCCCGCTCTACACTGCTACTTGACAGCCATGACATGTATGCATCTTGCAATCGGGAGCTATTCGCAGAAAGCAGAGGCAGCGCAACATTTCAATCCTAAAGGGCGTCCCACAGCTCACTCTTTAGGGCGTTTTCCAAAGCCTTAAAAGCCCAACGAATGGAGCTTAAATGCTCGCGCGCAAAAGCCCCCCCCGCCAGCAACATGGCCCCTGCTCCCGCGACGGCCCTGAGGAACGTAAACACAACAAAGAGACACATGAGCAGGAATGCACGCGCGGGGTAGCCAGGAGCACAGCCTGACTTAAAAGGATGCCTTCAGTTGAGTTCGAAAAAGAACCTACAGGAGGCGGCGAGGGGCCCCTTGGTTGTTTGGCTGAAGGCCCCCTGCGAGAAGCTCCAACTCCTCTTCTGTTGCACCGGCAGTCTCTGCCTCAGAAAAAAGATCCGCTAAAGCGCTTTCTGCCCCGATGTTCGCCGCATCCACGGAAGCAGTAAGGGCCTCAGGCTGTAGAGCACCTTCTACGGCAGTGCCCGTTTTATCAAACTCCGCGAGAGGGGGGGCCGTACTCGCCACAACCTCAAAATCGGAAATGGCAGGGCAAATGAGAACGCAAAATAAGGCCGCAGTAGCGGCCTCCCAACCCCGCTTCATGGCTGCTGCTGCGGTGACACGCGCGCGAAGTGCAACCTGTTGCCGCCACTGGAAGGTTTGGCGAGTATTTGTGTTGACGAAATATCCGCGTGGCCTGGATATGCATATGCCTGTGGCCCCCCACTAGCCAGCAGTAAGCCCTAGAGACGAGAGAAAGATGCATGCAGGGATTACTGCTTACAGGCTGCGCACAGCCTCAGCGGCCTCAACGAATGCGCTTGCCGCGTCATCCACTCAAGACTGGGGGCCGAGAGAGGGGTCGCCTACTACATAAAGCAGCACAGGATAGAGGAACGCAATACAGTACAGCTACCTACGAGCCACCTGCCGGCTTAGGTCCTAAGATCGTGTTGCTACTCCATGTAGAGGGGGAGCGAAGGAGACGAGGCATCACGCGTGGACTCAGCTAAACACAGACGGCTTGCACAGAAGAGGGTCAGGAACGACAGAACATGCAACCCTCAACTGTTACGCATCCCTACGTCCCTGCTTGCCGTACTTTTCCTCATGCGGCCGCGCCCAAGAAAATGTCGCTTTTAACGCACGAGCGAGTGTTGCGGCTTTTGTAGAGAACAAATCACGCCGCCGTAATTAGAGCGAATGGAAGCAACAGGAAAAATCCATCAACCCGCTGAAACAAGGGGAAAACGTGGAAGGCGGCAGTGGTTCTAGCACAACGAGCCAAGGCTTCGCAGCAGCTGTAGTGCGGGCCACATATACGGCAGCCCTTTGCAGGACGGCACTCCGTGTCTAGAGACAGATTACCTGCTATGCATTTCGTTTTTTTCGGTTGAATGGTTGATTGCGGATACATTTTGAGTTGCTAAGACGAACGCGCTACATTTGTTTTTTCGAGAACCGCGGATTCGGGGCTGCTTCGTTTCCCACATCTGTATTCTACTCGCGTTCGATTTAACCGAAAGCTGCTGCACCATGCTGCGTCTCTCCAGGGCTCTCAGGCTACATGTCAAGGTCCCTGAATTTACCAGGGACAGATTCTTCCGAAGAGTCAGTCTCCCACGGGGGAGCGTCGGGTAGGGGGGCAGAGACAGAGGGGGAAGGTACCCGCGGTATGCCATTTGTCGAGCAGGAGAGACACGGGGGAGATGCTGCCACAGGGCTATTCATTGAGGATCGAATGCTCCATCGGGAGTGTGGGAGGAGATCTGAATGCCACAGCTGTGCGTATGCATGTCGGCGCGGTGCCCGCGGCATGAAAAGGCCTACGTGTGGTTGCTGAGCGGAGAGAAGAGGGAAGATCGGTTTTTTTACTCAGGCAGCTGCGTTCGTGTTTGCTGCAGCCTAACATGTTGGAGGCCGATAGAGCAAGGCTCTACTATTGGAACCTGTTTAGCATCGCGGCTACTGCGGTTCCCATATGGTATATGATGCATGTAAGTCAGCAGCTTCGCACTTAGGGCAAGTTAATAGGAAGTTGTTGGTGGAGGGCAGTATACTGCTACGTGCAGGGGTCTGTTTTTTTTCACGGCATTTTGGCCTGCCGAAGGCCGTGCGGCGTTTGCGCCTGCAGGTAAATTACCGCTTCTGCGAAGAATCAGTGTTGCTCTCGGAATCTCTGGGTGCTTCCCGCTCGGGGAAAACAGACCTGGCGCTCTACTACCCACACAAGCTGCAGCAGCACTAAATTAGTGGAGTACAGGGAAGAAAACAGAGGAAGAAGGGAGGCGTAGGAGAAGCGGTAGGACAAGGTGGGAAACGTCCCGAGGGGTGACACACACCTTTCGGGAATGTCGCCCTCCCCGCTCACCACCGCTTGGCGAAAAAGGACTTTGTAGTCTGCTTCTCTGACGTGCTCTCTGGCTTTGTGCATCTCTAAGTAGTGAATGGTAGTGTCTCCTGATGGACGCACATATCCGGCAGCTGCCAAGGATCTGCACGTGTACTTTCCTATTCAAACCTCGTGTTGCGGCGATATCTAGGCCGCTGGCCGCGGTGACAGTTTGCAGAGGCATGCTTTATAGAAGGCTTTAGTTTCGGGAACTGCTAAGGAGCCTTCGGTGTCTTCACGATCCCCCCTGTTTTTCGCGCCGAGACTTCTCGGGCCTCCTTTCCTGAAAAAAACTGTCAGGACGCTGCCCCTGGGTGAAAAGCCTCTAACCTGCTCCGCCTTTCGGCTGAGTATTGAAGAGCCAAGAAAGGCAAGTGCATGCTCTTAGCGTAGAAGCCTATGTGGGGTAACTTCTCGGGCTCAGGGGTGGCTTACGTCGAGCGAGCTGGATCTAGGGCGTAAGACACAGCGCGTTTTGGTGTCAAACATTGGTTTACGGCAGAAGAAGGGTGTGGCACTACGCCAAGAAGGGTAGTGATGGGAATGGCAGGAGAGAAGCGGCTGCGTTGCCCACAGTGGGAACCTAAACGGACAACCGCCTTTCAGAGCGGCGGGTTAAGCTGTATAAGCAAGAAGGGGTGGAAGCAGAAAGGAAGAAGCGAGGTGTCAGTCGGTGGAGGGAGACCCCAACGGCTACTAGCGAGCAGCGGGAGGTTGTACAGATTAGTTGTAAATTACCCTCCACGCAGGATGTCCGTTCGTGCCTCTATTCTCCGGATACCTGGAAGCCTCCAGCGCCTGTCTCACTCAGGCGGAAATGCCCTCCTTCTCGATCAGACCCTCAATTCCTTTTTCTATTAAGTCAAAAACTCCTAGATGCCCCCCTTCGTAGTACCTGCAGCCATAGAGTTTTCGCCTTTTCACACCATTTTTCCGCTGGAATCTCATCACAGGGCCCAAGGGGTTGGGGGAAAATATAATACTCTTGGCCGTGCTGCCCTTGCAGCTCGCACTAGAACGGATTCTTTCCTCTCCTTTGAGACGTTTGCAACTCGCATGCCTAACCCGCCCTCTTTTTCAAGTTAAGGCCTGGCATCGAGCAGGAGGGTCTTTAGCATTTAGGGTTTCTCAAATGAAAGCTTACGGGTCGGGAACTTCTTCGGTGCCACACTGCGGGGCATAGTCCCTAATAAGAAGCTTGAGCTTGTGCTTCTGCTGTGGGGGGCACATGGACGAGAGGTTTCGAAGATTCGATCTGTCCATCGCCACTATGAGGTCAAATGTCTCGAAGTCTGCGCCCGCCCAAGACAGACCGCCAAGGACCCTGAGGAGCTTTGCGAGTGCGAATTGGCCTTGTTGCGTGTTCTCAGTTGGCGGTGTCAGGGAGGAGCGCTAAAAAGAGGCAGGCGAGGGAGATGGTTTACCCCAGATAGGTGCTTGCAAGGCGGCATTGAGGCATGCATACAGCGGGCTACGTAGGCCTCCTGCCCCCCCCCAAAACTAGCAGACACATCCAAACGGCCTGTTAAAGCCGAAACGCTGGCACTCAGCTCTAACTTACCAGATTTTCTGACCTGTCTGGCTCGGTGAGGCGTCAAGTCGATCCCTCTTTTCCTTGCGGCGGCAATCATCTCCCTCATTGCAGGGTCTCCCTCGGTATGACCTCCAGTGGCAGCAGAGGCCACATAGAGGGGCCCCTGGGAGCCACCGGGAGCTTTGGGAAGATTCAGCTTCGCCCTGAAGATGTACTCGGCTGTAGGGGAGCGGTTGACGTTCCCCAGACATACGAACAAAACGGAGCGCACCATGATGCGCAAATCCTCGGCAGAAAAACCCTGCATCAAGACTTAAATCCGAAAAGCAAAGATTAGATCCCCTTTAAAAGAGGAAGAGGGAATAGGAGCTGCATAATAGGGCCTCATGGGAAAGGACCCACGGGGGGCCGGGGAGGGGGGGCCCACAACGAATGCATTTTACATATCCTTACGAGCTAAACCCTCGTGCGAGCAGCTAAGCCTTCGATTCCCCCAAACCTTAAGCCCTACATTTCGGGTTCTAGGCCACCTTTGCCCTCTACCTTCTCGTTCCTCTTTGCAAGGGGTTCCCATCGGAGTGGGCTGCTGAAGCGCGTCGAAAATAGCTTGACGGCTCTAGCTTCCCGCATTGACCCGCCCTTCCCCCTTTCCCCCGAAAGGTCTTTGGTATTTCCTTCAGCTCAGTGCTAGCTCCCCGAATCCTGCTGAAATCTGGGCTTTTTCCGTTGCCAGGATGTCGGACGAAGGGAGTCTGCTCTCCCTCCTGCGCGAGCTGGAGCCCCTTTTCGCTGCTGGGGGGACCCCCAATACCTTGGAACTTACGAGGGCTCATCCCGAGTGGGGTTCCCATGAGAGGGTCCTAGGCCTGTGCAAGTCGCTTCAAGCACGGGAGTACATCCAGCTGACGCAAAGAGAGAAGACAGTGTGGCTCCTCACGCCCGAGGGGGAGAGTTATGCCGAAAAAGGCATGCCTGAGACCAACCTCCTGCGATGGATGCAGCTAAACCCGCAAGTATGCTCCGAAAGCTCCAGTCTCGAACCGTCGGGGGCAGAGAAGCAGCATATGTGTCCATGAGGCGGGGAATACACATAGGACTGACACTCCCTGTTACAGGCAAAGAGAGCTCTCGCAAAACCTTAGCCATGTACAGAATATCAGTATTCCTAGATGTACAAGCAAGCACGCAGCCGCACTGGCTGCAAGCGAAGGAATTATCATGAGGGCCAGGCCTCCTTTCGGCGTATAGGGCTTGTCTGTTACCGCCGTTCGCTGCGTGATGCTCCGATGCAGGAAGGGGGATATGAGCTGGATGCACTCAAACGCAGTTTCGGGGCTGAAACAGATGTTGCCCTGGCGAATGCAATGAAACTCGGATGGTGCAAATTCGACAAGCAAACCAAGAGGGTGCAGCCACAGCAGAACGACTCTCCCCAGGCAGCGCCTCAGGGAATGCCCGAAGCCATTGACAAGGGCCAGAGCATCTTGAAAGCCATCAGAGAGTGGCGCGAAAAGGATCAAGAAACCGTGGAAGATACGGAAGAGCTGCTGCTGGATGCACTGCGCACCATCGAGCCCGCAAAACAACCGGACAAACTCTTGCAGGTTGGGTGTTTTTTTGTAGCCTTCTCTGCGAATGTACTCTCGAGTGTTCTCCTGCCGTCACGATGCTTAATGCAAGATATCTGGACAAGTGGACTGTTGCTCTTCTTCCTGCATCCGGGAAGGCATCGATACCTCCGCAGGGTTGACTGTCGCTTGGGCTTCACGGCGTGATTGTGATGGCGTGTGTTGCCTGGCAATAGGAGCTGAAGAAGCGGAAGCTCGTCGAAACAAAGAGGCTGAAATTCTTCGCCCTTGCGAAGGCAGCGAATTTCAAAACGGAGCTCCAGAAGCCTCTGGCAGATTTGACAGCGAAGTGCATCGCCAGCGATCAGTGGAAGCAACAAGGTGGGTAAACTTAGTTTTTAGGGGTTGTTTAGAGAAGAGTTCCGTGCGCGAAAGTCTACAGGGTAGGGAATGGGGGCACGGGCGTTGATGAGACTCTGCAGGTCTAGCTTTCACGATTTGTTGCCTCCTATGTGGTGTATGCACACTGCTTGGCTTGTTTGAGCGGTGTTGCGCATCCGAAGAGTTGAAGCCATACAACTTCTTCGCCTGCGGCACCAAACTGCGGCGAGGCGCCCCACACCCGCTCATGTTGGTGCAGAAGCAGTTCAAGCATGTCCTTACGGCCATGGGCTTCCAGGTATGGCCTTGGCGTTTGTAGGGTGTTGAGATTTAAGGTTTGGCATGATGCTGCTAAAGAGCTGGGTTTGCCTGGAGTCACTTTTAGCATTGGAGGAAGCTAATGACATGCCGTGCTGATTTGAGGAGTTTATTTGCGCGCGTGCGTGTGTGGGGGGGTCTCGCATTTATCTCTGCGTGGCCCGCATGCGGATGTGCGTGTCGCTTGCTGATAACATTTTTTGGGAACTAAGACCAGCTTGGTGCCGACTCGCGTTCGGACTTCGGCTTACTACCCTTTGAGAGTGTGTTCATGGGTTTGGTGGGTCCTTCAGGAAATGGACACCAATCAGTTCGTGGAGAATTCCTTCTGGTGCTTCGACGCCCTCTACATGCCTCAGCAGCACCCCGCAAGAGACGCGCAAGATACATTCTTCATCAAGGTCTATCTCGGGTTTAGCGAGGAGCGGGGTGGTGCCTGCAGTGTTCAGGGCTGTAGCCGTGATGTACAGAGGTTTCGTGAGGGTCACTCCCAAAAGTTATTGGATGTGCAGCAGCGATCAGTCCGAGAGGGATGTGCTTAGAGCATTTATTTGAAAAGATCAGAGCCTATTGAGCCTTTCAAGGTCCTTCTGTCTCTGCACCCGAGATGGTCTGTGTTTATTAGGGGGAGTCCACAGCGCGCCTCGAGGGACGTGGGTGGTGTGTGATGTGTTGCTTTCCGTGTGTGCCCTTTGCATCACTGCATCTGCAGAGCCCCGAGCGCAGCCATCCCTCGATGCTGCCTGAGCAAGTAGTCTCGGATGTGCGCGTCATGCACGAACAAGGCGGATGCGGCTCCACAGGATGGAAGTATACTTGGTGAGGCATTGCTCTCTTGAGGTACAGGGTGTCTCTGTAGACTGTCCGTCTGCGCGGACATAGTGGACAGCAGGCGAGGGGCGAAGAGAAGTTCGCATACCCCATACGAGGACTTTCCTCCCCGTAACGCCGTCTGCTGATGTGGCGGGGGGGGGGATGGGGTGGCTTCAGGTCTTTGGATGAAGCCACCAAAAACATTATGCGAACTCACACCACTGCCGTCTCTGCTCGAATGTTGCACCAGATGGCTAAGGAGTACAAGCAGGCAAGCACCCTCATTACCGTTGCATTCGCTCCTGGCGAGGCGATGACAGTGCGGATGATGATGCGGATGATACCACAGCAACGTCACATAGATCTCAACAGACAGGCGCTGACTGTGGCTCTCAAGGAACCTCACCCTTTTGCTGCTAGGTCTTGCACAAAAATGTGGAGTTTCGGGTTTGTGCTGCAGACGGGCGTGTTCACACCTCGGAAGCTTTTTTCGATTGACCGAGTGTTTCGCAATGAATCTCTCGACGCAACACACCTGGCGGAGTTTCACCAGGTACAGTTCAGGGGTTGAGAGACGCATAACGCGCGAGCAGGCCCCATGGAATACAGAGGAAGAAAAAGCAGCACCCTGGGGGTGGCCAGCCGGCAGCCATTACGGGGGACGAATGTGTCGAATGGAAGAAGATTTGGTGGCAGCCAAAGGGTCTGGATTCGGCTGTTTTCTCAGGTGGAGGGAGTTGTTGCGGGTTACGGCCTTTCTCTGGGGCACCTCATGGGCGTAATGCGCACGTTCTACACGGCTATCGGCATCGAGGAACTACGGTCAGAGAAGAAGCTCTCGAGGCCTGTATCACGCTTTCAGATTTTCGAATTATCATACACACATGCTGCAAGTCTATTCCAAGTAATTAAGGGCTTTTCAATTGTGTGCTGCAGATTCAAGCCAACATTCAATCCCTATACGGAGCCGTCCATGGAGATATTTGGCTTTCATACAGGCCTTCGCCGGTGAGGCCTTCGCTCGTGAATTTGGGGGCTGTAGACACAGTTTGTCTGTTTATGCTCGGTGCTGTAGGGGCCACATGCTTCGGGGCGGCTTCTTGTTTAAGGCTTCTAGGGCTTCATTGCATGGTGACTGCTGGACGTGACAGGTGGATCGAGGTTGGCAACAGCGGAATGTTCCGTCCGGAGATGCTCCGGCCCCTAGGCCTCCCGGAGGATGTTGTTGTAATTGCATGGGGGCTCTCTCTCGAGCGGTAAGGAGCACACCTATCGCAGATGTTTTGTAGACAGAAGTAGCGGCAACGAGGCAGGCAGCCCAGCGAGGACATGTTCGGGGGGTGATGGGGTAGGGGGAGGGAAAGCGAGCGAAATGTGCGGAACAAACAAGCAAGCAAGCCAGGGTCAACTGAAGCGAAGTGTAGGGGGCAGCGTAGGCTGGAGACAAAGAACGGCTGGCCCACCTATAGGCACATAGGCAACAGAGCGTTGGAGGAGACTGCAGATGGAATCTTGCTTCCTTTTATTCTCTCGTTCTCTTCGCTTTTCCCATCTGGTGCCTGCTCTTTCTTGAACCTTTTCTCCACACAAAGTGTGGGAGTTCTGCTCTATTTTTGCGTGCTCGGTCGATGCCCCTCTCCTTGGCTGCGTGTGTCTCTATATTGCTCTGTTTGCCTGCTGCCTATAGCCATCTCGTTCCAATGTTGCCTGCCATCAAGTCACTTCCTCTGGATGCTTTTTGTTCAGGCCTACAATGATCAAATATGGCCTCAGCAATATCCGAGAGCTCTTCGGGCACAAGGCCCTTTTAGGGGGTGTCTAGAACAAGCCCCTTAGAAGCAGTGCCGTTCGAAGTGCTCTAAGGGGAGCTTCTGATGATTGTCAATAAAAGGGTCTTGAGTGTGGCAGCCATCAGTTTCGTGTTGCTGGGGGGCCTTCAACGCGAGTCTGGGAGAAGGGCCTATTGGGCACCGTACAAGTGTGCAGGGGGAGCAGAACCCCCTGCGACGCCAGTCTTCCCCGAAAAGGATGTGTGGTGTCATCGCGGCGATTTGTTGGTATGGAATTTTTGCCTCAAAGAGATTCCTGATTGCTGGCTCTGTTGCTTTTTGTTATTGATGGTGCTCTAGGATTTAGGGATGCCGCTCAGGGCTCGGGTAGGGGATTATCAAAGTGCAACGCTACAGAAGACGGTATACTAAATAGATCGGTGTCCTTGAACGCTGCTAAAGGTGGTCTGCAAGCAACATTTTAAAGGGGCCCCTTAGTTAGGGGTCCTGGTGGCTGCTGCAACAGCAAGCACGCATCTAGCCAGCAAGGCCCTCCAGGGAGCACTGGGGACGATGGGGTGAGCCCCTTCGCAAAGCAGTCGCTTTAGCAGAGGCATTGGCAACAAGCGATGGGGCCTCATGACCCTGCCTTTCCGAGGTGGTCTATAGCGTGGTGTTCTATAGCGTCTTTGGCGGTACGCAGATGGCAGATAATTTCGGAGAGGCGTCCGCTAAAGTCCTTTAAAAGGCCAATCATTGCTGGGATGTCTCTTTCTGTGGGGTCTCTGTTAAGGGCTCCACAGGAGTCGAGACACCCCAACTCGCCGTCTATGCGGCCATGGACCAAACCCAGACGCATGCAAGTCAACACTAATTCCTCAACCTCAAGCTCTGTTAGCCACGCTTTTGTTGCTGCTGGGGTGCTGCTCCACCTGTCAAGCACTTCGCATCGACCTTCTATTTCGAGGTCAACCTGGGAACACTCGGCAGAGGCCCCTGCAGGTTCGCAGCATCCAGGTGCTGCGAGCGCCTCCTGAATCTCGGAAAAGGCGAGGTGGGGGGAGACAGACGCTAAGGATGCCACCGTGAGCAGCCTAAGCTTGAACAGTATTGCTGGCGGTATAGGGGCCCCCAGAAGAGCTTCTCGACGCTCCACGAGATCTCGTACGGTCCCTGAGGCCATCAGTCGAAGCAAGAAGAGGGCTCGGGGGCCCCCCTCTAGGACACCCCCTTCTGCTGCGACCTCCTCGTTTCTGGAGGCCCCCAATTGCTGCACATTTTCCAGCTCCAGAAGTTCCCCAAATACGAAAACTTCGGGGTGCACTAGGGCTTCTTCAATGATTTGCATCAAGCTAGCCCCTTTCGCCTGGCGCGCGCGGGCAACAAGCGAGTCCAGGTGCCTCCTGCATGGCCCCCAGAGGGCCCCCATGGAGGCATCTGTGAAATCCTCGCACATGCAGGGTGTCGATACAGACAAACAGAAACAAATGAAGGGAGGGCCCGTGGACACGTGAACAGACTCTCCACAGGGAGGGGCCCCCCAAGATTCAGAACCTTGGTCCTCCGGCCGGGAAGTCTGGAGGTCAAAGAATCACAAATACACCTCCAAGCATAGCAGTAAAGGTGTGAATATGTATACGCCTATGCATATGCAAATATGTCCTAGGCAGGAGCCATCAGGACCCACACACAGGCAGATAGGGGGGCCCCCAGCTACCGTCTCCTTGATTCAGGGGGCCCCTCAGCAGTCTATTCCTGAACTTCTAAGGGCCCGTTTTCTCGCCTGATGAATGTCCGCTTTGTAACGGGTCTGTAATCGGATGTCTTATGAACAACTAAGAAAAATAAATGCGTGAGAGTGAGAAAGTCATTGAACGAGCACTGTCGTTCCTTGCCGGTACAGCACTGACACCCGAACCCGGAAGATCGCAGCCGCAGCTCTCAAGTCACTCGGTGTGCATCGCCTCGGTTATACCCTGAAAATATTTCTTCTAAGCCAAATCAAGCCTTAAAACGACCAGTAGGCAGCTTTAAGGAGAACACAAGATTCAAGTTCCTTCGTTTTCCACGCGCACCCGCTTTCGTCCCGCTAGCCGCTTGCGTTCCCCGGCTGCGGATCCTGTTCACCGGGGAGTCTATTCTTGCTCTTCCACACATTATTTTTACTTGCCGATTGCCTTTTCCTTCAATTCTCGAAGATGCATGCGCAAGACATAACATGCATGGCAGCGGTTGCGTTCGCCCCGAACGAGCCTCTTAAGGTGACCCACTGAAGATACACCTGCGGCACCACGTCTCCCGGAGGTCCCTCCTCCGAGAAGGGACTCCCTACAGGCCAGTTTGAGTGAACGAGGCGGGCGGAGGCTATGAGCCCTCCGTATGTGGTGCCTGGGCATCTCAGGGCGGTGCTAGAGGAGGCAGCAAAGCAGTGCAGAGCTACCTGCAAGAGTTCCCTGCATGCAGACACCTTTGGGAGTCCCAAAGCATAGTGAAGCAGCACATGCAGATACATTTAGCGTGCTAGAACACGCATGTCTGCGCTTTTTGCTACGCCAGCAGTCCTGTGCTTCCCTGGTGGGGGGTCGTCCAGAGAAGGGGGTCAGCAGACCTAAGCCGTTCTCTAGGCCGTATGGCAGCAAACGCCTCCTCTGCCGCCATCCCGCAGGAGCGTTCGAAATGCGCTTGTGTATGCAGCTCTGCACGGTGGTGGTTGCGCCTCCCAAGGCGGGAGAAGTTCGCGTGCGTGTTTGCTACGCTGCACCCTGCCACACGGATGAGGCAAGGCCCGAAATTTATCCGCTTATCTGGCCCCTCTTTCCTTGTGGTTTTCTACGCCTTAGCCGTATTTTTCTTAGGAGCGCCTTGCCCTTCCTGCAGCGCCTCATGCTTTTCTCGCTCTTTGGCGGGCAGCTCTCGCCTCCTCTTTAGGGCTCACGAGGCCGCCTTGGGCTCTGCAAGCAAATTCGGAAGCCACCCTGTTGGCTGCTCGCACACCAAGAGGACGTAGAAGCCTCGAGCGCGTCAGCCAGCCTTGCATGCACTCGGGCTGCTGCTGCTGCTGCTATGCAGAAAAACTCGCTCTCTTGTGCTTTTGGACTGCACAGTATACCCGGAGTGGGAAAGACATAGAGGGCCGCTTTCCCTGCATTCTTGGTCACGAGGCATCTGGCATTGTTGAGGCTGTCGGCGAAGGCGTGGAAACGTGCAGCGTTGGCGATCATGTTATTCTTTGTTACCAAGTTCGTGAGACATCTATCCGAAGCGTTCAGGGACTAAGCAATGCGGGAGCAGCACTTCCCTGTCTAAAACGCTCTTGCGCAGTGAGTTTCTCGTCAAAGTGCCCTCCCAGTTCACCTTTTCGCATGCGCGAGTGCGGGGCTGCATGCCGGGATGCCTCAGGCTGAGTGCTTCGCTTCTGACCGCGAAAAAAAGAGCTGCGTGACTTGCGAAGGATTCTCCAAGCGAAAGACCAATCTTTGCGGAAAGATACGCGCCTTCACTGGGCGAGGTGTCATGAAAGCTGACGGAGGAACACGCTTTAGGCTTCTCGACAATACGCCTCTCTTCCATTTTATGGGCCTTTCTGCGTAGGTCCTCCCCCCCGAAACATCCCCAAAAGGCAGCCAGAGAGAGAGCCAAAAAAGGAATTCCACTTACCACCGCCACATTTTCTGGCTCGCTGCCTTCTTCATCCTTTTTTCGCCTCCACTTGGCTAGGTCCCTCCCTCCTGCCCCCCTTTGCTTGTTCCTCTTCCTGCATCTGCCATGGTGCTTGCTCGTCTGTCTGAGCCCCCCTTGCCTGTCCAATTTAGCCGCCATCGTGCGAAAAACGCCTCTATGCACAAGCTACCCTCGGCTGCCGCTGCTCTTAAGGCTCCGTATGTTCCTCAGATTTTCCCAATTCACTGTAGTTCACCAGGAGGCGGTAGCTCCAATCTCGCCTGCGGAGCCTTTGGACACGGTGAACTGCAGATAGGCAACGTGATGCGGCTGGCGATTTGTCTGTCTGGCTAGCTGACTAGCTGGCTAACTTGCTAGTTGGCTGGCAGCTCAAAGGCTGCCGCCGTAGGAGACGCTGGCTCCCTGAAAGGGAGAGCGAACGCAGGCGTTGTCATCCTGTCTCTCTCTCTTTCCTTCTGTATGTATACATGTATCCATATATATATATGTATACATATATGTATAAACATATATATGTATGCATATATACACATATATTTGCGTACCCATATACGTATATACACATAGATATGTATACATGTATGCACATATATTTGTATACGTGGGGAGATTAGGGGGCTTGCGGGGGAAGGCTAAACGCGGATATAAACCACTGCAGAGCGCCACATGTTGGGTCGTCTGTTGTCTCTTTGAGGCCCGCACAAGACAGCCTGCAGGTGCCGGCGTTTCTCTCTCTGCGCGCATGTTTTTCCTTGCTGCTTCTATTACATCTCTAACTGTGAAGGTGAACGGAACCTCCTCCTTTCCTCTGCAGCCTTTTCGGTGGCTTGCGCTTTTCTGCAGGTCTGCCTTTTGGGCTGTGGAGTCGCAACAGGCCTTGGCGCGGTCTGGAATACAGCAAAGGTTCAGAAAGGAGACACTGTGGCCGTCTTTGGGTAGGCTTCATGTCTGCCGTATCTGCGCCTCTTGCCTCGTTGCTTGCCGTCGCACTTCCCATAATCACCTTCCCAAACACCTCCCCGCCATCGTATGACTCCCTACCCGCCCGCGTATATATTTTTTCGTCTGCTTCCCCGCAATAATCCTCCGTATCTCTTCATGTATGCCCTCAATCCCTTTAGGGCACGCTGGCTGGCCTCCTCACTCGGCCTGTCTATCCATTTGTCGCTTCCCTCCTCCCGCAAAGCCCCCTATTTTCAAATGCTTTGTGCACGCCTTTATTACATGCATTTTTTAACATCGCGTGCGCTGTCTTAGTGCCTCTTGTGCTGCCGCTTTGTTTGGATCGGGCTGTCTGTGGGCTGCACCGCCTTGTCCACTGGGGTCTCCATGCCACTTGCTCTCCTGGTGCTTTTGCCACTCGATTGCGCGTGTCATGTATACGAGCCTATTGACGCGTATTGATGTCTACATAAGTTTGTTTATGTGTGTGTGTATCTGTGTGTCTGTATGTGTATATACATATATATGTGTGTATATATGTGTGTGTATGTGTGCATGTGCATAATGCGAGAACCCATACATGTTCTCCCGCGTGCATTTACGTAGGCTGATGACTTTAACTTTGCACCTAGCCTTAATCACTGTCTGCGCATGCTACTCAGTGCAGGCGCGGTTGGCTTATCGTGCATAGAGGGCAGCCGTATTGCCGAAGCCTCCCGCATAATTGCTGTTGATCGCAACCGACAGCGGGCTTTGCAGGCCTTCCAATTTGGTGCTACCGACTTCCTCTGCCCCTTGGACTTCCCAGAGCAGTCTCTTCAAGACGTCATCTTACAAAAGTTTGACGGTGCTTATTCCTTCCCAGGCGCGCGGGATTAAGTGCATCCTCTTTTACAGAGGAGCGCTGGGGTATTGAGTTGTCAAGTGGGAATTCTGAGTTGTAGAGCACAGAGTTTCGTGCGTTCGACAGTTGTGTTGTGCTGCATGCGCCTCTAGGCGGGACTGCAACGCTCTGTTGACTGCTTTCTATGAGGTTGTGGGCTACGCTACCCAAGGCCAGCGCCACATATGTATATATATATATAGATACATATATATACATATATATATACATACGTGTGTGTGTGTGTGCGGTTTCGAATTCTTGCACAGGAGGCGTCGACTTTTCTTTCGAGTGTACTGGAAGCGTGTCTGTAATGCGATCTGCCTTTGAATGCACGAAGAAGGGCTGGGGAGTCTCTGTCGTCCTTGGGTAGGCAACTCGCGGCTTCGAAAGCCACGTCCTGCACACTCTCTAACGCTTTGCCTCTTTTTTTTCACATCAGCTTCTCTGGTTAGTGCATTGCTGTGTGGAGTTCTCTCGACTTCCGACCCTCTGCAACACACAGTCTCTACAGGTCAAGGCTATCTGAGCTCCTTCCCTGTCTGCCTTCTTGTTGTTTGCTTCCGACAAATGGAAATGGGGTGAAGGCGAGCACAGGAAATTGTGTGGGGTGGCCTTCACGGCTCTTTTTTCCTTCCTTTATGTGTTCTCTGTATCTGTCTCTCTCTCTCTGTCTGTCTTTCCCTCTCTGTCTCTCTCTGTCTCTGTCTCTCCCTCTCTCTATCTTTCCCCCTCTGTCTCTCTCTGTCTGTATCTGTCTCTCTCTGTCTGTCTTTCCCTCTCTGTCTCTCTCTGTCTGTATCTGTCTCTCCCTCTCTCTATCTTCCCCCCTCTGTCTCTCTCTGTCTGTCTTTCCCTCTCTGTCTCTCTCTGTCTGTGTCTCTTCCTCCCTGTTCTTTTATGTGTGTCGTGAGTCCGCATTCCGCTGTATGCAGCGTAGCAGGACAGGGCGAAGAGCTGTCAACGAGGCCTTTCAACCTTATCGTTGGACGGCAGTGGAGAGGGGCTGCCTACGGCGGCTGGCAAAGCCGCACTGATATGTCCAAACTTGTCGAGCTTCATAGGTCCAAGCAAATTGAGTCAGCCATATACCCTCTATTGCTTTCACCAATTTTTTGCTTGCACTGACTCGATGGTAGAGAGAGGCTTCTCGGCAAACCCACAAGCATGCCCCTTGTGTTCGGTAAAGGTTTCAGGGGCAATCGAGCGCAGGACCCTTGCATTCATCGCCTCCTCCTACGACCGTGCACACTGTCAGCGAGTTGCCTGCTTCGCTGTACAAAACGTCTATCACGTGTGTGGTTCTCATGCACTTGGGGTGTGTATATGCACAGCCTGAATCGCTACGTGACGCATCGACTGACTTTGGAGAGAATTGAGGAGGCCTTCGACATCCTCCGCAACGGTAGCTGCATCCGCTGTGTGCTCAGTATGCACGAGGGAACCGCAACTTGAAGACGCAAACGTTCCCAGTCGTCCTTTTTCTCTTTCTTTCTTTCTCTCTTTCTCTCTTTCTTTGCATTCTTGGTATCTGTCTGTACTATTTGTGCGTCTGTATCTGTCTGTCCCTCTCTTAATGCACCCGTTCGCTTCTGCCGGCAGGCGCGCGCCTACTCTGTGAGCTGACCCCAGTTCCCCAATTTATCTCTGGTACCTCCAGCGACTAGCCTCCTAAATTGCGCTTTCCATTGTTACCGCAGCAGCTGTGCGTACTGCTGATCCTGCCTGTAGCAGGAAATCTCGCCGCTACTGCTGTTGCTCTAGAGCACGTAGGCACTGACAGCTAGCTCTAAAAGCAGGCCTCTGGCTCTAAACTCAAAATTAAATACTGGTCAAATAGGGTCAGAAAGCTCTTTTCTGTCCCCTGAGAAGCTAAAGCACTCTCCGCGTCTTTTTACTACTGCTGCTACCGGTGCTTCCAGCACTGCTGCTGCCACTACTGCTAAATGCTGCTACTGATGCTGTTAAGGCCTTAGCATCCCCCCCACAGAACCTGAACCTCTGCTGCCGCAGCGGAGGTAGCGGCATCCCAAGAAGTCTCCTAGAAATGGAGATCTTCATACGGAGTCCTGGGGAGGAGCGTCCCTCGAGACCCTCCACCTGTGTAGCTCAATCGATGGGGGCTGCGCCATCGTGATGCCAGTCTCTCGCCAGCCTCTCGCTTTGCTTCTGAAACCTCGGGGTCCTTTCTGACGTCTTCCGGGAGGCCTTCTAAGGGGCATTCTGTGGGCATGTGAGGCAAGGGAGGAAAAGGCTTGACCAATACGGCCCGTTGCACTTTTGGGCTACTCTGATAATCGTCCGCATCCTCCTGCAGCGGCTGCTCGTGCTCGGAATGGTCCACCTCCTCGGTCATATCCTGCCGCTTTGGCTGGTTGTCTTGAGGTACTTGGGGAGACGCTATGTGCTGTGGGGAAGTGATATCAGCCGCAGGGGGCTCTTCTGGGTGATTTAGACCGGGAACTGCCGCATAGTGGGACTCCACGATTTCATCCTTGGGGTCCACGTGTCCCATCAGGAGGTCCATATCCTCCCCCTGACTATGCATGAGGACCACGTCAGTGTGAGGGGACCCGTCCGTCATGGGAATAGGGGCCCCACCCTCAGTCCCCGTATTGTCCCTACTAAGTCCTAAGCGGTTCCCGCCAGCTGAGAGCGCCTTTTCAAATTGTAACTCGCAATGATTGCCAATCGCTGACCTGTCTAAGTCTTTTTTTGTGAGCACTGCGTCCCGATGTGGTAGAGGCTCCTCGTGTCCAAAATGTAAGGGCTCGATGGGCCTCCATGTGGAAGGCCCTCGGTGACTCCACTGATGGGAAATTTGGTGCCCTGCGTCTGGTTGCTGCATAACTTCAATGCTGTTTCTGAGAATGCCGATGGTCTCTTCAGCTACCGCTGCCCCTACCTCTTTAATAAGGGTGCCTAGGCCAGAAGCAAGGCGGGCACCCGCCACCCTGAGGGCCTTTCCAGTTAGTAGCAAGGCCTCTCCCACTGGGCCACGTGGAGGGGAAGGGACAGGGAGGCACATGTCAGCCGTTGGGTCGGTTAGATAACCTTTCAATGCGCCTAGAGGCAAAAACGCTGGGAGCTCCGAGGCAGTGAAGACCGGTGGGGAGGTACCTAAGGGACATAAGTAATCTGCCGCATCCCCCGTCTGCTGCACCAGCGGGGGCTGCGGCTGCTGCGCAAGTTGCGCCTGTGGCCGAACAACGTATGGCTGCTGCAACACCATGGAGGTCATGTGTTGTCCTAGGCACTGTGGCTGCAACTGCTGCTCAAAGAGGCGGTGCTGCTGCGGCGGCTGCTGCAGTGGCTTCTGCTGTGGCAGGCGGGGAGAGAGCAAGTGCTGTATTCGCTCCTCTGTAGTGGACAAAGGGCGAATGAGTAGGGGCTTCTGGGGTATTTGTAGCCGTACAGCAGTAGGCGATACGGCGACTGGTTGTGCCTGGGAGGCTGCAACATGAGGTCGTGGAGTCAGAGGGGATACTTCGTTGCTGAGGAGACCCCCTTGTCTCTTTTTGCCTCCAAATATGCGCGATGCACCCCCCAAAAACAGTTTCTTCTTGCAGGAGCCTTGATTGCCGTACTGTAGGGCCCCGACCTGCGGCTGTGCTGGTGATTGGTTTGCTGTTGTAGCTGTTTTTGACACTAGACGACTTTTTTTGGTGTTTTTCTTGAAAGGGCCCTCGGAATCTCCGCAGCAAAGAAAGGGCCCTACAGGCACCACTTCGTGCAGCTGCTGCACAGAAGTGGACCTCAACATACGGCTTCCAAGCGGTCTCCCAAATCCAGATGCTGTCACAGGCGCTGCAACCCAAGCCTCTACGGATCTCCGCCGCACGCTAGCCTCCTCTCGGGCTTCCCTGCGATAAACACTTCTCTGAAGGGGGGCTATTGGACTGCGGAGCGCTTCAGCTGTCATCTGCTGGGGGACTACCGGCATCTGCATAGCGCCAGATATCCCCAGCTGCTCCTCGCTGTGTATTCGCAGCTCCCTCTGCTGATGCCGAGTGGGTGCCGGATATTCCCTAAAAGTTTGAAGTGACTCTGTCAGCGGGAGAGTCCCCGTAAGACTCGAGGGCACCAGGTTTCCGTAGGAAGTTCTAGCCTTTGCAAGCGTCGGGGCAGTGTTGCATTGGGTGTACATACACTCGGCAGCGTGGTTTTTGAGGATCACGAGCGGCTCTGTGGCCCTAGAGGTCTGCTGATTATCTCCTACTGGCACGTCGAATTGAGTAGACACCGAAGAGGGGGAATCTGCGGACACAGTCATCGAGGGGCTTTGTGGCAGCTGCATGTGTGAGGAGTTTGAGTGGGGGGCCCCAGCACCACCTGGTGGGAACATCGCGGCTGCCCTGAAGGGGCTTTCTGGGCGAACCATCTGTAAGGTGAGCCTCTCAGGACTACCGCAGTTGTTAGCCTCGCTGCTAGAGAGGGCTTCTAGTTTCTGCCGCTGAAAGAGGGAACCCTCGTTCTTTGCGGGGGTCCAAGTCGCACGGTTCTCTTCCTGGAGGGTCTCCCCAGCACCGGTGGCTGCCATATGAGAAAACGGATAGCCAAGACTGTACGACAGAGACGTGTCTGTAGCGGTCAATACATTTTCGGGATCTTCAGTCCCCGTGAATGACTCCTGAGCCATCATCTCCCGAGAGGTCGTCTGGTTGTGTTTTCCAACGAGAGAGATGGCGGGGCGCTCGCTACCGGGGATAGCCGCCATATAGTTTGTCCCTGTAGGCGCTGCAGAATGGAGACCTCCAGGAACACCCTTGGGCATGGCTTGACTGCCGTCAACGCGCATATCGTAGCAGGGAACTGCCGAGGCGTGCCCCGCAAGCTGTGCCGATTGTCGCTCAAGCTGCCGCTGCTCATGTTCCTGAAGTTGACACGCGTTCTTTCCGGAAGGAGGTAATGTATCCGGCGAAGAAAAACTAGCAGACGCTTCCAAGTCAGGGGTCATCGTAGGCCTCTTCTGTTTCGCCACGCGCAACGGGAAGTGAGGTAGAGGGGTCTGAAGAGGGGCCGTCTGTGGGGCCTCCAGCGGTGCTACAGTGAGCGCTTTAGGGGCCTCTTGTGGGTGTGAGGGCTTCTGAAGAAGCTCCTTCTTCGTTTCAGGGATCTTCTCAAAAGCGTTCTGATTTTCAGAGACCCCTGTGTCCTCTTTCTCCATTGCGTACTCGTTAAGGGCCTCCGATGCACCAGGAACAGGGAAGTACTCTCCCGCTTCATCTGCTGCCTCAGGGCTTCCACGACTTTTCTCGCAAGGGCTGTCGCTGGCCGCCTCTTCTTTGGTATCCATAGTTACTACTTCAACCTCATCAGGCGTCTCCTCCAAGTTTCCCTGGGAGGCCGCTCGACGGCTGTCTCCGTAAGCGTCTCCCTCAAGAGGGGCCCAACCACCGCCTTTTTGTTTCCCCGGCAGATGTGGAGTACCTGGATGCGTGTGTCCTCCATCATGATCGAACATTTCCTTCTCAGGAAGCTGCCAGCTAAAGGGCTGCTGGCAGGGAGGTTCCCCTCTAGTGTATGGCCGGCTAAAGCTGTCTCTATTCAGAGGGCCTCCAATGTCGAGGAGAAGGGGTGACTGGCGGGGCCTCCTCATAGGATCCTGTGGGATAGGTGCCCTCCTCAGAAGAGCTTGATTATCGTGTCTGCCAGGTGTGCGAGGGGTGAAAGAGAGCAAAGGCGCATCGTCGCCTCCGTTGGGGGTAATCTCTTGACCCTCTTCTTCATAGACCGCAGCTAAGCAGCAGTGAGCCTCTTGCTCTCTCTCCAGAGAGGCCCCCATGGGGGTCTCTCTGGGAGATTTCCCCACAAGGCCCTCAGTACAAGCCTCTAGCGGGCTCTCTACAGCGTCCGCGTTGCAGGCTTCTACCTTTGGCCAGAGTAGATCAGAACGAAGTCCAGCCGGAGCGTGTTTGGTGCCGCCTTGGATATCTTGTGGAGGCACATTTTGAGACCCCACGAAAGAGCTTCTATCTGACGCTTCACCGGGAGACCCCGCGTGGCCCCCTGTATGGCGCGAAGGTTGAGGGAGTGGAAGAAAGGTTTCGCAGGGTTCTGTGTCTCGAGGCGTCCTGGGGCTTACGGCGGGAACATCTGGGGGGCCTCTCGGGAATTCTGGTTGTTTTTGCTGCGCGCAGGTGTTGACAAAAGCCGCTTCTCCGTATCGCAAACCCTGCGGCTGATGTGTGGAGCTGAAACTAAGGCGCCCGACGGGTTCTGGTCGGTCCAATAGGGGGCCCCCCCTGGGAGGCCTCTTGAACGCCCCCTCGGGTCTGGGTAGCTCCCTTCGTGCCACCGGCTCTCTAATACGTTCTTTATTGATCCTTAGAGACTGCGGAGTCTCCTCGGCAATCCCAAGGTCCTTCCGTCTGCGCTCCTGCTGGATCCTTAAAAAGAAACGATGAGCTTCCAAGCTGCTGGTGGGGGGGCCCCTGTACTCCGGGCGTGCAGGGCTTACTGTCTCACGCACGAGTGACCCCCAGCTAGGATACACCAGCGTTTCTTCCCCCTCTGCGGGGAAGGCCCCCAGGACCTCGTCGAGCCTCACAGGAGGGGTCTCCTGGATGCCTTCTTCCCGGTATGTCTCTGGCAGATCGTGCGACACAACACTGCTAGAGGTGTCCAGCGGGCATGCCGAGCCAACGTGAGGCAGATGCCCCTCGCTGCTGCAGTCTAGCACGTCAAAGGCATTGTCGGAAAAGGATGGCATGCGAAACGGCCCCTTTGAGGGGCCCGAGGCTTCGGAGTTCGGGGGCCCTTCTTCGGTTGCCTGGCTGCTCGTATCCTGCGAGGTTTCCTCGTCATCTCCGTCCGCCTCGCTTGTCTCGGCAGCCGGATCAGTCACCAGAAACACAGGCGTTTCACTTCCGCTGTTGTAGGGTCCACTGGGACAGCCCTCACTGCTGCTTAAGCCACTGGCGCAGTCATGTGGTATGGGTTCCTCGAGTGTAGAGGACATGCTTGTGAGGGAAGGAGGGGCTTGCGGGCCTATTGCTAAGGATACAGTGCATGCCTCTCTCTGTGCTGTGGGTGCTGCGCTATTGGTGGCGACATGGCTGTTCGTGCTGTTGCTGCTGCAGTCATCGATTGCTGCCGACTGGTGAGAGCACTGCCCATTCGAAAGCTGCAGTACGGGGAGGTACTCTGATGAACCATCTTCACTTTTGTCTTCGTCTGAAGAACAGGGAGCTGTGGAGAAGGCGAGGGGCTCTTCCGTATCTCCTTCAGCAACATGAAGGGCCAATGGCGTGGTGCAACAGTTGGCTGCGGGGTACAAGGGCGCGGCAGGAGGCCTTTCCACGTCGTTCTCGGTTTCCATCCTTTGAAATAAGAAGTTTCAGCGCTAAAGACTAGTGCATTGGGGAGAGGTCAAAGAGTGCCCGAATACTAAGTTGCGCCTTCAGCTCGCCATCCCTGAGGCTCGCTGCGTGTGTCGGCGGCAGTTGTGGTGTCTACTGAGCCGGTGTTGGTAGGCTCTTTCCGGCTTTGGCTCACTTAGTGCACCGAATCACAGCCAAGAACTTGAAAAGCGTTACCAAACATGTGCAAAGAATTGTCACTAGAAGCAGAGAGAGCGCAGCGAGCCACGCAAACAGCCATGAGTGCTGTGGCGTCTCCGCTCCCCCGGTGGCAGTTGCAGGGAGCCCCCCTGTAGATTTGATATGCTTAGCAAGGTGGTTAAATGCTGATTTATGAAGGCAAAAGCACATAGAAGGGGATATAAAAAGGGAGTAGCTGAATGAGTTCTCCCAGTAGCGGCGGCACTTCGGGGTTCTGTCGATAGTGCTCGCAGTTTCCCCAAACCGTCCAAAGGGTGAAAGAGGTTGAAGCTACTTCTCGAAAAGACTCAAGTCTCTTGGCAAAAATATAGAGACAATCAATTGACACTTGTGTCCATCAAGGCCTAGGCTTCAAGGGTTCCAGGTTTTCTGCATAGGCTTCCTCCAACGAGCTTTGACGGTCTGCATTATATGCCTCCTTTCGCTCTCTCTGTCTCTCTTCTTCAACAAGAAAAACCTATACTGATTCCCTGCGGGCTAATTAGGCGCTCGACTTCGCAAGCCAAATCAAGCAGTCAAGTACAGCACCTCGCCACAGGAGGCCTGTGTAGCAGCACACACAAATTCAGGCGCAGTCAGCAATTAAAACCGACCTTAGACAAGGGCATAGAGGGCCTGAGAACTAGCGATGCATCTAAGACATTTCGAGTGCCTCCAAGTTGTTTGCTCTGCACCTTGAGCATCCTCCAGGAGGGCGAGTGATTGTAAGTAGCTTCTAACATTCCCCACTGTGTGGAAGAGCAGCCAAACAACACTAGCACGCGGATTCGCTAAAATTCTTACTTATCTCCGTTATCTACGGCTTAAAAGGGTTTAAAAGGGTGAAATGGCCGATAAAGGGGGTTTCTAGGATATTTAATCGCTGAGTATCATGGTTTGTGTCTTCGCACGTTGATGGATGCGTGCTTTCTTAAAGCTGCTGCATATTCGCTTTAACGCAGTGTGCCCCTTCCTGAAGGCGACAAGAAACCCACATTCTGGCCTCGCTGTTGTGCCCCTGCAAGGATGCGGCAGAGAGAAATGGGCTTTTGTTTTCCTGAAGCCCTTCAAATGTAGAAAACTGCTTGACGGGGGACCGCCGCTACGTTCAAGAGAGGGTAGCATAGGCGTGGCTCTTAACAAGCCGTACAGGGGGGCCAATACAGGGCCTTCGTTTGATCCTTGGAAGAAGCAGATTGGTACAAACACGGAAAACTGTATGCGTCAGAGACAAGGGGAGCATACAATGGAATCGGGAAGTCAATAGAATGAGAGATACAGGGATTGCGCCCGCCATAGAAGTGCTGACCGAGGAAGGCCTGCTATCTCGTGTTCAATGAACTGCCTCTTAGGCGTATCTGAGATTAAAAGCGGCCCACCCTACGCCTTTCTGGACCCTTGCCCCCTACATGGACACGAGACTGCGTGTATCTGCCTGTCTCTTCTCCATGTGCACTGTCTCCTGTTAAGTTCGAAAGAGTAGCTTTCACTCATAGCTTTGCAAAGCGCCTGCTCTTCCCTGCCCTCAAAAAAAAATGACTAAAATCGCTCTGCAATCTCCCCCATAATTGGAGTTGGCCATGAGGCAGGGTGGGCGTGATGTTTAGCTGGCTTTATGGCTCGTCGTTGCATGCTGGCCCCTTAAAATGTAGCCACTTCGTGTCAACCCGCATGCGAACCATGCAGCTCCTGCAGTCGGTGCGGATACTGTTGCCTCTGCTAAATATTATTCACTGACCCTCAAGGTCCCGCTCGGCTTGCGCGAATAGAAGAAGGGCCTTTTTCTTTCTCTCTCTTTCTCTGTTACTCTACGCTGGTCTTGCACGCATGATATCTAGAAGGCTTAGCTGCTCAGTATGCTACGGTGCGCTGCGCTCCCGCGCTGGCGCACTCCCCAGGACCCCTCGGTGAATCTCTACAGGAACCCGAGTCAAAAGAAAACAACCTCGTGGGAGGGGATGCTGCCTGCCTGGAATACCGCAGACGGACGCATCTCAATACCCTAAAGCCCCCCATTCTCACCTCCCTCGCAGGTGCACATCGACTTACGACTACAAGATATGTGGAAAGGCTCTCTCAGGGGTCGGGGTAGGGTAAAGGGCTAGCTAGCGTTTCTGTTTCTTCCCTAAGAAGCGATCCAGCTTCAGTTGTCCACCACTCTGTGCGGGAAGGGGCCTTCTTTGGCTACTGCTAAAGCGAGGTGGCTGGTGCTGTGAGTACATTCCTGAGGGTGCAGCTGCATTCGGTTGCGTTGCTATGTAGGGGGACCTCAACGAGGTTGGGTGCCTGTCCTTTCCGTTCATGGGATGTGCCCTTTGCTGGGGTGTGCATTCACCGAAATCCTCGGATACGTCTATCACCTCCAAGACTTCGACCTCTTCCTCCGATCGGGCTCCCTCCGACAACTGCGAGGAAACAGAGATGCACCGCTCTTCTTGCGACAAAGGGGTTTCTAGATCCGCCTCCAAGGCGGTATTCCCCAGTATTGGACACTCAGCGGGAGCATCTTGGTCCTCAAGGAGCTTGACAGTTTCCTTGCCAGCTCGAGAAGATCCCCCAAATTTTCGCGCTGACTTGGCGCTACGTATTGGGGAGGTGAGAGGAGGCCTTGAGGGCCCCTGACCTTCAGGGGTCTCCTGCGAGGCAGCGATTGCGATGTCTGTAGCGTCTCCGGCAGTGGCAAAAGTCAAAGTACCTTCCAGCCCCTCTGCAGTGCCTTCCGACTGCCCCCTAAGGCCCTCGCGTTTCGGCTGCTTGTCGAAGAATTCCACAATACCCCTCTCTGTCCCTTGGACGCCCGCTTTCCGCTCTACAAAATCTCCAAGAGCCAGGGCAACTCTTAGACATGGCTGTAACGGAACCCCTCGCTGCTGCTGCTCTTGTTGCAGGCGAGTCAGCTGCTGCATTCCCAGCTGCCATATCTGCTGCACGTCGGGAGGCCCCTTACAAGGGCCCCCCGCAGAGGCATAGGGAATCTGGCAGGACCGCGTAAACCGCTGGTTCGCAGGATTCCCCGAGCAGAAATGGAGAGCTGCGCCGCAAGCATCCCAAACAACAAACTCCAAGTCCGCAGATCAATGGACAGCCTTAACTAACCCCTCATCGTGAGCAGCCTCTGAACTACAGCAAAGCCCCCACAGTCAGGCCCCTAGCGGCGCGACGCTTACTGATGGTCTTGGGAATTCTCGCATACAGTCTAAAGTCTAGGTCTGCTCTCTCACAGAGCTCTCTGCTGAGGGTGTGCAGCCACTGAGGGAGCTGAGGCCCCCCTGGAGGGACGCCAGGAGGCGGTAGCGACTTGAAGGCCAGCATGGATTTTACTCTAATGTTGCTCTGCACGCTGTCGCTCCCCTCAGGACAGCCGCTGAGGCACAAATACCGGTATTCAAAGACACCCCTCATGCAAAGCCTCGAAGCCACACGCCGAGCCCCTGTTTTGCGTGCCAAGGCCTAAAGCGGGGGGCCCCTCACCGTACAAGGTTGTAGAGGAATTCTGCTTCCTCAGTGCCAAGCTTTTGTTGAAGGACACCGAAAGGAAGCCGCTGTATGCATCCCGCGAAGGTATACTGGGGGAGTCTCGAAGACACGCAGAGGCCCCTCTTGCCACCCATGCCAGGAAGCTTCCTTAAGGGGAATCCCGAGAGGAAGGAGGCTACAGCAAAGGACGGGACGATTACCTGCTGATCGGGCTTAAAATGAGAGGAAGCTACTTTGGCAACAAACTGCAAGGACACCCACGCATAGATGAGACACACAGAGAAGGCAGAACCTGATGGCGCCAGGGGCATGTGGCAGAACGCTGAAAAAAACAGAAACGGGATTCGAATCGATCGGACCGAGGGCCGCAGACATACATAAAGTGGCAGGGGGGAGCACCCTAAGAAAACAGCAGGTAAGAAGACCAGGGTGGAGCGCTCCTAGCATAAAGCAACGCGAATTAGGAGGCGAAGACACGGTACTACATGGTGAACTGTGGATTTCAAGAAAGAGGCGGCATGCGATCTGGAAGATCGAAGGGTCGGGGGGAGGGAAGGAAGACGCGCAAACAGACCTTGTTGTGTCCTACGGCTCCACTCATCGTGAGTTGCAGTCTCTCGAGCACCTGCCGACGTAGAAATGCCAACACCACTGCCCCCAAAACCAGCCACAAGCTGGGCACAGTCCACTCCTCGTCACGCAATACTTCGCAGTACGTCTCCCCGAAAAAGGGGCCCCCCTGCGGTGTTGTTCCCACAGGGCCCTCCGCAGGGGAGCTCTCGAGAGGCGTTGTTAACGACGCCAGAGAGGCCGCATGCTGGCCTGTGTGTCCTCGGATGGGAAATTCGGGGGCCCCCTCGGGGGGAGGGAGCATAGAAGGGGCCTCCGAGCTCCTTGAGCGGGGGGGACTCGAGGGAGGCCCTAGGGCCCCCCCCTCATGGGGAATCTCTGGCTGCACCCTCGAATTCGATGCTTTTAACTCCACATAAGCACTGCGGGGGGGAGAAGCTGTTGAGCTGCAAGAAAGGTCGCCTGAATGCTGTTGCTGCTGCTGTTGTTGCTGTTGCTGTTGCTGCTGCTGTTGCTGTTGCTGTTGCTGTTGCTGTTGCTGCTGCTGCTGCTGTTGCTGCTGCTGTTGCTGCTGCTGCTGCTGTTGCTGCTGCTGCGCCTGTTGTGGATCGTCCTGTGTGTCGGGGGCCTTTTGGGGGGGCCCCCTGCGTGCTGCCCCCGCGATCCTTGCGTATACCTGGGGGTCACTTAGTCCAAAGCGCCTTAAGAGTTGGCGACGGAGGGTCGGAAGAAGGCGCCGTTGCTCCTCCAAGGGGGGCAAGACGGAGGTGTCCCTCAAGGCTGCACACACAACGGAGGGGGTTTTTACGTGGAGCTTGTGGGGGCCCCCGTCTTCGGTATCGGGGGGCCTCCTCTGAAGAGAGTTTAGAGGGAGCTCCTGGTGTGAAAGCAGCGTGGGAGCGACGACAGATGAAGCACCACAAAAGGCGCTCGCAGGCGTTGCCGCAGGCTGCTGCTGCTGCCCCTCCGAAGAAGGCCTGCTGTCGGGAGAGGCATCGGGAGGCAATGATGGATCACGGGGACAGAGAGGGGGCCCTGTCTCGGCTGCATTGTTGCGTGCTTCTGGGAGCTCCACCACGTTCGCAAGCACGGGATCCTGGAGAGCCTTCTCTGCGGGTTGGCAAGGGACCTCTCCGTCCTCTGCCTCCGAGAGCGGTGGGTTGTCCTTTATGAGCGTGTGGAGGAGGAAGGCAGCATGAAGCGTGAGATCGGCATAGACCTCATCCACTGAAGCTTTCTCGACGGTTTGGCAGTGGTCCAGTAGCAATGCCAGCACCTAAGCCGCACAAACCATGAGTCCTAGAGCGTTGCCTGCAGCTTGCCGAAGCCCCACAAGCGACCCGCCTCATAGACTCTCAATTCGCAAAAGCGAACACCGCAATATCTCAGCCTCCTACCTCCGCAGATGCATCGCGGTACCTCTGCAGCGTAACTTTGTCCGTCTTCCAGTTCGGCTGCAATCACCAGGTCCCACAAAAAAAGGGTTTGGGGCTTTGCGTTGAACTTGCAGCCTGCCGTTTCTGGATTGCAGCAGCCGTAGATCCTGGAGGCGCCTTTGAAGAGCTAGGGCATTTATTACGTTTGGCAGGGAACGCCTGCCTTTAAATACCAAAAATCATCATAGGGTTGTGTCTCCTGACCTGCAGGGGGGCCTCCCGGCTCCTAGACGAGAGTGTCTGTACGTGCACCAGCCGAATAGACGGACAGAGGGCCTTCACAGCCTCCACACGTTGACCCCGCTTCACTCCACAAGCACGAGCTGCGTAATTTACGGCAATTACACTCTCCCACTGCAGCATAACGGCAGAAGAACGCGGCAGCAGCAGGATCTCGGACGGCGTGCAGGAGAGGCTGCTCGGGGAGGCCCTCACGACCCCACAATGCAGACGCGCAAGCGTTCTACAAGGCACAGAGAGAGGCCCTGCTGGTGCGTGGCGAAGAAAGCAACGCCCCTATGTGGAGCAATACTGGTCTTAAGGACTGAAATTCCAAGCAGAGGGACATCCTCCCTCTGCTGTGGGGAGAGGCTGTGTAAGCACGATGGAACCACTCCAAGGCGCAAACGCATGGATCGTTGAAAAGGCAAGCTTTTTGACTTAGAGAATAGGAAGGTTTGGGGGACGCTGACCTGTTGCACGGCAAGGGGTTGCTCTCGGGGTATCCCGAGGCGGCGATGTTCGACTTGGCAGTAAAAGCAGTCCTGCGCAATGCAAGCAGCAGCCTGCTCACACCCAGTCAGCTAGCCTGGCTAACTGAGCATGCATGTGGCTAGCCAGACATCTATGCAGGAAAGGTGATTCAACTCGGCTTAGGGGCTGCGGGAAGTGGTGATGTACGAGATCAATGTGACAAAACACTGGCACGCAGTTCCGCGGCACCATCCCTCCCCTAGTATTCCCAGGGGCGAGGGTCTACGGTTCAGAAAGCTGCGTATTGGGGTGCACTGCCGTCACGAGTAAAAGGCCGTGTCTGCTCGTCTTGCGCATTTCGATGAAAAGGGGAACAATGAATGGAAGCTGCCGCACATGAATTTTCGTTCAAAGTGCAAAAAGGTTCATTATTCCATTCATGATTCGTGAAGGTTACTACTGCTTCATGCTGGGGGGGGCCCCGTGTGTGTGTGCGCGTGGAGGGGGCCCCCCCCTCCCGCCCTCGGCCCCCAACCAGGAGGGGTCGGTAGGGGGCCCTCTCTAATAGCACCACACACACCGCAGTGGTACGGCCAGCCTTCCTTGATGCTTTCTCCCGCGATATTTCTCCGCTAGTCATTGCGTGTCTAGACAGCTGAGGTTAGGGGGCTGGGAGGAGGGCTGCTACGATCGTCCTTCTGTGTACGTGCGTCTTTGGCTGTGTGTCCTTCTACGCGCTTATGTGGCTCACGCCGCTGACTGTTTCTCACCGTTATAGGCTTTATTAGGGCTGGGGCCCCGAGCCTTTGGTACCCCGGCGCCTAGGCGCTGTGGCACGCACGGCGCCTAGGCGCTGTGGCACGCATCCTTCTCCTTAGCCCCCCCAATGGTGGGGGGGCCCTTCCTCTTTCCTTCCAGATGCTGCGTTCCGTAGTTCTTCCGGGGTTTGTTGCCGCATTACCCCAGGATGCCGCCGGGAGCTTGGAGCGGAGAGGAGCTAGGGGCTTCCCTGCGGTCCTTGGGCCTCCCCGTCCGCACATCCTGGGTGAGCTGCTGGCTGCAGGAGAGAGTTGCCTCTGGCAGGATCTGCGCAGCTACGAAAGAAGCGGCACAAGCGGCACTGTCTGAAGCATTTCTCCTCTCTGATATGCGAGAGACTGCAGAGCCTCAGGTCCCCGCGTCCCTCTCGTCGTGGCACAAACAGCCCCTCGCTGGCATATTTGTACTGCAGCTGATCGCAGCAGTTAATATCAACGAGCCCCACAAAAGCCGCCTAAAAGTTGGCCCGAGCAAGCACAGGTGCTTAAAGCTCGCCCTTACAGACGGACACGTTGTCGTGGCAGCTCTCGAATATAGCAGAATCGACCGCCTGAAGGAAGGCACACTGGGGAAGGGCGCCAAGTTTCTCGTCTACGGACAGCCAGAAGTACGCAGAGGCATCATTTTCCTGCAAGAAAACAACCTTCAAGTCCTCTGGGGGGGCCTCCCACCCCCCAAGGAGGAGGTCACGGAAGACGTCTCTGGCCACGCAGGAAGATGCGTCCAGGTGGGCAACAAAGCCGCCTTTCCTGAAAACACACTGCGATGCAAGGGCGAACGGCACAAGCCGCAAAGTTCATGCATTTATATACATCTATATATATATATATATGCGGACACATGCATGTATATGTACACGCGACTCCACGGCTGTCTTGTGAAACCTTGCAGCGTTTCGCCGCGGGCCTGCACACACACCGTCCCACCAACGGCCTTGCCGCTGAGATGCCGTCTCTGCGCTTTTGTGCGGTGCGTTCCGCAGGAGCTCCAACACGCACAGAGGACTCCTGAATCACGCGCGGCTCAGGGGGCTTCTGCAACCGCCTCCTGCGTTGGGGCCCCTAGAACCCCCCCTTGGGGACCGCCTGCTACGGCATCCCCCTCGAGGGGCCCTAAAACCTCCGGACAAAAACCACCACCAGAGGAAGAGGGAGCAATATCCACACGACTAGGACGTGTAACGGCAAATCAAGTGTCTTTCTCTACAGGACAGAGTTCTGCGTACTCACGGCCTTCGCAAACACTCCCACTCCCCCCCGTTAGCCCCCAGGGGCCCCCTGCGGGCTCAAGTGGTTTCGTAGAGGAGGACGCGTCTTCCCTTCTGCTGGATTTGGATGACATAGCGGATGCTTTCGAGCAGGACGTGCCACAACTTCCACCAAACCGCCATACCTGCGGGCCCCTGGGTGTCTCGCAGGGGCCCCCCAATGCACATGCGGCTCCGCAATTGCCTTCGCTCCAGAGGCCCTTTGAGGCACTTCCACCCGCGGGCGACGGAGATCCCGTGCACAGTCCGCCTCAGCAGCTCGGTCCCCTGCAAGGCCGCACTCTAAATGGGCGATCTCAGGGCCCCCCTCAAGGGCCCCCCCTCCAGGGGCCCCCAGAAGCGCGGATCTTTGGGGACCCCCAAGGGTTCTGCCAGCATCTTAGCATTCCTTCGCACCCTGCATCCGAAAAGTGTTCAGGCGCGTGTACTTCTGAGAGTTACCTGCCCATCTCAGCAAACGATAAAGGGTCTCCGAGGGGCCCTGTGGACTTGGAGGGTACAGCGGCGCCGCCTCCCCAACTGGAAGTGCGTCTAGGAAAAGAGGGGGCGCTCTCCCCATTTTGGCTGTTTGGAGCGGTGTTGGATGCTCGGGAGGGAAAGGCTGAAGAAGCGGAATGGGAACTGCTGGTGACGGATGGGTTGCGCGTGTTTCCTGCAGTCACTGGGGCGGCAACGGGGCAAAGCATGATGCAAGAGGTTGTGCAAACCTCCTTGTTTTCGCATATTCCAGCTGTCAGTCAGCTTAGGAATGTCCAGGGGTACTTCCTGCTTGGGATTCAGGGATCGGCTGCAGAGACACACAGGGTTCGTGTTCTGTCATTTCGACTGAGCGCACCAAGTGGCGAGGTGACGGAAAAACTGAAGTACTTGCATTCTGTGATAGCTACAGGGAGATGATGACACGCAGAACGTACAAGGATTTGGGCAACAGACAGCCGATGTGGCTTGGCAGGCCCGTGAGTATGTGGCGCTCACCTGCCGCTCGTTTGGTTTTGAGCTAGTCCGCACAGATTCAGGCATTGATCAGCGTAAAGAGAACAGTTGATAGGTTTTTTGTCTCATATAGAAACGTCCAAGAACTAAGTATTTGCGCTGACGTGACAGTACCATGCATGCTCAAAGTTTCTTCTTGGAGCTCCTTTTGTCTTTTTTTCGGGCATTAAGGGAACAGAGCCCGCCCTACGTCTGCCTCTCCCCCACGGAATAAACACAATTCCTGTCTTTGCTCTCTCCATTATTTTAAGGCTTTCTCTTGTGACAGCTAGACCTTTATCCTCCACTATCCTCCCTATATTCTCCTTCCCTTCCTCAGCCGAAAGTCCTGCATGTCGCCTACATGCGACGCACTCAAACATTTTGTAGCATTTCATGCGGCGCTTGCGCTCTTATTAGTCAGATGGGCGTTCTTATATGTCTAGAACACGTGCCCCTGCACACTGCCGGCTTCTACAAAGTCATTTCTACAGCCTTCAATATGTTTACATTGCTTTTACTCATTAGTAGGCTCTCAACGAGCAAACGCCAGAGCAGAAGGCCCGAATATATTTGTTTTGCATGACCACAAGGAACCTGACGACAAGAAAATGGAGACCACGTTGCCCGAAAGAGACACAGTGCGAATTTCCCTTGCTTTTGTTGCTTGTTTGACTTTTTCTATATAAAGTGCTTACGGAGACGTGACTACAGAGAACAGCCAAGTGAAAAAAGTGCTGCTCGTGAATGGACTGAAATTCAAGGATGCGGTAATAATACACTGCTTTTGAGGTTTCTCTTTCTCGAAATGTTAGTTATGCTTCCCTTAGGGCTCAACTGTCTAAAATCTTGCGGCGCAGTTGCCTCTATCAAACCGCTGTAGAAGATGGCCTTGGAGGTTAGTTGCTACAAGCAACACAGGAACAATCCAGCAACTTACCGGCCAAATAAGAATAGAAGGAAGTTTGGAGCCCCCTATTAGAGAACTGGACGGGCTAGTTGTGTCTAACAGCAACATTAGGATACTGAGTGAGGAGGAGCACCAGCCACACCAAGCATCTGGCTGGTTGTCACAGTGCCTCCAGCTTCGAAAAAGTCAAATCACGGAACAGTATCTAAGGCTTCACTTAGGGACAGAAGATCAAGATGACTGGCCAACTATCTGTACGTATTCATTGATACATGCTATTAATAACTTGCTTAAAAGATCATGAACGAAGACTCACGCTGGGATAAGAAACTATCCGACAGTTTGTAAGAATATTTTTCTACTGAAGCAGTACTTAAGTTTCCTAGTGTGCTTTTCTGATCTTTACGCTATTAATTTCTTAAAGAGCCTCTGTGCACTGAAAGGCGCTGAACTCGATTGAGCATAACCGCACCGTTCTATCAGACTGTTTTTGCATTTGTGCGTTCTTGTGCTTTGCCCACATATGTGCCGATGTGCATCCCACCTGAAGGAGTCGAACTTTTGAGGGCTTTCTAATAGCCGGTTTATATGCCATTTTTGCATCTTGCTAATCCGACAAGCTTTCTGTCCATGTTCCGCTGTACTCACTCCTGTCCGTTTCATATCCTATATTTGATAGCATTGCATTCTTTGGTTTACAGAAACCGCGCAGCAGAGGGAAAGAGACTTGCAGCTGCATAAGATCACAAGTCTTGGTAATGGAATTGCGGCGGCATGGATTATGTTGTGGCCTTTCCCTGCTCGTGCTTATCTCAGTGTTTGGCAGCTTCCAGTGCATATAAAGGCCCCAGAAGCCTTTGTGCGAGGCACACTACTAATGTGAATCGGAATGGGGAAACGGTAGGCTTTTATTGTCCTACTGGTGTGCCTGGACGGAAACGGCAAAACACACTGGGCAGCACTACATGTCGGGTTATATTGTTTCTAAGAAGTTAAAATGGTGTGGTTCGAATGCCGAGCATAGCGATTGTTCTACGCGCCTGCTGAGCTTGGTATACAAGATTGGCTTTAGGCCTTGTAGCCACATATATCTCCAAATGCGCGCAATTGAAAGGCTGTATTTGCATCTGCTGGATACAGAAGGTGCTTTGTCGTTCGCTGAGGTAAAGCATTCCCCTACTGTTCACATAACAAACATGAACGAGGCAAACGTTTACTTTTGGACAAATCGATGCAACAGATGGAGAGCGAGTGACCACCATCGTAAATTGGCTATATGGCATCAAACTGCGTATACCAGAAACTCTAGGCTGCTTCCAAGTTTTTCTCATCAGGCCTCTGCAGGTCATGAATCTGTATCTAGTTACCAGCTTTTGTTCTTCGTTATTGGCATCTATTTAATCCACAAGGACTTTATGCTGTTCGTTCTCCACAGGCAAGTGGCTGCAAGCGAAAAAGCAAGTCGAACAAATAGCGTGTTCTCGCCATCTTCCGCCGTTTCGTCAAGCTTCGAGCACCAAATCACGCTACTGCACACAAAAACATCCGATGGCATTCTTAGGATGAGATTGTTTCTCTGATAACTCTTTCCCCTCATCAAGTATGTTTAGTCGCGGACCAATGTGCAGAAGTGGCGTAACATGTAAATGAAATGAAACGTCTGCACATGCCAAACAGTACGAACGCAGAGAAACTGTAATATATGGATGACTGCATTGGAAGTTTTGAACTTGCCTTATCAGTTGGTTCCATCCAAACACACAATGAATAAACGTTAAATATCCTCTGTGCACGCGAGGACCCTTCTACCGAAGGAAAGAACCAAAAAGTTTAGTGAATGAGACTATTGATGGTTGACCACATGCATACAGCGGTAGAGACCGTAAAAACAGGGAACATTGGAGACCTTAAATTTGCAGCTGCCAAATGTAGCAAGCAAAATAATAGTTTTTTGACACTTTCTACTGCACTTCTTACCTTCAACAAGAATTAATGAAAATCCGACTAATCGAGTTGTCTACTAGTATATCTTTGTATCAAGTAAAGACTACTGTACAGTAGGAAAAGACGCAGTCTTGTGTGTGTGTGCATTGGGTGCTGAGCGCAACCAGCTGTGAACGCTTGGAGTGTTTAGAAGGTTCGCATAGCTGCAGCCAAGCTGGCCTTCTTCTCTAGTGTCGGGAACTCTGAGGGGAGCTGGCACGGAAAGGCGGATGTGCAATCTGCACAGCACTCCGTAATTTCTGTTGAGTCTGTATCTAGTCAGTAATTAGTGCCTCCCGATGGAGACTTCAGATGAAGCGCTACACCATGCTATTGGCTGGTGCCCGTCGGGTTGCCCATGCACGCGCATGCTCAAGGGCGTCGATGGAGACTTCAGATGAAGCGCTACACCATGCTATTGGCTGGTGCCCGTCGGGTTGCCCATGCACGCGCATGCTCAAGGGCGCTCTCAGTGAATGAGTGGTTTCCTCAATGACGAAACGCAGCTAAAGAAGTCCTAACTTCCTTAGCGACGTTCGCTTCTAGACGTTTACTTGGCGCCGTTCAACGGGGGCGCCGCTGCCCCCACTGCTCTATTGCAGCAGACTGGCTTTGCCTTTGCCCACACATTGGCATTAACACGCGAGTCCAGATGCATTTTTGTAAATAGGTAATGCTCACTTGTCTGTCGGTCATCGTAAAATCACGCTTCTCTACAGCGTATCTATGGCTGGGCCTACAGAACAGTTTTCCGCGTGTATTTGCAATTGCTGTATAGTTTTCTCTCCCTGGCTGTGCTTGCAGGCACACTTACATGGACGCGTCTCGTTTTTAAAAATCCAAATGGCCCTTGCCTCATGCAATGCGCATCGCTTACTCAAGAGCTAAGCAGAAGCCCAAAGCCTATTTCCTCACACAGAGTGCTACTAGTGCGCCGCCGCAGATTGCAAGCGCCGCTATTCGTGTAACGCTCGCGTCAAAGAGCACGGGGATGGTGTGTGTGCGAGCACGCGTCGGCCCTCGGTTCACCCTGAGCCTTTGGGCTAGCGCAGCTAATCTCCGTGAACCGGGAAGCGTGGTATGCTTCTCGATTTGTACATGGCATCCATGCACAGGGGCCCTGCTACTCTTCCCGGCATTGTTCCGATTTTGACAGCGGACACTTCAGAAGGTCGTCCGGTTAGCCCATACTGCAGATATGGGAATTTACGATATGTTGCGCGCGACGTATCTATTTTGCCCTTCTCAACAGCCTGCACAGCTTCTCTGAGCTCCTATGTATGGGTGTCATACGAACAGCGACGCTGTTGCTTAGCCAAAATGCACTACTAGCGACACTCCCCAAGAGAAGCCTTACACGTAAAGTTGCACCAATTTACAGTCAAGTTCGGAAAGACCATGAGGAACACTGAACTGTCACTCCTTAAACTACAAGGGGTGGTCTGACACCCTCAGATAGCACAACAAGCGCTCCTTTGCTGGAGGAGCCGGCTGAATGCAGAAAGCCATTCTATTGCCCAGAGGAGGGATCCCTTTTTCTTCCCCCCCGTTCACAAAACACGTAGGGGCTCTTATATCCCTCTCTCGGCGGCACGAAGACTTCGTGTCCACCACGTACGCGGCGGCTTACGCAGCGTTTTGAAAGGACCCCTTGGTTATCGCCTAACTGCAAAAGGCTGCCCGCGCCTGAAAAGCATTCGCTACACAGGTCGCTCAGTTGACCAGCTAGCTAACTAGCCCGCTGGAATGTGTGTGTTGGACGCATCCTTTTTACAATGGTTACCCTCCTTTGCTGCTGCAACTTCTTTGTGTCTTTCTTGCATCGCCTGAAGCGCGGGCTGGACTGTGTAAACGCCTCCTGCAATGCCCACGGCAATGGCGATGATGGCCTCTAGGCCCCGAATGGCAGGACGGCGCATGCTTGTCAAAATGCGTCTCCTAGAACACGTACCCTATCCTCTGGGGCCCTATGTATGTGCATCGAGAGAAGAAGGCAGGCGATTTCCAAGGCATGAACTTAGACGCCGATGTAACAACCGCCGTGGGGTGTGGCATGAATCAGGGCCACTACTCTGGCAGAAGCGACACCAACGACAGCTCAGTGCCTCAGTCCGCAATGCAACAAGCTTCGTCAGTCTGCCACCTCATCCACGTGTCACACCCTCCCTTTGATTTTGCCCTGAAGCCCTAGGGGCTGTGGCGGCTCCTGCTGCTGCTGCCAGGGCTGCAGGTGAAGATTCTGTAGCTGTTGTAGTTGCACGTACTCCGTAGAGGCGATCTATGACTTAGCCTGAAGATTTTTGCGCAGCTTTCTTCCTTGAAGATTCGCACGAGAGGCTGGGGCCCCATTTGGGGGCTGTGGGGCTGTCACTGCGTAAATGCAATCTGAGCAAGGCAGGGAGGGAAAAGTTAAAGATTTTAGTTTGAAAGTTGGCAATAGGAAGTCCTTACGTCTGCGAAAGTCTTGGAGTCTGCGCGCTGCTTTGCCCGCTTCCTCCGTTCCTGCCGTCCGCCGAGAAGGCGAATCGTTTCAAATTTTGTTGTGCCCGACTTCTTTCGAAACACCAAACCCCAAAAGCCTTTCACCGAGGCTAACTGAGCAGATGGGGGCGAAGGCGAAGGCCCAGCGGCCGAAGAAGAGAAAGGGGGCCCCCCGTGAGCAAGTCGATGAGGCCCCTCACCCACGCCTGCGGAGGAAAGAGACGAAGAGCCGTGAGGCGGAAGCCGACTGGGAAGGTTCTCCACCAGCAGAGGATACAAAGGATAAGCAGCGAAGGGAGGAGCTTGTGGCTCTGGAGATGCTCCTCTTTGGAACGCCAACAGCCCCCGAGGAAGACACCCAGCTTCGTGAGGCTGCAGCACCTGCGGACCCCGAGGCGTCCACGGGTAAGGAGGCTTCTGATAGCCAGCGAAAGCGAAAGAGGAGGGAAGGACGCGGCGACTGCCGCAGCGCTGGCGCAGCAGAAGCAACAGCCTCAGCAGAAGCGGCAGCCTCAGCAGAAGCAGCAGAAGCAGTAGCAGCGGCAGAAGCACGAGACGCTGGGGTGGCTGCATGGGTCGATCCGCACGATGCGAAGCTGCGCATCGATATTGATGCGGATCCAAAGCTGCGCAAGCTGAAGATGAGAAAGGCAGAAAAGTACCTCTCAGGCGAGGAATATCAGAGGCGGCTTCAAGCCTTGCATCACAAGCTCATCGGCAAGGGGCAAGGCCTTGATTGGATTCAACAGGCCAGGCTGCGGAAGCAGCAGTCGAGAGTCGAGGGGCAAGTGTAACCGTGAAAAAAGCCCTTAAAGCAGGCTCAGGTCAAGGGGATATTGAGAAAAGGGTGTTGTATTCGGCCGTGGTGTGGTGCAAGGAAGGAAGGGGAGTTTGAACCACAGCAGCGCACGTCTCCCTGCTAAGGGCTTAGGGAGGATTCGTGTGTTTCCTTGCAGGGATGAAGGAGAGCTCACAGGCTTTCGCCACACGGGGCAGGAGGCCGCACTGGCCAGTGGAGAGAGGCTGGTGGTAGCGTCTGACAGGAGAAGGCTCGGTAGGAAGCAGAGGGCTGTCTCGCTTCCCCCCACGCGGATCACGATGCGGAGGCTTGAGGATGCGAATAAGCAAGACGTTAGCCTGTACGCCAGATCCCACATCCTCTAGCCCGTAAACTCTGGTCAGGGAGTGTGTGGAGGCTAAGGCGTTCGCACTGTGTAGTCAGCGGAAGCGCTGCTACAAACAGCCCTGGACAGCCGCAAAGAAGCATGTTGCTTTTTTTCCTTTTTTCACAGGTGCCCTGTGTCTGCCCTTGAGTTTCATCCGACGTCAAACATTCTGCTGACTGCTGGACGGGACAAAAGCCTGCGCCTTTTCCTGGTAAAATAACATGGCGTGGCACGACCTGCGCATCTGCGTCTCTGTGTCTGTCTCTCTCTGTGTGTGTGTGTCTATGTGCATCTGTAAAAACGGCACGCGCCTCTGTTCCCTAGCTTCCCGTATTCGTGAAGATTTCCTCCATCGCCATGCACTGGGCTGTCTGTCCTGAGTGTCTGTCTTTCCCCTGTGCTGCTTCGCCAGTGCGATGTTTATGTTTCCCCATTTAAAAGCGCTAAATACTTTTTTGCGAGCGTGGTGTCGTGGGTGGGCTTGTGTGCTGCAGGTGGATGGTAACAAGAACTGTCGCTTAGAATGCGTGCATGTCAAGGGGTTTCCAATAGTATCCGCGTCCTTCTCCGTCTACAATGGTGGAAGAACAGTCATGCTTCTCAGTAACGCTTGCAAGGCCATTGCGGAATACGACCTGGAGCAAGGGTAGGCAGCCACCCTGTTGCTGTTGCTTGTGATGTTGGATGTGTGGGTGCTTGCATCCTTTCGACGCAGTTTCGTGCGTTTCTGCCGTGTTGCAAGGAGGTAGTATCCCTCTGCCACCTCTTTAACAAGCGGTCGTGATCGCTGACTCACAGTTGCTTCGTCTGGCTGCATGTTGCTTATGCAGGCAACTTTACCAGGTGCCGGGTATAGGGGGCCGGCGGGAGGAGCGCTGCTATCATCAACTGTGCATGTCCCCCCTTGCCAGCTCTTGCCCGGCTTCTCCCGTTGTGAATACTTTCGCCGTAGCTAATGCCACATCTCAGTGAGAGACGCCTGCCGTTGCTGCTGCTGGTGCTGCTGCTGACCATTGAAAGAGGCTCTCCTCTGTCGATAGGGCAGGCAGTGTACTGCAGACACCGAAGGGGAAGCCGTCGAGTCATGTACACCGCGCTTTCGGCTTCTACATCACTGAAAGATGCTGATGCCGCTGCTGCATGCGTTCAGCATCCGCCATTGGATGCAGCAGTGTGGCGCGTGAATTAGCAGCACCCATGCATGTGCGGGGTTCCGTTTCTTTCAGGAGTGTCCTCCTGTGCGACGCGAATACAAAGAGGCTGCTTGAAGTCTTTCAAATGAATGCTCCTGTGGTTGTAAGCAGCAGCCCTGCCATCTATTAGAGTAGCCTCTCGCAGAGAATGCATATTGGGCTCGATGCGTCATTTTAGGGCCTGCATATATATTATATATGCAAACACACACTACGTATCGGTCTGTGCGCGCTTTTGCAGGGCATGGCATATCACCCCCACCGTCCAACGTCTCTGTTGACCGCTGATGCGGATGCAGCCGTGAGGCGATGATGCCTTTGCCTCCACATGTTTGGCTTTTAGAGAACTACTTCTATCGCGCTGCACTCGAAGCAGAAATACCTTGCAGGCTTTTTGCCTGCTGTTGCTGCGGCTCTTCAGGTGTACGAGTGGGAGTTGCGTACTGGTCGATGCCTCGGCAAGCTACAAGATCCGGCTTATGTGGGCCTCACTTCCTTTGCAGTCTCCCCGCAGCCGCACGAAGCATATTCGTACAATAGGCCTTCTTCTATCCTCGCACTGGGTGAGTTGTATCGCTGAAAGCATCAGCGCGAAGTGAGCCGAACGAGCGGCATGCGAGGCGCTGAGCGAACTGGGAAGCACAGATGTGTATCCACATGCTTACTTTTAAAACCGTGCCTTTCCTTGATTCTAGCTGCTGTCATGCTTCTTTTGAAACCATGCCTGTTTTTCATTCTAGCGACTGTCATGCTTCTTTTGAAGCCATGCCTTTCCTTGATTCTAGCTGCTGTCATGCTTACTTTAAAAACTGCCTTTCCTTCATTCTAGCTGCTGTCATGCTTACATTTAAAACCATGCCTTCACTTCATTCTAGCTGCCCTCATGTTTTTTTCTGAAACCTTGTAGCTGCTGTCCTCGTGCCCGTCACTTTTGCTAGTGATCCGGTTGCCTCTTCTGCGACGCTGTCTCTTCAGGAAGCCGCAGCGGCTATACCGATTTATTTACAGTTCCCAAGGAAGGTTCACCGTCGGGGCCTGCGTTCAAGGTGCCGCCTTCCCCGTTCATCCCCCTTTCCCCTCCCTTGCCCGCTCATACTCCTAGAGGGCTGTGCAGCGATCTAGCTACACAGCATGTTTGCGGGAAAGACGTTTTGTGCAGACAACGCGGTCCGCGTCTATAGGGGTTGCCTGTCGGATTGGCTGTACCCACCTATTTTTTGAGCCGTGTATACTTCATCAATTTCGCTTGCCAACTAGCCCGTGACGCTTGTTGACATCTTCCGTGGACAGAGCTAAACGCCGAGCTGCCCGTGTACCTGCGTGGCTAGCTGTGTAGCATGCGAATCAGGTGTATTGGATACGTTTGTTCAGGCCTTGGGAAATCTGACGACCGCCGTTTCCACATTACGTTTTCACCCATCCAATGAGGTCCTCTGTGCCGCATCCAAGTGGAAGAAGGACTCTCTGAAGCTTGTACGCTTGCTCAACGCCACTGGGGAGCTTTGGGGGCAGGGGGGGATGCAGGGCGTCTGTGGCCTGATGCACAGGCCAGCCACCGTTCACAATTCAAGTCTCTGCATGTTTGATTGGTTTGTGGTTTTACGGAGAAACGCGAGACAGATTACTTGTGCATCGTAACAGCCCTTGTGTTCTTGTTGACCCCCATGGAGTGCACCTCAATACATTGGTGCCTGCGATCGTGTGTCTGTACAGATCCATCTGCCCTCCGGGACCGTCTTTCAGAACTGGCCGACAACAGAGTCACCTCTGCATTACGTTACCTCTGCTGCCTTCAGGTGTGTATATATATCTATATATCTATGTATATATATGTATGTATGCATATATGTGTGTGTGCGTGTATGCGTGCGTGTATGATCTTCCTTTCGGCTCTTTCTCTACGGTTCATCACTTGGTGCCTGCGCTTGTCTTCCTTTATGTACTGTTTCTTTGCTGGGCCTTGTAGGTGTACTTTCAGCGTAGGCCCCTTCATTTCGTTCAATGCTACTTCGTCCTCTTGGGCTGCGCCCTCCTCTGTCTCCACTTTTGCTTTCCGATGCGGCGCTTGCTTCTCAGTTTATTCACAACGTTCCTGTGGCGCCCTTTAGCCTTTTTTTGTTTTGTTGTGTCTCTGTGTCTTCTTGCTGGTGCAGTACCCGACGTGGTCTCTTTGCCGTTGGTAATGCCACGGGCCGCGTCCTTCTTTATCAAATGCGGCACTTTGCTTAGCGAAAAATGCCAGAAGAGAGAGGCAGGAGGAACGAGGGATTAAGAATGGTGGCAACATGGAGGCACGGGGTGTCCTTATTGCTGGTGCGTGCATGACCCCAAAGTTTTCATGGGTGCCCTCTGGGCGTTCATCTTTGAGGAACGTTTGTAGCTACACTTGTGTGCATCTAGCTAACCACAGCCCTGTGTTCTGTGCTTGAGGTTTGGTGGCTGCTCCTCACTAGTCTGGCGTGGTTTCCCTCGAGACCGCTAGCTTTTGCGTAGTGTAGACCCCTCATAGGGTGAGGTGTGCAAACGGGGAACTCAGCAGAAACACGCCTAGTAGCCCGTACTTTAGTCACCCAAAGACGCGCTGAACGCACAGCAACATATGTTGCAGCAGGTGCACCCTAAAGCACCTTCACGACCCCTCAAAACTCCTACCCCTGCTTAAGGCAGCACTACGTCAGGGTCCCCCGGCCAAGTGTGAGGGCACGCTGCAATAGCTCGTCCGTTGAAGTAGCCTTGCCTTCGCTTTTCGCATATACAATGTGGGTGAGAACGGGGGGAGGGTGGCTTCCCAAGTATTAACTCGCGAACCATTCCAATGGCGCGAGAGGACGTCGCACGGGGGTGCAGGCCCTTGAGCGCTGAAAATCGCTGGCGAAGAAACTGTCGCGCCAATGCTTACTTCAAAGAGCAAGTAGAGCAGCCACAACGCGTGAAGGAACGCAGATTAGGGCGTGCGTGGGGTGGCGCACTTGGCTGTCGGGAGGGTGTCGAGTTGCGGCAGGGTTTACATATACCGGCCCTTCGGTACAGCAGGTCTCAGGATTCTACGCTCAAAAGTCAGCGTCGCAGTGACTGTGTTCCATCAAAGGAAAAAAGAGATGGGGATCTGTTGGACATGATCAGGAGGGGCAAGCAATCTTGGTGGTAGCTCTTTTGGGGGCCCCACGGCGAAGGGCCCTTCTGGTGCAGCAGCGTCGTCACCTGCACCCACCGCATCTGCAAAGGGGAGCTCTGGAGGCCTCCATCCCCGCAGTCAGTTGCTTTCCTGGCGCTTTTCTCCTCCCCTCCTAGGCCACCCAGGATGCTCCCACGCTTTTTCAGGGGGTACCCCTAGGCAGGGCCCCAGGGGGCCCCCTGGACTCTGTTCCCCCTCCTCGTCAGAAGCAGCGTTCAGGGGTCTCGATCATCTGCTGGTTCCACAAAAAGGGCCCTCCAGATGATCGAGGAGCCTTTAAAGGTGGGTTGCCGTTCTGGCACCCCCGCTGCAAGCAACGCTTCTATCCCGAGACTCATTTCGGATATTCCGCGGTCTTGCTTAAAGCCCTCGCCGAGACGCGATCCCCTTACTCCTCCCCCCAATCTCGACGGCTCTCCTTTTCTTCCCAGTTCTCCTACCGAGCCACTCCCAGGGGGCCCCTACCCTGGAGGCCCCCCCCCCCTACCGCCTGTCGAGTTCGTGGGATCCGTCTTTGAGGGCGACGCGGGCAGCAATGCACATGCACTGTTTGCAAAAATGCACCCCTCTGGTGAACCCTTAGGCACCCTCTCCGGGAGGCCCCTCCTCTTTACACCCTTGTCATTTATTGCTGCCGCTCTGCCCGAGATCTTCACGGACGTTGAGTTCGTTGCTGCACACCTGGGAGTAGATCCAGCAGGAACCGTAGCCGCTGCAACGGTTGCAGCAGCTACGGGCTCAGCAGTTGCAACGGCAACAACAGCGGCAAATGCCTATGGCAGCACCAGCAACAGGCTCCCCTCCCCCAATTTGAAGGAAGAATTAGCCAGGGGCGAAGGGCCTTCCCCAAAGTCTGCAGTTATAAAGCGCTGCCTCTTGAAAGGGGAGTTGCCTCTGGGAAAGCGCCGGCGACCTCCTGGGAACGTTACAAAATCTTTGCAGCAGCATGAGCAGTCGATTCAGCGGCTGCAAGCGACCCCTGGGGGATGCCCCTCGAGCTCCAGCCTGCCTGATAAAGGCACTTCTACCCAGCATGCGTTCACAGGAGCTCCTGTGCATCGACTTCTGCTGCTGCGGTTTGCCGCTACACTTCGCGCCAGCGGTGGCACCAGAGTCACCTGGGATGAGGTTTTTCGACCCGTTCCCGTAGAACTGCCGCCACAGGGGGCCCCCCGCGGAGGCCTCGGCTCGGTGGCTCGTGGGCCCATAGGTCGTCATGCTAGTCCATTGCTTCTGCAGCAAAAGCAGCAGCAAAAGCAACAACAACAGCAACAGCAGCAAAAGCAGCAGCAACAACCACCACAACAACCACCACAACAACAACCACAACAGCAAAAGCAGCAGCCACAACAGCAACAACAACCACAGCAACAACAACAGCAAAAGCAGCAGCAGCAACAACAGCAACAGCAGCAACAACCACAACAGCAACAGCAACCAAAGTCTCGGTGTGTATTCGTGGGCATATGCGGGGTGTTGCTGCTGAGCGCACTGGAGACTCCAAATCGCCCACCAGTATGCCTCCCGGCCTTCCCGCCGTGCAAGTCTGAGGTTTATGCGCAGCTCTACAGCTCCCACAGCAGCAATCCAAAGCTGTCTGACCTTCTGCCGGCACCGCTGAGGGAGGCTGCTGCTCTTGTTGGCGCGAATTTGCTGCAGTTCTCGGCAGCAGCAAAGGCAGCAGCAGACGTATCTGCGAAAGGCGTAGTAGTATCCGGAGAGGTTGTTTCAAAGCCGATGGCGTTAGCAGAGAGGGGGGCCTCTGAAGCTTCCGCTGTCTCCGGTGTCCGCAAATGCGGAGGCGGGCAGGGGCCCCCTACCGTAGGGGGCCCCTGCCCTTCGTTGCGGGTGTTGGGCGTACAAAGCAGAAAGGAGCGGCGCGTTGCAGTGGATGCTGCGCGGAACCTCCGCCGGCTGCTTCAGCAATTGCAGCAATTGCAGCAGCCTCAGCAGCAGCGGCAAGGGCAAGAGCGAGCTGGACTCCTGGCGGCTTTTGAGCCGCACTGGGAGGAGGGCTTTGCATGCAGCAGTGAGGGGAGGCCCCACAAGCTACGAATTGAAGACAGCAGCAGTAGCAGCCTCAGCAGCAGTAGCAGCCTCAGCAGCAGCAGCGAGGGGGAGGCGGAGCAGGAAGTACAGGAGCATCAGATGAAGACATCAAAGAATCTTCCCCCCCCCGCCTCTCTGGCTGCTGAGCGCCCAGATGCGATGGTTCCTAGGCAGACCGCAGTGTCTAGCAAGGCTGCAGTCCCTCCAGCAGAGCTTGCAGATAATGCAAACATCGAGGTAGTAGCATGCCCGTCGGGAGTCACCCAAGAGGATCCTTCGACGAAAGACGCACCAGGGGCCCCTGGGATGCCAGTGCCTCTGCCGCTTTCCTTGGAAGATCCGTGGGCTGCCTTTGAAGCCTCAAAGGAGGCCATTGAGGCCATGGCTGCACACTGCAGGCTGACACGTCCAAGTACGCCGCACTCTTCTCAGCAATAAACACACCTCCAAACATCAATTAGGTCCTTGATGTAGCTAGATCAACTCTGAGACCAGTGGATGCCTCGCAGGCCCCCTCCCGGATTTTCGCGCAGTGGCGCTTGCGCATTTGCGTGGTGCTGTGTGCTCTATACTCCGGGTGCAGCATCAGCAACAAGCGGCAGCAATGCGAGGGCCGACAACAAAGCGGGTTGGGAACTTCTTAGGACCTTCAGAGATGAGGGCGAGGCGATACAGTTCATTCAGGCCTTTGGTTTCAGGTATGTTTTGTGGCTTCTCCCCCCTTTCAGTCTTTGCGACTGCGCCTATCCACTCCCTTGTGTTGCCTTCTTGGACCCCCCCTTGCATGCGCAACACCCCCGCCGCCGCGTCCTGCTGCCCTCTGTCCCCCCTGCGCAGACCGCTAAGAACTGGACGAATCACCGGCTACAAAGTTCGGATCTTCAGCTGCCGACTGCATCTCCGGTGCGCTGCACGCATGCGGCTGCTCTCTCCTGTCAGAGGGGGGGCGGCCCTCAGAGCAGAACGAAACAGCAAACCCCACCAGCACACCCGCAGACCCAACACTAGGGACTCCCGGCCTACGAGCTAGCGAACACGAAATTACTAATACACGAATGGCTCGCCAGCTAGCCACCCAGCCGGCTGCCAAAGCGCAGCCTGCACCACTCTCTATTCCGTACAAGGCTGCGGTCTGAGGCTGGCAGAGGCTCTTACATGGCCCATGGGGTTTGGAGAGACAGCGCCCCGCACCGTGCGGGTGGGTACCCACCCAGTCGAGCAGCTCGTTACACAGCCATCCCACATGCCTCCTCTTCTAGGCTCTCCGCCTTTCACTTTACGTACATACGCAGCATGCCCTGTAGGACCAACCTCCCTTTTTCGGGCATGTTTGCTTTCTCTGCCTCCTCTCCCAGTCGCATTGGCGCGCAAGACGCGGCGGGCAAGCTGGCAGCTGCAGCTTTCAGTAGCTAGGCAGTATTGCGTAGCGGCTAACCCCACGAACACACCCACCGACCCTGAAGGGGGTCTTCCCAGCCAACGGCTATAAGCACACGAACAGCTCGCTCTCAACTAGCTAACCAGCAGCGTTGGCTGCGGGGTCACCTAAGCACACCCAACTACCATATGTATGCCCGTCAGGAAGGGAAAAAGGGGGTACAGGGGGCGTTTTCAGAGAGGAAAATAGCTCCATGCGAAGAATGTTCACCCTGCGCCCCCGTGAGGCGCGAGTCTCTTGAAACGGCGGCCTGCGGCTGCCCCTCTTGCGCTCAGAGCACAAGCGACAGCCGCTAAGACCACGTATGGGTAGCTTGGTGCCACCAGTGTGCTGCTTAACGGTAGGATTTCTGGTATCTTGCACGCGCACCAGGTCCACCAAACTTCTTTGGCTCGCAGCGGCGGGGATCCGCAACAACAAGGGATCTGTCACAAGCGACCAAGCTGTCGCGGATCTCTTTCTTGGTAGCCTCATCGACATCTGCGAACAAACCCCGTATCCCACTTGCTCCCGCTGTGGCTCTAAACTCTATACACACCCCACAGCGCCCTCTGACAGATCTTCGCCCTGCGAGGCGGCAGCTGCAGCCGCGTGTGTCAGGATTTGGCCTCAAAGACCCCGACAGAGGGACCAATTGCCTCGCCAGCTCACACTTTTGGTTGTATGCGACAACGCCCTTCGCGATAGCCTGCCTGATGGCATACACTTGCGAGACAAAACCACCCCCGCGAACTCGCACGCGGATGTCAATGCCCTGGAATCTTTCCTTGCCTGCGCGAGAAAATCGCAAAACATCAAACGTCAAAAAGCAACGTCGTAGCCAATCCCCAGGCGCTGGAGAAGAAGACGTCACCACATTCATACACACATCCTGCCTGCCTCGGCCTGGAAGCGCGTTAGTGCCGCTGTGGAAGCGATTATGCCTCCTTCCCGAGGGGTTCGCCCTTGCAGACCCCAACGCGTATTTCAGTGTGCTTGTGGCTGCATGCGTGTGCAGGCGTACCGAGAACGAGGATAGACTCGCAAGCCTTGACCCTCAACGCCTCAGGCTTGAGGAGATTCAAGGGAGCGCCATTGACTTTGATGATACCCCTGCCTTCCGTGCAGAGGGCAACGGCGACTGCCGTCTTCTTACGGCCAAAAGTCTGCACCCTCTTGGTCCTCCGGGCGTCCGCCATTTTCGCTGAGACAACAACGCACGCTCAAAGGACGCGTACTGCCAGCAGGGGCTGAAAGTCGCCACTCGGCAGACGGGGGCTGTACCTATTACACCTGCGAGAGCAGAGGCACGCCATCGGCGGAGACCTCGAGAGCCCCCTCGGCGCCTATTAGCGGGACCTTTCAAGCACACGTTTGCTCGGCAGCCTCCCGGTACGCAAGACTGCAGAAGGTTAGGCGCCTCTGCAATCAATGGACAGCTGCGATGCATGTTCTGCGTATGCCGTGAAGCAGCACCAGCAGCCCCTCTACTGGCGCCGCCCCCGCCCTCCCCTCGTCCCCCGAGCGAATGGTGCCAAACCGGAGCTACATGGAGCAAATGAAAGCTGCATCAACATGCCGCTACGAAATGAATGGGCCTAACATGCAAAAAACGCGAAGAATGAGACAGTGCGGGGCGCCGCTGCGGCAGCCGCCGGTTCCACGGCAGCAGTAACACGCTGCTGTCGCAGCGAGAATCACCTGTTATTGTGGAAAGGCAGGAGGAGCAAGGACGCAAAGGACAAAGAGAGAAGATTTAGTGGTATTTGACGCCTTTGGAAATCCCAAGGTCTGCCTCGGCAGCAGCTGCTGCTGCTGCTGCAGGGCTGCTGCAGTGGCTGCTCGCAGTGCCGCCATGCCCTTGTGGGGAACTCCCAGTGCAGCAGCGGCAGCCGCAACAAAGGCTGCCGCTGCATGCCTAGAGAGGCAAGGAGAAGGCCACTCGCTTTCCTTTGGGTTTCGCCGAATTTCTGTGGCCGTTTTCTTTCGGTTTGCCACTACACCTTCGAGGTAAATGGTTGCTGCTACTGCTGCTGCTGCTGCTGCCGCTGCAATAGTCTCGTGGTTGTTTTGAGGGGCCGCAGAAGAAGCAGCAAGAGCGACACCAGCAATTGACATCCGTTTTCTGTTCTCACCACGCAAGGTTCCTAGGCTCGCTGCGCTCTGTGTCTCTGCTTCTGCTTGCCTCTCCTCGTTTTTTCGTGGTGTGGGGTGGGCTGTGGACCCCTTCGCCACGGGGCCGCATGGCCGATTTTCGTCTGAAGACGTTTATGTGCTCCTGAAAGCGGTTCAACACTTTAAAGCCGCTGCAATTAAGCTGTAGTCCTTCGTATCGGAATCCACAGGTCCTCTGCGCGGTGGTTGCTTCATTCACTCTGTGTATGGCTGGCGTGCTCCCATCCTCCCTCCCATGTGGCGTGGTCATGCATGGCATGCGCGATACATTGGGCCCCTCTGTGTGTGGCTCTAGACGGCAGCCTCTGCAGCGGTTGAGGGAATGAGGCGCGCTTCAACTAATATGAGTGCTGTGCTTGGCTAGTAGTCGCCTCCGCCTGGTTATTCGTCTTGCTCCCTGTTCCTCTTCCTCTCTCTCCGAACTTTTCCTCGCGGGATCTGCCGTCCTTCTGTACAACGGCTAGATCTTCCTTCCCGCGTTGCTTGACAGTTTTTTTTCATTTTTGCTACCAGTGGCTCTCTCTGTGCGCTTTCGGGGTCGCAACTGTGCACCCGTGATGATGTTACCGGGTGTCACTATCTCGCACTCCACGCTGCTGCAGACTTGCATGCGATTCGCAGTCGTGCATCCGCAGTCCGTAATATGCCTTTCTCTCTTTTTTGCGCGCTCCTCAGGCAGAGAAAATGGTGAGTCGCTCGGCGCAACTGCCAAACACCCATCTCCGCAAGGAGTGGCAGCGGTACGTTCGCACCTGGTTTAACCAGCCTGCGAGAAAGCAGAAGAGGCGTCTGGCGAGACAGCAAAAGGCCGCCAAGAATGGCATCCGGTGAGTTCATGAGAGTGGCTGCAAGGCCGCTGGCAGCTGCCTCGGAGCGTCTCGTCCTGGCTGTCATTTTGGAGTGAAGGGAATCTTACTGCGATCGTCTAGTTGCATCCCTCACAGTCTTAGGTCCTCCTCGAGCTCCTTCGCACAAGAGTTGGTGTGTGGCGAAACTCTGCGAGCCGCTTTGCTGCAGGCCTGTCGGTCTGCTGCGGCCCGTGGTGCACTGCCCGACACAGAAGTACAACATGAAGGTTCGAGAGGGCAGAGGCTTCACCCTCGAAGAGCTGCAGGCAAGCTCCTCCCGCCAGTGGTGTCTCTCGCCTGTTTGGCGCGCTGTGTCGGTGTCTGGCAAGGCATGCTGCAGCTCGTCTTCGCCGGTGCTCTGCGGTTTGTGCGCGCTTCGAAGCCTCAAAAAGCTCTCCAGCATATCGCACCGCTTTTCCTGCGCTTCTGCCTCGAATCTCAGGCCGTCAACATCTCTCGGCGTGTCGCTTTGTCTATGGGCATCGCCGTGGATCATCGCAGACGCAATAAATCCCAGGAGTCCGTGATTGCAAATATCAACAGACTGAAACTCTACTTGAGCAAGCTTGTCCTCTTCCAGGTACAAAAGAAACCCACCCGATATCCAAACCCCCTTTCTTGGCTTTCGCCTTCCTCTCGGCTTCTAGGTTCAGAAATTAGCTGTTGGCGTCTCAAAGTAGATGTGTTGTCTAAATCCGAGCAGCCTTTGCCCTCGATACTACCCGGGCACCCCTTCTTTACAGTCGTTTTTCACTCTCCCTCGCTCTACGCCTTATGTCGTGAGGTGCTTGAACGGCATCGGCGGCTGTAGCCTGCGCTGCGACTCCAAGACCAGCTGCCGCTGAGGGTCTCATTCTCAACGCGCTGGCTGCAAGTTACGTCCGTGCTCGTGCTTTTCCTCTGCTGTCTTGTACAGCGTGGATCGAAGGCCAAGAAGGGTTGCGCCGGCGTACCTGCCGACACCCCGAAGTCGCAGATCCAGAACGTCAAACAGACGGCAATGGCCACTGCTCTTCCCATCGAGCAGCCTCACAGGAAGATCCGCGTAGGTTTTCCTTCGTGAAATGATGTGTATAAAAACACGGTCCGAGTTGTGTGCATCCAGAGGTGTTTTGTCCCTAGAATCCGCCTTTTCTGTGCCCTAGGGGAACTGTCAATACACCGCAGTTTTGAAGTGTAGAGGCAGTTGTGGAGCAGGAAGGGGGGCAGGAACGGAGGGCGGGAAAGGGTGAAAGAGGGCGCATGATGATCTCAAACCAAAACTGCAGCCTTTTGAGGCGATGGTGTCAGTTGAAATCTGCAATGCTGACGAGCCCGTGTATAGCCCTGGCCCGCACTCCTGCCCTCCAATCAAGTAACACCTCATCGACAATACTGGGATTGTGTGGCCAAAGGTGTGCTCGAGCTGCAATTTGAGAGCTGAATATGATAGGCATGTGTGTGCAGGCCCGTGTGATCACCGAGGAGGAGAAGAAGTTCCTTGCGTATGCCACGCTGAGGAGGCAACTCAGAAACGCCAAGACTGTAGGGCTGTACTCACTAGGCGGATAGATGTGAAGGGTCACGAGATGTGCACTTTAGTGTTTTCGTGATGCATGGTTTTGAAGGCTTTTTGGAGCCAAGGGGTCATAGGGCACTCTCGGTTATCTTGGCCTTTTTTGCAGGTCGGCAAGCAGGCGAAGAGGCTCGCAGAGAAGGCAGCGGCGGAGGCCGCGAAGAAATAAGCGCCTGCATGTCCATGGCTCTACCTGGGCAGCAACTTCACCAAAACATCACCCGCTGTAGGGAGCCCCTTCTTCGCCGTTCGTGGGTTGGATGGGGCAACAACGGGTCTCCAGCCGTCTACCTGGCGGAAAGAAACTCATGAACGTCTCTACAGTTCTTTGCTTTGTTAAGAGCCTTCAGGTTTCCCTAGTTTTAGGTACATACGGGCGTCTCCGGGGTTGGGTGGTCGAGAGTAGAGGAGTCCATAGTAGAGGCGGGCCGCTCTGGGGTGCTAGGTCTATTCTTAGGGGCTTTAGAGACTAGAGGAGCAGCCCTGGGGGAGTAACAGCGAATCATCCCCGAGGCAGTAAAAGTGAATCATCCCCGAGGCAGTAAAAGTGAATCATCCCCCAAGGCAGTAGCTGCGAAGCAGCACCACTGGACCCGCGCTGCGCCTCGAAACGATGCTTCGCCTGGGGATGTCGCATATGGCGTAATTATGCAGAGCCCTGGCAAGCACCTCGGGCACGGCGAGGCGCAACTGCACTGCTATGCTCACCAAAGCAGCCTCTAAATTGTGGAAGTAGAGGGGTGTAATCTGCACCATCCCACGCCTAGGGGTCTAGAATATTCTGTTTGGATATCCGGTGCTATACATACACCACCATCTCAGGCACCACTACCCATAAAAGCACGTGCTTGCTTAGTCTCTCTGATCGCTACACGTGCTTTTACCTTGTGGCTTTTTCGTTTCCGAATGCATGGAAAGTGTACGGGTTGTGGCAGAGAATGCCAATATCTCCTGCATCCCGGACCGCCGACCGGAGCCCTAAGGCCATGAGGTCCTCTGAGGGGCCCCTTCGCGTCCGCCGGTGCAGTTCTACTGCTTGGGGTTGGTTTATTTCAATGCAACTTTATTTTGAATGGCTTTTGTCTCCCGATAGGCGATCTTTTGCCCTCTCGCTGCTGCATTATGTACCCCGGTTGCTAAGAAGCCCGGGGGCGCGAGGCCCTTGTTCGCAGTCGGCGGCCCCTGCTCGGCCAAAACAGCGAGGGAAATCTTCTAAACGCAATTGATATAGACGTTTAAACCTGACTGTTTTTGCAGTCTTCCTACTGTCTCGTCTTGAGACCTCCTCTGTCGGCTTCGTATCCGTATAAGTTTCTATCCAGGCCCGTGGACGCGCCCATAGAACCAGGCCCTTGAACACGCGCATCAGTTCCTTCCCAATTTCTCTGCATCCAGAAGCCCCCATGCCCCCGCAATGGCCTTCGATGCGAACCCACTCGTCTGCCTGCCTCAGGGCATTCCGTATACCCCCTATGCGCCTGCAGGAGTGGGTGTCTCGGTCCCTCTGCCCCTTCCGCCCTCCCCAACTGTCCTCCATCAGGCAGTCGATCCCAAGCTGACGACACGTCGAGGGCCCCCTGGGGCCCCTGGTACCCTTCAGAAGCCCCGCTCGCCGGTTCGGGCCACTTCCGTCGTAGCCGAGTACATCCGACGGAACCTTTGCGATCCGCATACGCCACGAGGCCTCCGAGCAGCGGCCCCTACAGGCGATATTTCCAGATTCGCCACACCAGGAACAGCCTCCCGATCCACTACCCCTTTGCCATCGAGTTTGAAAGCTCGACCGGCTACTGCCTATGCAGCTCAGCGGCAGCATCGGCTCCACCCACGCCCGTTGCAGCGGACGTCTCTCACTGCTGCTTCTCGGACGGCTGCTAGCGGCTTTTCCCCCAAGCGCGGCGCAGACGATTCGGCTAAGAAGACCCCCCGGACGTCCACTGGAAGGGCCTCTGCCCCCGATGCCCCCGTCGTGAAGGCCCTCACGGAGGCCCTCACGAGAAACCAACACGAGCTAGAGAAGTTGAACGCAAGCTTGCGGGAGAAGCTGTCAGTTCGGGAGAGGCCAGTGTGTGGACGCCAGAAAGGAGGGGCCTCCCAAGGGGAGACAAAGCCTCGACGTCCCTCCCCCGCAACTCGACGGGCCCGCAGTGAAGAGACTCCTGGCAGCCGAGCTGCAGCCCATGGACTCCGTGTCACGAGTGTTCGGTGGATGCCTGGGGCGGCGTTGAGCTCCGGCGCGAAGAGTCTCGCAAAGCCAAAGAGCAGTGCTTCTTTGAGGACCACCCCCAAGGGGGCCTTTCCCCGCTTGCTGGGAAGCGAAGAAATAACAGAAGCAGAGAGGGCCCGGTTTTTGCTGGCGTTGGAGGAAGTAGAGCGAGAATTCGGAGAACGGATAGAAGACTGCGCCTCAGTCCTGCCGTCAGAGCTCTCGCGAGGGGTATGGCCGATTTCACGCAGTATATCTTTCCTCGGCAAGGCGCAATACTGTAGCTTATCAGACTTGCGAGGGACGTGTGGCAGAGGGCGGAATCAGGTCTGAAAGCTGTGCAGTGCCTCGCAACGGCATGGTGCAGCTTGATAGTCTCTGTCCTCCCCCGCCTTCCCTTCCCTTGTGTAAACACCTTTACAATGACGTGCAGCGCTGGCATTAGCCTAACAAGGCCCTGAAGGGGCTTCCGGGGGTTTGCTGTGATGTCTCTGGCGTTAGTTTCTTTTCTTGTTATCTATGAAACTTGCAGGTCTTTAAGGCGCGTTCTATCAATGAGAAGCTCCTGCAGTTTCGGGAGGCACTGAATAAGCTCACAAAACAGGCAATGTGAGAGCTTCCGCCTTCCCTGCCTCCTCCCCTCATTAGTGCCCTCCCTAAAAATATCCATCCGCAGTACACTGACAGGGCACCCTTGACCTTTACGTCGTGTCAATCCTGAAGCAGCCACTCGAAATCCTTTCTGAGCACACAGGGCCTCCAAACACCGTGCCTGCATGCCTAGGCGATGTAGCTGTGTCCATGGAATAATTCCGCTGTGGCTTCTGGCTCTGCAACTCGCAGGATGATGAAGCTTTCACCGAAGGAGCGGGATGAATTGCGGCAGTTCAAGGCACACAAGAAGAGAGAGGCTCATCTACAGGCTGTGAGTAATATGTAAACCTAGGCACTTCCCCTGTAAGACGGAAGCTAGATGGCATATATCGCGGGCAGCGAGAATACTCCCCTACAAAGTTGGGTACATAGATACGGCTGAAAAATTTGCTTGCTGGCCTCGTGGTTTGTTCTTAGGCGCTTACCGAGGCGCGAGCCAACGTGGAGGCCTCGAGGGATCATGTTTCTCGGCTAAGGCGCTTGCTACTGCCGTTGCAGCACAGCGTTGCCGCGTACGCGTCTATTCAACGGGCAAACGTTGTTGCACAGGGGACCCCTTACGTTCCGTATTCCCCCGCAGTACCAGCGATTGGAGCGAGCGTGGATGCTTTGTACAAGGGCGAGCCTCGTGGAGTACAGTTATTCGACGCTCCCGAGAATGAAGGGGGCCCCCTAAACCCTTCCCTCTCTGACCCGTACAGCCCAAGGCCCTCTCCACGATCTGCAGGGCCCCAGGGAGGGACGTTCGTTGGGCCTTCAACAGGTCGGAGGCCAATTGGGGGGCCCCCAGCAGACTATGAAAGGCGTTCCCGTGATAGGCCTGAGACGTTCGCTAGGCCCTCTGTTTCGCCTCAGTCCCTTTCGAGAGCCGCCGACAAGTATGAGGAACCCCCTGAGCAGCATTGGGCTGACTCTTTAGCGACCTTTCCCCATGATAGGTCTCCGAGCTCCCCCAGCTTCAATCGTAACGGCAATGCATGCGGCAAGGGTCCAGTAGATGAGCTATGCCTCCCTGAACGGGGTGAGAGAAGTAAGGATCCCTCCGCATTTGCTTCTCCACGGGGTGATGGCAGCAGCCTTGCTGCGTCAGGTGAGCTCTGAACTTCTTAATACTCCAGCATTAAAGTCTATGAGGGATTATCTCTGGCTCCTGCATCCATTAGCCCATGCTTTTTTGGAATTGCTCACCCCCTCAGAAACCTAGGGCAAAGCAAGACTTCAAAGCCCTCACTATTCGTTGGCTTGTTCTCAGAGGAACAGATTTTCAAAGGAAGAAAAGACGCAGTGAATTGGGCCACAGAGTTCTTGAGAAACCAGTGAGGGACTGAAATGCCTCCTCATCCAGTAAAATGTGTCTCCTTTGATTTTTGGACGTGTAGATGCGTAATTTGTTCGGGCGGATTGTTTCCTTGTTTTTATGTCGCAGTTATGAGGGATGTGGTCTAGATTTTGGCGCTGTGCCTTCGAGGCCCTCAGAGCTCGGGACACCTTGAGAGCAGTCTGAGACCCCTTGGGAGAATACTTTTTGCACCGGCATGATTAGCAGTCCTAACATCTGTTGCTGCCAATGACCTTCAGGATTCAGACACTATTCAAGGCCTTTAGGAAGAATAATAAGTGGTGGTGGCCTTGGGATGAAAGTTTGCGTGATGGGGCCCGCTGCTCTGCGGTGTCGAGTTACATTCCTTGTCTGCCTGTCCGCTTACAACGTAAATGCAACTAAGACGCATTTTTAGCCCTAAATGGCACTGATCAGCATGGATCGCCAGTTCCTGTTTTTGGATTTACTGCTACTCTGTCGGCTTGCTCGTAGTACGGGTATAAAAGTACTCCGCAGCCAGACTAAATTTCGTGACCATTTCTCCCTGACACTCTTCTTCACTAGGCTCGTAGAGTAGTAGACCTAGATACTCAGCCTTGAAAGCTTCCCTCATCGGTAAATGACCCTAAAGCGGGTATTGCCCCGGCTGCCCGTCTTTCCCAGAGCCCCGATGAGAAAACTCGACGGCCCCCCTCGTCCGTGTAGGGTCTAATGCATGCCAAAATAGGCGAAAACTGATTCGAGATTTGGCTCTTTGTCATTTAAAACCCCACATGGACTCCAGTTCCCTCCTCCGCGCCCCCGCTCAGTTTCCTCTGCAACAAGCGACCGGGCCCCGACGAGTAATACCCAGTGGTCCGGTAGACTCCAGGAACTTCGCCTAGGGGAGTGGTGGCATCAGGGTTCCTGCTTCATGGGATTGGAGTGGGCCCGCTCAAACACTTTTTCTGCGAGGATTCTGCGAGTAGGGTGTGTCATGTGTGTCGTAAACACGGAAGAAAAATCAGCAGAGGACCTGTTGTGAAAAACTGTGCGTGGCGCGTCAAGGAGACTAGCACCAGTGGGCAGGCCGTCCTTTTGAGAGTTGGTGAGCCCTTTCTTCGCCATCGCTGCTATGTGCCTGTATATTACGGCACTTTAAAGGATTTGATACTTTGTAAAAGCTCTACTTATGCGTTGGCTCGGGAGATACGGGCAGTTCAAGTGTCTAGTGCCCCCATCTAGTGTGGCCCCTCGTCGCGAACCGCTCTGCGCCCCCGCGTTGCTTTCGGCTTCTTTTAAAGCACATCGCGCAAGGCGGAGTCTCATAGATTTGATTTTAGCTCAGTCGCACGCCTATAGCTCCAGAAAGAGCTGCAGCCACAGGAGCATTTGCATGTGCGGGAGGACTAGCTGCAGCTGCAGCATGATATGTCCCTGCTGCGAAACTCGCACCAGAAGTGGAAGGAGCAGGAGCAGCAGCAGCTTAAGACTTAGCGGCAACAGCTAGATGTGGCTGTTTCCTCTAGCTGCGGCCCGCCGCGCTCGCCGCTCCGAGTTGCAGAAGACACAGGCAAACGGTGCCACTTCTGCCGCTTTTCTGGGTGTTTCTGCTCCCTCTGTGTCTTGTCCTAGGACTGTAGCCTCAGTAGGAGGCGCATCGGGAGGGCATGGCGGCGTAGTATGGCCATTGGGCGTCCCTGTATGCCCCTTTGTGGCTGGCAACAGTCCTGCAGTGGCTTCGGCGACTGCAGAGATCTACGCCTTCCTATCCACACTTCCACTGGATGTTAACAGCAGCACACTTGGCCCCGGACTGGTTGTTACGAAAACACCGGGGCGGCTATTTGTTGGCACCTTGGCGCATGCCCTGGACGAGACTCTTCTGCAATCCCTCAGCATCGGCATCGTCCTTACTGCAGCTTGGCCCTTTGGCTCGTGGCCTTGCAGGCAGAGGGAGCTCTACAAAAAGCTGGGAATCTTACATTATGTGCATCCTCTTTTGGACGATCCATCTCAGGTTCGTCACCGCGCAAGCGTGTTTCCGCCCGAGGGGTGTAGCGGTGTTCGGAAAGAGGTTATCCTGCTTCACCCGTAGAGGGCACACCAGGGAGAAAAGGGGCATTAGAAAGCTCACACTGACGAGGCTTGTATGAGGTGGGCCTGTGGAGGGGGCTGAGGGAGGAGGCATTTCCTCCTGGGGGTCGAAGGGCTTACTGAGAGAACGCTGGGCTCTTCGCTTTTTTGAACATGCTCGCGAGAAACAATGGCCCGTGGTGTAGCACCCATTTTTCCCACTATTCGGGGTACTCGCTTCTCTTGCATCTTCTTAAGCGGGCTGGCGTTGCTATGGCGGTGCGGGAACCTGTGCCTCTCCTGAGCGTATCTATACGTCTATCTGTGTTCATAGATGTTGGGGATTTCCGTGTCTGCGCGTCTGCATGCGGGAGGCATCTGCCCGCGCGGACTCTTGGATCTAAATCGACCGTCCCTAAGCGGTTTGTGGATTTTCGCTTTTCTTGTTCCTTTGCTGCAGCTTCTTCGTTTTGATAATTTATCCCTTGGTTCCGTCAGGGAAGCCCTCATGAGGTGTGTGTGGCAGCAGGTCGTCATTCCGAGAACATGGCTACAGGCTCATGGCACTGATTGTTGGGGCCTTTGATGCCTTCTTTCTTATGCCGCTGTCACCCCTAAACGATGGTTGCTTTGCTGCTGGGTCTGAGACTCCCGGTTTTACGGCCATAGCCCCCCTGCTTCTCTTCTGCCCTTTCGTGCTTGTGCGTAGAGGCACCAACGTCTTTATCCACTGCGAAAAAGGGATATCCCGTTCCGTCGCGGTTTGCATGGTAAGCACGAGCCGAAAGAAGCTGCGTTTTCTTCCTTTCTTGCACTCGCTCACTCACGGTGCTCGATTTTGGGGCCTTCTATCCCCCTTCTTCCCCCGCCCTTTTCCTCGCCCCCATCGTGCCGAGATTATTCTTGTGAAGTCCTTCTCTTTAACTTTCGGAAGGCCTGCCCAGCGAGAGCTTCCCGCTGACGTTTTCCTTCTCTTGGTTGCCTTCAGGCCTATTTGATTATGTATGAGGGTCACTCTTTCCGGTCATCTTATCTCACCATTCGTCGTTACAGACCCATTGCGAGGCCTAACATCGGCTTCATTCACCAGCTCTTGGATCTGGAGGCTCAGATTGGATCTTCCGAAAGCATGCTTCATGATCGGCATCGCCGCCCCTCTCAGGGCGGAGCTCCTGCCCTGACTAATGAGCAGCGAGAAGCAGCCCTCTTTGGCAAATCGGAAAAAGGTGAAACAGGGGCTTCCCCAAGCAACAACTCCCCAGATCGCGTTCCTCCTCATGGCCAAAATCCCGCCTACAGCAAAGCTCATTCCAGGCAGGCAGCGGCCGCTGCTGGTCGTTCGGGCGTAGCTGTGGATCCAATGCCCCAAGCAATTGAGCGTACCGCCGTGCAGCGGACCGTTCAGGGAGTCATGGTGCTCTGCCACAATGCAAGCACCACTGGAGGCAGCACGCTGTCCGGGCAAGTCGTTGTTCCTACTGCTAGAGGCACACTCATGGAGGATGAGTGGCGGCATCTAGCCGCAGTGGGGTCCCATGCGCTCTCCGAACCCCTTGCCTTTAGCGGTACGGCGTACCAATAGTGTATAATTTAAAGGGGTTCTGGCCGGCGTGCTTGAGCCCCCTTCTCGCCTGCAGACTCTCTGTATTCTGCAGCAGCCTAAAGACAATTGGTCTTTGCAGCAGAAGCAGCAGCAACATCATCTGCTGCTGCTCCACCAACCGCGGTAACAAAGGGGTTGCTACCGAAACGCCCATGTTGGGGCAGCCACAGCTGCCGTCGCTTTCGTCGCTGTTTTTCCTGTGCTGCAGCAACAACAGCGATGGTTCCTGTCTCTGTACTTCCTCAAATTCAGGGTATGAGACAGTATGGCAACACCGCCTTTGGCCTACCCACTGGAGCCCTACGTTATACTAGTCGATTGGAGTGCCCTGGCACTGCCGGTGACCCTGTATGTTAGGGTCTTGGGTTCGTGAAAAGATCTTTTCGGAGCCCTGTAGCGGGCAGCTCTCTAAACGGGGTCTCCTCAGATCACGAGGTGCTGCTTCCGGTGCAGCACTGCAGGCCCTCTGAAGCCTGCGCGGCTCTCACGCCCTCGCCACTGCTGCAGGAGAGGGCAGCCAAGCGTTTATACTCAACAATTCGCTGTCACCGTTCCTGTGAGTGTAGACATTCGGGCACGGGTTTTTACGCGCCATGTTCACGAGGCGACGCTACAGCAGCAGTTGAGCATCAAGGAGTCTCCTAGAAAGATGCGGGCTGCTACCCTCTCGCAATGAGGCCCGATGTGGCCGTCCTCTTAAAAGTACAGTTCTCTAACAGCTTTCCCGCAAATCTCATAGGGCCCCCACGAAGTTCAAAAGGGCCCTGTCGGGACTGCATATGGGGGGCCTCGTGATGCCCGCATACTAAGTCTGCAGTGGATCGGGGCAAGGGGCTTGTTGTAGACGGGGCGCATGTACACGAGAGGCTCTTGGGGGTTTCTTAATCCTGCTTTTTCTGTAGCTTCTTGCAAGCGTGGATTACAGTGAGCAAGGGGGCGTTGCGTGTCAGCACCCGGCGGGTGGCTTTCAGTGGGCTTCTTATCCATCACGGTTTTGTTTTCGTGCCGTTAAAGTTTAAGGATAAGGACCTAGCAAGGGCCCTTGGCCAATATGAGGATTCGCAGATAAAGCAGGCGGCGCCTTTACCCTTGTGTGTTTCCTTGTTGGCACGGGGGGTCCAGGCAGCAATATATATGATAGACGAAAGAACGCACAGAAACCCAGTGATATTTACTCCAATCGCGGGAATTGCTCGCTTTTGGAATTCCTTGTATATTTCGCTGTGCGTGGACCTCTCTCATAGCGTTTCATCTGACGGGCCGTCATACGTTGACAACTCCTACCTGAGCTGTATTAACTAGAGAATGGGTCGTTTCATGGTCTGGCGTTTCTCTTATTTTGCTTGGTGCCAGCGATGCTAAGTACATACTACAACGATGAACGAGGGTGCCTGTGCGATATTTTGGCTGAGTGCACCTGGGTGTGGGTGCTCGAGCCGTTTAGGGGCGGCAGCAACGCGCATCCAGTCTGCCCCTCTCCCACATGCCGGAACCCTGTAGGACGAGGCCAAGTTAACGAAGGAACTCGTTGTTACTGGCAATGATAATTTTCATTATGCTTTGGTAGGGCTTGGGGGCCAGGGAAAATTTCGCGGATACTCCCTGAGAGGAACGCTTATTTTATGCATAGTCCCTCCCTTGTACTGATCTGCGGCGACGTCTCTATGGTGGCCTACATTTAGCGTGGCTATGTTTACTACGGCATAATACTGGCTTCTCAGGAGTTTTTCGGTGCGAGGTCTGCAACAAGTCGTACTCCGGTGAGTATCAAAGGGACTGTAGAGGTCAAGGATTAAAGAAAGAGAATCATACGTGTTTGGCACATAAAAGCTTAGATCGAACGTGCATGGAAGCATAAGCTACGCATGTTTACTCGGCTTGTAAAGAGTCTTGCCGTCTCGTGGGTGAGGCGAGGAACCTCGTTATTAGCTCCACCGCAGTAGAGGCATGCAAGGTAGTTGACGGCACTTACTGAGCCAGTTGGTACATTCTGATTGCAGCCAAAGCAGCTACACTTTTCCCTCGTCCATAAAAAGTTGTGAGCAAGGTGTATGCGCTTGCCTGCACGCGTGTAATGTACTGGTGATATGGCGGTTCCTCGTCTGTAGTCTCCTCAGGGCCTGCGTAGCTTTAACCCCCTATTACCCTTTCAGCAGTGGAAAGGCAGCGAATTCAGATTAATGAGCACTGCACTCGTAACCCAGATGCCTTAGCTCCTCTTTGGCTAAGTGCTGCGCTGTAAATACACGCTGCCCTTTGCTTACGCTGCCATTGCTCGGCCGAATGAACCTTTGCTGCTACCGACAGGTTCTACTGGGGTCCGGACTTATGAATAGCTTAGTATCCAGTGGCCAACATGCAAAAGGTCTTTCCGCCAGGAACAAGCATCTAAACTAAGAAGCACGTCACCTCACTCAAACTAGCGCTGCATGTACTCTGCTAGTGGGGTTGGTATTACTGACGGCCTGGCTTCTATAAGCCATTTGGATATTCTATACTGTGCTGTCTCTGTAGACACTCAGTATGTAGCCTTGGGAGAGAGACGCGGGCCAGGGGTAATGCCAACCGAAGCAGAGCCGGCAGCCTGTAGCCCTTGGTTCTCTACTTGTTGCTCACTCGGTATTCTAGGGCTTAGCAGCTAGTTGAAATGATACCAAAGTATAGTTGCGTATTATTCCTTACCCAAAAAGACCTAGAGCCAGGCAGCTCACCCCTTCTTTAATTAGCGGTGCCGACACGCCTCCAATGACGCCCGAGCCTTGCAGCACTTGGTAGCAATCTGCGTCATCCCGAAATACTGTTGGAGGGTTCAAGCCCACAGACCGTGTTTTCAGGCTAGAAGGAGCCAAAAGTGGGGCAAAACCATTTTGCACTTACCACTATCAAGGGGGTTTCACATCCTGTTTCCGCCTCCAGCCGCACGTCATCTCGGTAGCCTAAGCACCAACCCTATCAGATCCTACTCTAGGGCCCTCATCCAAGCCCGCCTTCTTCATCTCTCCTCTTTTAGCTCTTTTATGCTTATTCATAGATTCATAGAGAGAGAGGAAGCCCTGAATCCCACCACTCCATCACCCCCGTAGGCTCGCTGCCTTTACCGGGGACCACGCTCGGCGAACCGACCATTGAGACTTTTGAGCTCTTGAGTGCCCTCTCCTCAAGTCTAGACTCCGAGACTTCCCCATCCATGGTACGCCTCGTGCCTCCGGCCTGAAGCTGCCGCTGCATTTGCCAACGCGAGCCCAGCAAGGAATCCTCTCCCAGAAAAGCAGAAGAAGCAAAGACTCGACGCTGCACTGGCAGCTCCCCATGGCAGCTGAGCTGCCCCTTCAACCTGTAACTGAGGGAATGGGGAGTGGCTTCGTCTCGTCTCCTTTTATCTCCTCTAAATCCACAAGCCCTCCTAAAGATGTCGTAAGATATGCACGCACAAGGGCCACGCTGGCACTCTGCATCGCCCACAGCCCCTCTCACTTGTTTTCTTGGAGTTTTGGGAGTTTTTAGCGCGTCAAGAGGCCTTTCAGGCTTCCCTCTTTCCCGCACACCCGAATGTGCCGGCTCTCGGCTCCCTCCTGGGTTCGACTCTGCCCCTCTCTACCTCTTGTTCGCGTGCCTTCTACCTCCGCCTGAGCCGTTTTCGCTTGCCACCACGTCACCAGCTCAGTTTTTTCCTTTCCTGTTACTTATAACTGCGTCCGCCCTTGCGGCGCCTGACTTCCTGCGGCCTCTGCCTCTACTACGGCGTAGTGGTTGTAGCGCCTTATCATGCTGCCCCCTTTGTTTTCTGTTGTGCCTTCGTCTTAGCTGCTTGGGCAAGAAGTCGGCGGCGAAACCTCCTGAGAAGAAGGTATGCCTTTCTTGGTAATCCTAAATGTTCCCAGAGAGCTTTGCTGAGGGTCGTATAGCCGTTTCTTAGGTTTCGCTTGCGGCCATCTTCCCTCAGGAAACATCCCCTTCGAAGGGAGGGCTCTCTGCCGAGGTGAGTAGTAAAGGGCCTGTCGAGTGTCTGTTTGCCTCCAGCTTGCCCATAGTTTTAGCCTTATCTTGCCGTGCAGTGTAAACGGGAGGCTTTGGCAAACGGGGGGCTTCGTATGCGGCAAACACAGAGACATGCGGCTGCTTTGCGCCACAGGGTCTTCGCAAAGACAGCGGCACGGCCGATGCTCCTGGAGATGATATTGAGTGCCTAAGGAAGGAATTAGCCGAGCTGAAAAGGGAAAGGCAAGTTCTCCAGTCGAAGATGGAGGAAGCCCAAAGGAAGGCAGCAGATGCCGAGGAACAGCTCTGTCGGCTTCCTAGTAAGGTCCGGAAGGCTCTTAAATCCTCCAAAACAACCGAATTCTCTGAGTCCTTATTCGACTCGATCGTACCGGAGAGAGAGGTAAGCAAGGAGGAGGCAAGACAGGCGTCAGGCATTGCAGCCCGATCTACTGGGCCCTCTCGTCAAGCCACGCGGACCGTGGCCCCTTCGAAGTCAACGTCAATGCCTCGAGCCAAATCGAAAAGATTTACCCAGTCGTTTGCGGACCCTACTCCGTTCATGCAACTGTCGCAGGAAGAAGCACCCACGGAGATGGCCAAAGAAGAGGCCCCAGAGGCGGACGAGGGGCCTCCCCTGCGTGCACGGGCCCTACCACCGAAGGACGGAGGACAACAGGATGAGAAGAAAAGCGAAGTTAGCAGAGTTTCAGGTAGAGAGGAAGAGCAAGCGGAGGTAGAGACAGAAGCTCCCGCGCCAAGGAGCGAGTCATTTCCCGCAGAGCCAGAGCCGAAACACGAGACGGAAGTACAGGCGGCAGCAGCAGCAGCAGCAGAGGAAGAGAGCAAGCGGCTATCAAGGCCTCCCTCTCGTGAACGTTCCCTTCGGTGGCTGAGGAAGCGGCTTAGCCACACTGCCTCTTTAAACGAAGAGCCAGAACAGCGGTCGCAGCCTCTGCTCGCCAGTAACATTCTTTCTTCGAAGGACTGTGTCAAGTGCGACGCTCTAAGTCAGGAGAAGAAAACACTGCAGGTCCAACTGGAGAGAGCCAAGTCCCGCTGTGGCCATCTGGAGGCAGAAGCTCAGGAGGCCCTTGAGAAGCGACGTGCCCTTATCGAGAAAGTGAGAAGGCAATCTGCCCCCAGATAGCGCATTCAGCATGCTCATGCAGCTTACATCCTGTAAGCCTACGCATGACGCCTACTGCTCTGTGAGTTTGCTGCAGGTTAGACTTGTGGTACAGAGGACCGCGCTACGGATGGACCAACTCCAGGCCAAGTACGAGTTAGCAATGAAAGAGGCAAGTGCATACAGATATACGATATACGAAAGGGCATTATGTATGCGCTTGCCGAAGGCGAGACTTGTTCCGAAAGGAAGGGAGCTGAGGCTTTGCTTCGCCGCACAAAGGGCCAGTTGGGAAGCGGCTGCATGATATCGAGAAGTGAAAGGAGGCTCTACTGATGGTCTGTTCTGCCACTTCAGGTAGCAGATGGCAATCGCAAAGCACAGCGTGCGCGGATCTTTTATTATGGGCGCGTAAGCACATTCCGTATGTCTTGTCGTTCCTTACCCCGAAGGTGCTGGCAATAGAAACTTCTGTACCCTTTACTGGTCCTGTTGATGGGATTGTGAGTGTTTAGCGCCAGGGATTGTGCGGATGGTGCTTGCGCTCACAGCGGAAGGGCCTTGAGATGCGCATTGCGGCCCTAGTTGACAAGGTGCACGAGCTGGAGACATCCGAGTCGATACCGTGAGTCCCTCACCATTCAGCTAGGCAAAATTCTGCATGCACTTGTCTTCCTCATGTCCATTATGAGAACCGGCTGGCAGGGGTTCCTATGCAAACTAAAGAAACCCTCAGATGCACATTTTCAGCTGCAATGAAACTATCGATACAGAACCGCACAAGAAGAATGCTTGTGTTGCCCTAACAGTAGAGATTACAGGCTCCCAAGGCGATCCCTGAGATTCGCAACCAGGTGCCTAAAGGACATGTGCCCGCTTCAGCCGCTATTCTTTGTCCATGTCGTTTGACTAAACGCCGAGAATCTAAAAGTGGCAGTACGAAAAGGGCACGAAGTCTCTTCTCTATTAATTGCCTGTTCTACACTGCTGTTTCCTCTGCTTTGTGCCGCCTGCAGTCCCGAGCCCCCTGGCAAAGCCCACACGACGGAGTTGTTTCCTTCATATGTGCTTGATATGGAAAGGGGAGTCTCTTTGGCTGGATTGCCTCATGTCTTTGTAAAGTATCGGGAGAACATTGATAAGCCAGAAGATGATGCATCTAGCGCGCGGCAGACTGTGCTGGTCCCTGCATACTTTTTTGATGAGGAGGCGTTGGTGCGTGCTCGGGAAAAAGCGGAAGGCAATAGGAGGCGACTTTCCGTGGCAAAACCAGCTCAGCTCTTTGATGAGGCAGCAGCTGAGAGGACCGTAGCAAGAAAATCAGCAGCAGCTGCATCGTCGGGAGAACAAAGCAGAGCTGTCCCTTCCAACTTGTTTAATGAGGAGCCAATGCGCAAAGCCAAAAAAAAGGCTGAGAACCTCCGAACGGAGCAGACAACAGCTCTTCCTGCCTCTCTCTCCAAGGAGCCGTCAGAAATTTCTCATAAATCAACCGTGGTTGTTCCTTCAAACTCTTGCGGGGAGAGAGAGTCCGAGAACCCTCTGCAACAACAGGCGACTAGCAGACAGTCCTCTCTCTTTTCACGCCCGCTTCTCGACAGCTGCCCTAGGCAAACTCAGGAGGAACGTCCTCAAGCAGAATTGACCGTGGGGCCCTCAGTGGAAGACGCTGGACATGCGTTCAGGAGGACTGCTCCCGTAGAGATTCCCGAATCAGACAGTGAAGACATCTTTCCAGAAGCACCCCAAATCGAAGGGACCCGTGTCCGTCCCCTCTCAAGGAGTGCTAGCACGCAAATGCAAGACAATTGGACAAGCAGTCTAAAAGGAGGCACGTTACCTAGCAAGAACCGACCAGCAAGCCCACTGATGTGCAGAGAATGAGGACCCTAGGCGTTGCAAAGCCATGTAGATACTAAAGTGAAGGGGCGAGGAGCTCTGTATGAAGCAGCCGTAGGCTGTATGCGCCTATGTGTGGAACGGCACCAGGAAGTGTTAAATAATTTGGGGCGTTCCTTGAGAACTAAGAGAGTGCGCACCGTAGCGTGCTCCCGTGCACGAGAGCTTGGTTCTATGTTCTTAAGGTATCTTTCCATCCCGGCCCTTTTCCCTATCGTATTAGCAAGCTAATGCGCCTTGCCGATTTGCGGTTTGCTCTCAGCTGAAATTTTATCTCCAGCAAAGCCGCTTCAGCCAGCGGAGTCCTTTATAACGGCTCCCTGTTGTGGTCGTTTGACCGTGCAGAGCAATGTGAAACCGTTCCGGCGTTGCGGATGCATGATCTGCCGGCAGTGTCTTCGCACTGCTTCAATGCAGGCCAAAGTCCATATTAACAACTTTGTGGGGACGGATCCCAATACGGGAGCGTATATCTGGAAAGTCAGATGCCCTACCTGCGGCATCGTAGCCCCGGTAACTGCCACGCAGTTGCGCATTCCGTCCATCAAACGGAGTGCGCCCTAGTGACTCTTGATTGCTTTTGAATCCTGAGTCTCCAAGCACTTATAGCTCTGCTTCTGGCCCAGAATACCCCACTAATTCATGGCTAGCCACGAGTTCCCGCCAACTTTTCTGTATCCACAATAAGGACCCCCATGCTGTAGCTGGTGGTGACCAGCTGCGCTAATCCACTTACCTGCGGGCTCCTACCTGGCGTGAACTTCTCACAAACACCCTGGTTATATTTCTAAGCTTGATGCCCTGTTTGATAACATTCTTCAACCTTTATGGCCTGCTCTGGGCCGACCCACCGGGTCCTTTTTCAAAACCTCAAAAAGCACCTTAGAGGCCCCTCAGGATCCGCTTATCTGGCACGCGGATGAAATGGAAAAACCAATGAACAACCCTTTTAGTAGGAATCAAGGAGGACTTACTAGGCAATCCTCACACAATATGCACGAACAATGGCTTAACAGTGAACTAACCTTCCCAGATCGGCTCCCTCGCGGGGAAACATCTCTGCTTCACCGAATGTTGCCAACTTCAACCTCGATAACTGTCTCCGGTATCGGTTTTACGGGCCTTTTCGTGTGATTTCAAAAAGTTGAATTTGAATTAACGAGTTTCATAGAGACGTACTTGCACGCAAAACCTGGGACCCCTGATGAGGCTGAACAGTCAATGAAATATGCAAGCCATCCTCACAAGAACGAAATAGTGCAGAATACCCCGAACTTTGTAAAGTGTGTTGGTCTTTGAGTTACTGCAGTGATTTTCATACTGCAGATGCCGTGATTAGTGACGTAAAGCTGTGTTCTGTTCACATGTGAATCGTTGTATAGGATGTATGTGTGCTGATCATGGCGACATGGTATGCGCGATATCTAATCTTTATTCTGGAGCTTAGGCCTTAACGTTAACACCCCATGATTGACAGCAAGCTGCCCCAGTGGTGCTTCCTTTAGCGTACAATCCCCCACTTCTACGAGCCACGGTGACCAACCAAGCGAGCACCACAGTAGAGTGGAGGGTAGTCCGGAGGCATGTGAGGTGGTTACAGTTACTATACTCTGAGTTGCTTTGTGAAGGAATGTGTACAATTCCCTCTGGAGCGAACCGGCCACCTTCAGGTTTTCGTGGGACCGAAGGTTGCAGGAAACGAAGGCTAGACAATCAAACCGCTTAAACAAGCTCCATCACCACTGATGATACATTTTCGGGCATCGAAATTTACCGTAGTGCAGCAGTTCTGCCAGACCCTTTAGTTTCTGTAAAAGATACAGGGAAGCCTCATCCATAAGCTTCGTGATATAAGGGATAGAGAGATGATTACAAGCGGCTCTCGCCGATATTATCAATAAAGTATGTCTCATGCTACTCAACATACGCACTTGAACCTCCTATTGGTATTCAGCATTTTGTGGGAGGATAACCCTGCTGAGGTGCGGCATGCAGCGCCTAGCTCTCCGTGGCCCGCGGCTCACCGTCTAGCGAGTCCACAAGGTTTTGCCACTCGATTATGCAGCAGACAAGGGGAAAGTGAATGTGTCTTTGGTCTAGAAAGGCGTGAAACTGGTTTTCTAATTTCATTGACGTGCTGAGTCTCCTTAAGTACGCCTTTGCTTGGGAGCTCCCCTCTTCCTAGATGCCTGGCTAGCCTAGTCCACATACACCTAAACTCATATCAACACGTGGGGTGGCGGTTTTGGTCGTGTTGGACAGCAGTACCCAATCAAACCTTAAGTAATACGGTACGAACATCTCATATTGAACCGAAGGGCATATTGAAGGACTCCGTTTCTCACGTGGACAACCGCACTCTGGGCATCGAGACCAATGGGTGGCTAGTGAAGACATATCGCCACAGCAAGAATATGAGATAATGATTTTGGGTCTGTTTTCGTTAACTCTGCGACTGTAAATCAGTTAGGTGGATTGTCATCAGAGCGGCTCAGTATACGTGAATAATTCCAGCGGTCCCTCATCCTCACTCTCCACTGTGGCCCTCTGGTTGCCCCGTATCCACCTCGGCTCCCACTCCAACGCAAGCTGGTCTCAACGCTAAGCAGGCCTGCCATCAACCGCTCTGTCCTCTGTTTTTCAATAGTGATCAAAGTCGAGTGGATCCACTTGCTTTTTATGCCCTTCATATCGTCCTGCCCCTCCCCCCTCCCGCTTCGTCTTTTCCATAATACCAAAAGCCTCCAACTCTCAGTCGAAAGGGCGTGACTCGCCTTATCCGATTCCAATATGCTTATTTTCTGGGTTATTGTACATTGACCCCGCATAGTCGGCATAAATTCACTACTGTAGTATTCTTATAGGTCTCTTCAGTCAGCCCTCGAGCCTCCACTCTGTCCACGTTAAGCAGTTCCCACACAAGGGCAATCTGCACGAGTAGAAAATCATCTGCACAAGGCATAGCAAGTAATTCCAGAAGCTTTTTGAACCTGCTCTTGCCCGTAGTATTGAGTTCTCGTCTGTCCTCTTGCATCTTCCGGGGTACCTGCAAGCCTTCCACAATCTTATACCCTCTCTTTGCAGCTTCAACACCATGGCGTGCGCATCGCTCCTAACAGACGACAATATACTCCGATTCAGGACTAAGGCATGTCTTCGCCTTCTCCAGGGTTCCTGCAGTTTTGGAGACGAGTGAGTGGGATAGGGTGAATACGAACCTGCAGTCTCTTGTGCTTTTTCTGCAGTTTTTGAGTACACGTAGAATAGCCACCAGAATGACAGCAATAAAAGTAAAGGAATGCAATGCTATGCTGTACTGATAGCTGGTGCTCCATATTTGTCTTTTCTGTCACAGCCGATGCCAGTATTCTCACAGCCCAGTCTGGACACGCCGCTCTCCCTATTATGCCTCCCCTAGTAGCCGTCGAGAAAGGTCCGAAGAGACGGAAAGGGAGCCACTACTGCGGTATCTTCCGGTGCCCTGTGAGAACCTCCAACTGGAGAACGGAAAGGTTGTGAAGGTCAAATGCCCCAGAGGAATCAGCTGCCCATTTTCTCACTCCACAGAAGAGATTGCATACCACCCTCTAATCTACAAGGTGTGCACATCTTGTTTCAACACGCTCATGACCAGGATCTAGAGCTGCGAAGTTTTTTAAAAATACGAGTGTAGAGTGGTCATAGGGAACCAGTAACCCATACTGTCTGCCTGACCGGCGGAGCGTGTGCTTGATCCCGACAATGTCTTGCTCCATGGATGTCGCTGTGTTCAGACTGAACCCTGCAAAGCCTTTGCGCAGCGTTCCTGCCGAGTCTACTACTGCTGGAAGAGCCATGGGGAGAAGGAGCGGCGCCACCACCCGCGATACGCATCTTTAGGGGTCGCGAAAGGTCTTGATGGTAAGATGCTGATAACACATGTGTAGTTTATAGGGAGCGGGGTGGCGGGGTACCAAAATGCCAGCGGGGAAAACCTGAAAATGTCTTTAATGCGGGGGCATGCTTTTTATTTTTTTTATTTTTTTGCTTGGATGTGTCGTGCGGGTGGCCTTGTGTAGCGCCACTGAACTATCCAGGGGTCAGCCTTGTGGAGCTGATGCCGAACAAAAACGGCCGCCGCCGCCGCCAGAGATTGACATTAGCGAATTCTACGATGACTGCCTTGGAAACAAGTGGCAGCAGAGGCTCTACTGCGTCCGCAGAGAATGGGAGTCATGAAAAGGTTGATCTGTTGCTCAAAGACCTTGTTCAGCACCTTGCGGATTCCTCGCCTGGATACGACAGCTCCCTACCCAGAGACGCTCTTTGGGAGCTCGGAGGCAATCATCCGGTCAAACCAATTTTACCACACTCCGCGGAAGATGCCAAGGGAAATTGGCCACCTCTCAGGAGCCTATTGCATGTCCTTGAAGGCAGGATAAATGCCCAGTGCTGCGCTGAGGACGACGGAGCCGCGCTCAGTTTCCCCCCTCACCCAGTACACAGCCTGAAGCAGCATGCCAATCAGACAGGAAAGAAACCTCAGAGCTGCGTTTTGAGCCACAACACGCCTTTGGATAGTTCCACGGATCATATGCAAATGAGGAGGCCTGCAGTCTACACAGAAAATTACGAGGCTTTGGGCTGGGCTTTGCCGAATTTAAAACACCAACTCGACGGGAATCCCGTAGCTTCGTGGGATATAAAGGCTCGAATAGAAGGCCTGTCTAATTTAACTGGATCCTTTGCGGCTCCTGCCAACTTCTCACAGCTTGTACGTTCCCAGCATCTCGGTATTCAGGCTCCTATGCATGCAGGCCTTTATAGATGGTGCAGTGGCCTGGGGCCAAAGGACGGTGTGCCTTTTGACGGCGCGTATAAAGACCATCGCCGAAAGTCAATGCCCCTAAGGTATGCACGCAATGAAATGTGGACGAACAAAGGGTGCATACCCTTATGTACTAAAGACTCCGAGGTTCTCTCTTGTTCGAAGTCTTTTGGGAGGAGCCTTTGCAGCTCTCAGAGCAGCAGCGGTGGGGGCATGTGTCCTTGCAGATGCGTCCAGTCATCTCCGGCCGCCAGCCCTGATATGAAGCAGAGGCTATGCAAACTTGTAAGATGCCTTCTATACGCTAGCCTTCATTTCTTCCCTAATGAAAGACTCGTTTCAGAAGCACATAGCACCTTAGCAATGAGTTATGCCTTGAGGTTTGGTGTCTCGTGCAGGAACAGGAGAGTCTTGAGGAACTGAAAGTTGGAACTGTAGAGCACGAGGACAGTCCCTGTACGCGCCTTACTGGCGGTGATTGTGGCAGCCTGGCGTCCACCTGTTTTTCTCTGGAGTTTTCTCCAACAGGTAGCAACTGGTCATGTTCGAAATGTGACATGGAACACTCTATTGGTCCTGTATACAAGGGAGACGAGGAGGTTCATCTGGAGCAGATCCAAATGGACAACGAACCCAGCAGTTCGTGGGGAAGAACCTGCCGGTCGGAGAAAATTGTGGAATATTTGCCTGAAATGGAGGCCAGAGAAGAGGAAACAGTGCCTTTGAAGGACATGCATGGCCCTTCTCAGGAACTAGGATCTCACGACGAGGCTGAAGTGAATAAGAAGCTTATGTCATGCGTTGTTTCGTTGCTCAAAATGATTCAGGAGAAAGAAAGTATTGACGTGAAAGTCGGGGGGCAGCGGAGGGGCGAATGCATGAGCACCAATGCAGAGTGTGGTGTACGTGAATCCCCGCAGCCCGCAGATGATACCACAATTGCTTCAGGTAGTCAGAATATGGCGGCCTCATGGAATATGGCGAGGCTTGTCGCCTAAAAGGATTATACTGTATTGAAGGTGCTTTCAGCATTAGTACAGCAGACAAATGGCTACAGTGCTTCCTGTGGAAAAATGCTTATAAGCGAATGCTGATCGATGATCGATGATTGTTTAGTACCCTGCCAGCTGCAGGGATGTCCGAAGCCAGGTGCAACAGAACAGATCACTAAGTTGATCCCAGCGATGCTGCATATGCTTTCTAGCCTTTCGTTGGTAGGGATTTGCGTCCCAAAGAATGTGAAGATCCCCTTTTCCCGTGTTTTATTCTGGGAATACCGGGAAGATATCAGGCCCCTTAGGAGAATGGTGGGAGGCCGCTTCGTTCATAAACGAATCCAGCCTACTGCCTGGAATATGAAGGAGCACCGAGTTTGGTTTCGCCTGCGAGAAGCTTTCTTCGATCCGGCACTTCATTATTTTGCTCACTGTCATTCGTGGTCCCGCGGCCCTCGTATGAAGATCTCAACATGCATTTTAAGCTACTAGTCAATCTGATGGACGGATTGAGGGTTAGAGATCTCTTATATAATCTTTTTGACCGAAGATGCGTACGCCGTTGGGTTTGGTTCTAGGACTCAAAGTGACAGTTTGCCGTCCTCCCCTCGCTTCATTTTTGCCCCGGCACCTCTCAGAGAAAAATCTGGAAAATTCATTGCCATGTCGAACCCCTTCTTGGGCTGGGTGCTGTGTCTTGGATAAACAAGGAGAGTTTGGCGTGAGGGTATTATGCTACATCTAGTAGTATTAGCCTCGACCTGGTCTCTGCAAAAGGAATGCTCAGGAATGCTTGAATGCGGGAAAGTCATTTGAGCGTTTGAGGGCTGCGATGCGAGTTTGGACTTTTGGGAGCTCCGCCAAGTCACTCTTCACCAACCATTCTGGTCATTTTTCTTCAAGAATGACAGGTTGCGCCGGAATTAAATAAGGCAGAAAACAAAAAGCAGCAGATTCGCTGAAATGACCACGGAGCTGGTCACCGGGGATAATTTATAGGAATTTAACAGCGTTTGCTTCTTCCAGTACTACTACAGAGCGAGTATGGGGGCGAGTCTGCTGCCTGCTCACTGTGAAGGAGCAAAAACCATGAGGCGCCCCCAAATTGGAATCAGCTTGAAGGTTTGGTGTCCAGAGTCCGACTGCATAGCGACTGGGAAACATGTCAAGTTTGTGAAGTGACTTTTCCAGAAATGTTTGCCTCTATTTTGCATAATGCAGCATTCTTGATTTGTTGGTCCCCATTGGTCATCCAGGTGTATTGAAGCAGTTCATTGCCAAATTTTGACTCAGACTGGAAGGAGGGCCGGGATCGCATGTTTCACTTATTATTAGATCAGAAGCTTCAACAAGAAATAGGTTCTGTCTTCCGCAGCGAGTCGTCGCGTTGGCTTTGCACGGCTGGAAGCAGGCGGTCTCTACGTCCTCTTTGAAGTACAGCCGAAGTCTGGAACTGAAATTCATCCTATATGAGGCTTTAAGAGGGGGTTTTCATTTCCCCAGTTCATTATTGCCAGCTCAAACCGAGCGATACATTATAAACATGAGGATACAGGTACGGTCTCTTGGCATATTGCCAATGGACAAATCTCAGGCAAAGACCAGGAGGATCAGGCACTATTCGTCGACTCGATGGGTGACTTCTGGCGCATTTGCACTACTGCATTGCCATATCATAACTCTATACCGTTATTTTTTCATGTGATGTAGTGTGCTCAAACACTTTAAGGAACGCATCGAACAGCCTTTTCCTCTGTTTGCTTTGCCGGGTAACATTGCCAGAGTGTAGGACAGCCGCCAAGTGTGCATATCTCTGCTTGTGAGCTCAAGGTCATGGATCTGTTTAAACCTTCAGGGAGTAATAACTTGTGGTTTCTGCGCACGTATTGGTGTTCATACCCTTTTTTCGCTAGCTCTAGCTACTTCCAAGCTTCAGGAATGCCATGCAAGTTCTCTGTACTAGAATGCTGCTCACGAGTTTGAAAGAGAGGAAAATCACTGCCATTCCTATCCATGTCATACGATTAGCATACAGAAACAAACCCAGCCTCTTTACCTTGGCAGTCGGAGCTCACTATGCATACGATTAGCATACAGAAACAAACCCAGCCTCCTTACCTTGGCAGCCGGAGCTCATTAGCCTTATTGGGATATCGGCCGTACTATTGATATTTAGCAACCCGAAATTGCAACCTCTAGTGTCTGAGTACTTAAGCAACAATGAGAAGCTAGACCTCAGCGATCGCCATTAGAACAGCTACCGTCGCGGGAAAAACTTCCCTACGGTAGGTGACCTTCCAGGAAAGCGATGGCTCGCAGAATACTGAGCTAAGAACTCACTACGTTAGGCTACATGGCATCGGGAGAATAATTAATAGCGGGTGGGCCAGAATGTTTTGCTGCATCCTCAAATTCCGAGTTTACTGATTTCTAGAAGAATTGGCGAGCATTCTCACTGTAGCCTAATGCGGCTCAGCCCCGATGCGGGGGTACACTAGGCAAAAGCACAAATAAATGAGTATATTATGAGATTTTTGGAATTTATCTTTTTTATGATTTTTGACTTTGCCTGCCTTCCCCTGTTTATACCGGTTTCAGTTGCTCACTGTACGCGTTTCGGTGCCTCCTGTTCGTGGGGCCTTCACGCCCTCGATTCCATTGTTAGTTTTGTGGCTTGCTTGATCATGTAGCATGCATTAATTTTAACAGAGTAAGAGTGACTTTCGCGCAGTAGTATAAGATTTGGTCACGTTGGGGGTAGCAAGACCCATGAAGTAGCCCAGCATGAACATTTTGGGGGTCTTCATTGGGCTGAATTGCGCTCTCAGGAACGAGAAGCGCCATGTGAGGTTCGATTATATTCATGCTTCCCTATGGGATTGATCAGTCGCATTGTATCAAAATGGTAAAAGAGGATCATCAGGTCTCCTCTTCCTCAGGAAAATCCCCTGTGTCAGTTCTTCTGCCCCATAAGAACGACGAGTCGCTCGCCGCAGTACAAGCTGCCATCGAAAAAACAACTCGCAAGCTTGAATTAGAAAAAAGGAAGCTCCAGGATCTAGCTGATGCCTCAGACAGAGCGCAGGCCGAATATGATGACAAAAGGGTTCGATATTCTTTCAATAAGGCGGACGCACTGAAAGACTTCGAAAAGGCAGAGCAGCACGTGCGAATGCTAGAAAACAGAGTTGCACAAGCAGCGTCCAAACACAACATGGTCATATCAGCGGTATCGGATATCCGTACCACAATCGATAAACACAGAAAAGATAGGCTCTCCTTAGAACAAGTTCACAGGTATCTTGCGAAGGAACTTGAACAGAAGGAAAAGGAACTTCGTACACTTAAGGTCAAACTGGAGACGGCACAAAAAGAGGAGCAAACTGCCTTGACCTGGAAAGCGCAACTGATACAAACGAATGAAAAGGAAAGACAAGAGTACAGACGTGTGGCTGCGGCAAAAGAAAGGGATCTGAGGGAACATGTGTGTCTGCACCTCTAAACGAGCACACACTTAGTTCATCTTAAATGCAATCGCTGACAAGTTTCAACTTAGTGAATAACCTGAGGTTCGCCTAACAACGACTGTATATGGGAACTAAAGGAGTAGCAGTAAAATGAAGCGTTTTCATAGGTTTATGGGCGTTGGGATGTTGAAATGAATTATGACTATGTCCACCGCTTTTTGTAAATAAAGACGATTTGGAACCAGTGATGTGTGGAACTCACGCTGTTATCAACGGTACTTTTCTTAGGTTGATATGATTCTAGACAGTCCAGGATAGGTGCTTGCTGGATCCTGTGCATTAAGTTGCCACCCTTGTAGTATCAAGACACTGCTTTCCGACCAACTATGTGGATGTACTATTGGTGCCTTGCAGTGTACAAATTTTACACCTTCAGCATCGGGGCGATGGGCTGAATACCGCTACCTTAACCTCGCTAGACAATGATTAATTAGCGCTATATGAATTGCTGGTATTTTTTCCGTTGATTCCATACTTATTATCTAATAAACAAATAAATATACGGCAGAGCGAAATAGGCAAAACGCTTGTAAAACCCAAATCGAGACGAGCCATGGAAGGAGCGTGCAAACTGAAACTATATACGAAGTGTTTTCCAGGTCATATCATTCTAGGTTACCTCGACCTCAGTGGCTTTACGACCATCCATCGTGGTTTTCCGTTGTTGCTGTGTTACATACTGCAGGATCGATTGCTGAAAGAACTGGAGGAAAAGTCCGCGAAAGATGATCAATACATCCACGCACAAATAAAAAACAATGCCTTTTCGGTGTCCGGAGGGGAAAGGCTGACGGATCCCGAGACCCTCATGAAACATATTCTGAAAACAACTCTGTTGAATACAATGCAAAGATATGCAATACGACAGCATAGAAAGCAAATGGATTTATTTGAACGAGCTATGAAGAGTATCAAGGAGTCAACTGGTATATCTGGTAAGACATTCAAGAGATCAAATAGAAAAAAAGTCTGCCAAGCGCAGAGTTTTGCACGTTGTACCCCGTATTTCTATCATTTCGTTTTGCTTGATTGTTGATGCTGATGCAAAGTGTGTTCCTCTCGGAATGGCTTTTTGGTTTGCAGACGCTGATGAGATTGTTCGCATTTTCACGCTGCTAGAAGAAAGGAACTACAGTGCCATTACATACGTCAACACATTAAACCAAGAACTCAAAGAAATGGAACACAGAAAGAAAGCGATCCTCGACAAAATTCGAGAGCACATAGAGAACGGTGGACAAGCAGACAAAATTGCACAGGATCTGCTGAAGGACGTGACAGATCAAATTGGCAGCATCACTAAGCAAGCGGAGGTGACGACAAAACAAGCCTTGACACAATCCCAAGGACTAGAGAACGGAAGGGTGCATTTGGAAGAGTGTGTGCGTTTTATTGAGCGTAATTGGCGCCCAGAAACTCACGGGAAGCAGATAGCAAATGCACTTCTTGAGCCGTCACTTTTAGGCATGCTGCAATACGTCGAAAATTTCGTCAGCGCCATACTCGCTGAGGTATGCCCTAGCACTGCCCTTACAGCGGGCCAGAAAAAGCTTGCCTTTCTTGTGCCAGCATTTTCCCCTCTTCTAGATAGCAGCAAAGAACGCGATTCTACTCTATGTCCATTCTGTAGAGGAACGCCTGAGTCATGGGGTGGTGGCATGCAGCGTCTGAGCCCCAGTTCTATGCTGAATCCCGAAAACCTCCGCACAGTGACAGGGGCAGACAGAGAGCCAGAAAGTGTTGATGGATGTGAATGGCCCCTTACGGATCTTGAACTACGCACAAGAACCGCTCGCTCGTTCTTGATGAAACGAAAACTAGAGCAAGAGAGCAGTGAAGGACAAGCGCATCTCGGAAATGTGCAGTGTGCCCGTACAGCAGAGATTTGGGGGATTGCCACAGTTGCTGGTTGGTCTACAGTTCAGCCAGCAAGTGCTGGGCTCTCTATCGCTTGCATGTGTAGCCTTATGTGCAGCTACTCTCTTCCGGTTGCGCGGTATTAGACTGCATGTCGCAGCACTACCTGCGGATACTCCGGCTAGGGAACGATAGACCGATAGAGTACGGGAACAATGAATTCATGCGGGGGAGCGGGTTGCCCGAGTTTTGCATCTGTGCTGCACCCTGCAGGCCCTGTCCCGAGCTTTAACTCCAGCGCTGACATAGGAGATTTATCTCTTCGATTGAGCACGGAGGCAGTCTTGCTTCCTGAAATGCACACTGGGTTCCACAGAGAGCCAGGGCACACCCCCAAAACAGGCGTCATCGCCAGCGTCTTGGCTACAGGCAATTCAGAGGAACAAGAATTGTCTCTCTCGTGCAAAAACAGAGCAGCCACTATCATGACATGTGATAGATCATCCCACAGCGAAGACTGTAGTCTTAGGCGGGGGCCCTATAGCCAAAGGATACGTTCGCGTTTCTCCGCTCTTGGAAATACAACACCACGCACACAGAGAGGGCACGCCTCCAGCGCTTCTCCAAGTTCAGCCGCTTCGGCAGCAGATGCCTCTCATGAACGAGGAGGTCTCGCGATGCACAAACCGGTCAGAAAAAGGGTTAAGCAACCTTACAGATTACGCTCATTTCAGCTCTCCAGCAGTCCTGCCTTGATGAATGTCGCGAACTGGCCTCTAGATGGTCAACCTCACACAGAGGTGCGGTACAGGCAGTTTCCACTTTTGTATCACTTGCTCCCAATTTGCGCAAGTGTTAATTTACCCTCTCTATGGTAAGCTCTAGCTCGTACTTCTCAACTGAGAACTCCCTTTGGTTTGGTGTCCTGTTTCAGGTTGGGACGGATAAGCTTCAAGCAGGTAAATCTCTCTCTACTTCCGAAGCCTCAGCTACAGCGCATGCCCCAGAGGTCCCTTTGACAAGCAGCTCAGAGGGTGCGAGGGACTGTCTACATGAAGAATACAAAAAAACAAAGGTTGCAGGCTTTTTACATCACCAGCAGACACCTGAGAAGCCACAGGAAGGTACCGTCACTGTAGAGCGGGAGAGGAATGCTGCGCGCGAATCCAAAGGAGACACCAAGGAGTCCAGCGGTAGCTGGACGCTAGAGCGCCCACCAGCAGCCCCTGAAGAGGTAGATATGGTCATTCAATCTAGTGATGGCACCGCTGCTTCACTGAAGGCTGAGCACCCTTCGCACGAAGTGCTAATTCCTCCTTCGGCAGCAGAAGCACCAAAGGAAGAAGAGCTTGCTCTAGCAGAGGCACCAGCATGTGTCCCATTCGCGAGAAAAATAAACAAATGCTCTTTTCAAGTGATGTTAGAGACACCGGAGGTTGACGCATCATCCGTAGGCACTTGCTTGACAGTGTCTCCCTCAACTGAAGGAATCGCTCTCACGGAGTCCCCTGATAAAGAAAGTGTGCTGCAAAATTCTTTAATCACTTCAATTAGCAAAGAATCTTGTTGCGAAGCTGGTGAGGAGGCGACATATTCTGTGGCTACGGGCGTTGAATCGTCTCAAACTCTCAAAGGAGGCACAAAGGAGACCCCCCCCCTCAGCAGGCATGGCTCCACTGTGGATAGTTCACCAGAAGAGCCAGCAAAGAAAGAATGTTTTATCAAAAACAGTCCCGCGGTGTCCTTGGACTTGCTACCACTCCTGAAGAGTCCAGAAGAAGAGAGCAGTCCTGTCGGACGCAAGGATGGGCGTGCTTCTCCTGCTGTAAGCCATGTGGCTTACATTCCTGCCGCAGACGCTGTTGGTGTAGAGGTGAAAGGGGACCATGAGATGTTTGAAGAGGCTGCACACTCTGCAAGTGACACTGGTGTTGCTCCTCATGATGGCATGAGCAAAGAAGCGGAGGTGGCAGTCGAGGCTGAAACCTTTTTCGTGAATGCTGACGCCACTTTCGGGGGAGCCTCTGAAGCGCAGAATTCTGCACAGCCTGCATGGACACCAGGCGGCCTGACCGAAGGACGCAGAAACAAATATTCTGAAACAGCTCATCCCAGGCGCAGCCGGGTCAGTTTCTGTGACGGGCTGGTTCCTGGGGAGGTCGAGGACCCTCCCACAGAAGTGAGTGCGGCGTTTAGAAGGGCTTCCCTGGTAAGTCGCAAGGTAATTCAAGAGGCTCTTTCTTCAACATCCTAGGGCTCTGATGTTCTTCAACTTTATGGCTATCTAGAAAAATTGGACTGTGGGCAGGCGGAGCGGCAAGAAACCGCCATGAAGGCGCGGTGGTTGCTGATGGCGAAGGAGAACGGAGGGCAAAGGGACGAAGCAGACAGCCAATGGGTGGCAGCTGAAGCCGATTCAACAACTGGAAAAGAGACTCCTCAGAGTCTTTCCCGAGAGGTGTGCTTACACACCTAAACAAGAACAAGATCGATTTTCAAAAGTGAACACCCAGCGGAGAACTGAAGAGAGCCGATAGGGATTTGCTTGTTGTGTCAACGCCCCTGTAGCAGACGCTGCGTCAAGTGCTGCAATGGGCGTGGAAGCAGCAAAAGCTATACCCTCAGAGATAGAGTGCCCCTCCACCACGGCCCGCAGTTGAAGGGGCCCGTGACCTGTGTGTGCGGCTTTCAGCGCTGGCACGCGACGCAAGGCAGAGGAGTGTGAAGGGACATACAACTAGAAACACTTAAAGCTGACTTTTGTTACTCCTGCTGTCTGCTTGGGTGCTGTAGGACCTGGGCGGCAACCAGCAGTCAGACGTACAAGATGAATTACCAGAAAGTGATGTTTTCGAAAGGCCTCCTGGATTAGCAAAGGAATTGAGATATCAGCCGACACCGCATCTCTTTGAAGCATCAACGCAGGCATTGTCTCGGGAGAGCTTACAATTAACAGGGGTAGGAGTCCAGGAAGTAAACAACACTACAGTTCAGCGTGTAGAGTCTCCTAGGCAGTTGACCAAAATCTGCGAGGGCAGAAACTATGAAGCTCTACACGACAACCCCAGGTTTTCGATAGCGCTGTCCAGCAGCTCTACAGGGACTGCCCAATTGGACCTGGGGAAAGATGAGTACGGAGGGCGGGCAGCAGCTGCTGCCACCGCTATTGTGGCGGCTGTGGTTGCTACTGGCGTGTCCACTGTGTCGTCGCTACGCACATCTTACCGGACCCCTGGAACTTTAGCTGCCGCTGCAATTTTGGCGGCTGCAGCTGCTGCAACAGGGTCGCGGCAGATCTCTTCCTGTGTCTGCACAAGCGCTGGAGAAGAAGCCCCAGTACCCAGCCTCATACAAGCCGACTCACACCCTGAACACCCTGAGATACTGCCTTTGGAACATGTGAATGGATGGCGAAAAGCTGAATTGCCTGAATCGCAGGTAACAGAAGGGCATATCACTGTTACCAGCAAGAGTCCTTCACCAGCCCACAGCTGCGGTTCCCTCCGGTCTCCACGAAAAGAAAGAAGTGCAGCAGGAGCAGGCGAGGAGGCATCTCAACTTTGCAGCGAAAGAGGGCAAGACTCGGTGGTCTTCGAAGGAGAGAGCTTTTATGGGAATACGGCAGCGCCCCCTGAAGAAGCGGAGGACGGAGGTGGGTTTCCCATGCTACCTGCTCAGCCAACGAGCTCACAAGGAGACATGGGGGAAAGCTTGTTTCTTTTGCTGAAACACGGTCCTCTAGATCCTGAAGGAACAGAAGAGAATGAACGTGACTACGGAGAGAGCCCAGGATCAGAAGTTGAAGAAGAAGCGCAGCAGCCAGGATGCACTAGGGCAGCTCCGCTGGCCTTTGGACATTCCAGTGATTCGCTGGGAGTGACGGCCATTCAACGTACATCTGGAATAGCCAATGAGGTAAAGCGAGTTTACTCAGACAAGAAACGGCCGCAATAATTCACAGGACCAGAGCATGAGGCTTTGTCTATGACCCCTCCCTTACCGCCAAATATCTAAACAGTGCAACTAAGAAGCCGCCAAGAATTCAGCAGTGGACATCCTGCGCCTGTGTAAGCGCCTCTTTGCGCCTTAGAGCCCTCTTGCCGCAAACGTTGAAGTTGTTGATTTGGATATGGACTCGTCAGGAGAGTTTGGAGAGGGCAGCGCTGGGGGAGCCAACGCACATGAGTGTGGCAACAGCGGCACTCAAGGCGAGGCACATGGTACAGGCACCTGCCACTTCTTGCTCTGCTCTTTCTGATATAACTCCGCTCACCACACTGTTAGCTGGTAGCCGGCATGGGAATAGCGGACGAGCCTTAGGAGTTTAGGGCAATCCACAGCCAGCCATCTACGAAAATGTTTTTGCTCCGTTTGTGCATCCCGTGTGTATTGCGAGCTGCACCATTGAATTAAAGGCTGACACATTCCGGTTGCGAGGTCTGACTTTACGGCATATTTTTCTACTCCAATAGGTCTCGTGCTTTGAAATTTTCAGGGAGCAGAGCGGCAAGGCTGCTCCCGTCCGGAGATGGTGGCTTCCGTACCATACACCTAAAAGATGTTGTGGGTTCAAGGCAATGTTCCTGCAGTGTATAGGGGAACCCATTTCCCCTTCGAAAAGGGCCCCTCTTAGTCGGAGGCCTTTCCCACGGGCATGCAATGTGGAGGTCGTCATCTGGGGGCGAAGAGCCGGCCAAATTGCAAAAATGCAGTGCCGACGCTGATGCCACCATGGCGATTGCTGTTTTAGATGCAGTAAATCCGTGGCAGCTTGAACTTAGCACGCGATTATTTATCTGTGGTAGTCCGGTCCAGGAAAGCAGTTTCTTCCGCTCGTTCTGTGGCATTTGTGTGGGCGCACGCTGTACAGATTATTCGGTGCCAGGACCACAAGTTGCTCTCTAAGCAGGAGCAGCAGCAACCGGAGGCAGAACGAGGGGAAGGGGTGGCAATACGGACGGATAAAGAAGACGAGGCGCCCTCACGAGATGCACACCAAGAAGGACATAAAGAAGCAGAAGAAACCACAGGACCATCAAACGAAGAGGGAGCAAAAGATAATCAGCCTAATCAGGCCTATGAAGAAGACTTAGTAGCTGCACCCAAAGCAACAGAGAATACTGTGGTTCAACATGGAGGGACAGCCGACACACATTCACGGGGCACAAAGGTAAACGGCGACCCCAGTATGCCTGATACCCAAGATGACGCAACGGTGTCAGCGAATTGCCAAGTGTATGGAAACCATGGGGCCGAGCGGGTTGAGCAAGCGGGGATGGCTGCTGCTATAGAGAAGCACACACATGAAAAAACAGAGAAGCAAGGTTCCCTTGCTCAACCAGAGAAAGCCTTAAGCTGTGAAGGCAACGAAGCGGGCCCTGAAGCCTCAGAAGGTAGTTCTCCTGCTGGAAGTAGAGCGTCATTGGGATTTAAATATATTCATTGTACTCTTCTAGCCATGAGTTAAAGGAGGCCCCAATCAGAAGCTCTCTCAGCTGATCTACTGGGTTGTAACTTTGCTGTATCTGTATGTGTACAAGCAGCACCAGGGCTATATAATGACCAGACAACTCAAGGCACAAGTGCGCGAAGAACCCAGCCTACACCCTGCTGAGCTCTTGGGCTTTGAATACACAAAATAATACCGATTGGGAGTCACATCCATCAGTACACCTTTCCCCGTCACATGTAGCTTATGGGCACTAGCGAGGAGCAATCGTGTGAGCCTGTTGCTGCTGTAATTTCGCCTAATTCATCAGCAAAGTCTTGTTGTGGCGGTGATCCTTTAAGTCTTGCTGCTGACCCGAAGACGCTTTGCAGGGAAGTACTGTGCGCCTCCGCAGAGCGCTTCCGGGGTACTACGGCCTCTCCAGAGGGGTGTCAGTACGACTCTCCGCTAGCTGTCAGCGATGAAGAAAGAAGCCTCTTCGAGCGACTGACGCCGTTCCCTGGGGTCCTCACACAAGCGAATGGAGAGGCGACTGCTTTCGGAGGAGAGAAGGATCAGCCATTCCCAGAGCACGAACGGTCCCAAGGGGCCCCTGTGGACTGGAGTACAGAAGAAGTGCGGCCTGCTGCAAATATAGGGGATCCAATTTGTGAATTTGATCCCAGGATCCCGATGCCCGCGGAGTCACGGGAATCAGCAGCAGAAGAGGAGCAATACGCAGTAGAGAAGAAAAGAGCCGAACGGCAGCAGCATATATCAGCAGGCGAGCAACCATCCGCACCATGGGGAGGAGATGCAGGGCAGCATGCACCAGAAGAGGCAGCAACAGTCAAGGAGGACCAAGCATCATTACAAGACCACAAATCAATCAAGGAGGCTGTTGCAGGCAGGCGCAACTTTGGAGAACATACCGCACAGTCTGCATTCCTGTCCGGTGAGGTGACAGCGGGCCAGGCCCTGCTTGCCAGGAAGCACGATGCAGCAGTAGAGGGTCTCTGCACTCCGGAGCATTCTGTCGTTGGGGCTTTAGGTAGCCTCCCTGCCTCATCAGCTCAGGCATATGCCATAGCAGAGGCACAGCCGAAGGCCCTGCCAGGGCTTCGCCACTCCCGTGAAGAGCTGGCCTCAGGGTCGGTAAGCCTAGAATTGCTGGAGGGGTCAGAAACCTACGAGGCAAGTGGCAGGGAGCACCAAGGTGGCTTCAGTCGGAGCCAGGAGATTTGTGAAGCATTCCAAGCAGACGCCTCCAAGGCTTTCCTCCTAGAGGGCATGGAGCAGCAAAAAGAGGGCCTTCTGGGTGCTCCTATCCCGAAAGACTCTCCATATCCTCCCTCCCTTCCAGGGCAGCTGCCATGTGAAGGCGCGTTCCTCCTTAAGGATACAGATAAGATTCAGGGAGAAGATGAAAGTGGATCCTCTCCACCTAATTGCCAGGAGGGCTTACTTGTCTCTAAAAAATCGCTCCTCCCGCATCCCTGCGCACAAGTGCCCCCGGAAGTGCAGCAATCTGTGGAAACCTGCTGCCCTCCTGAACCCCATGGAGGCCCTAATATGGAGCATTGCAGGAATGAGGACAATGATGAGGGCCCTCAGATACTGAGGGAAGATTTTCTGAGCAGGATGCCAGGGAGCTCTCTTCCACTGACTCCAGCAGCGCGTCGCTTTGAAGACAACCTCCAAGAAGGGCTACCTGGTGCAGGGCAATGGACTAACCCAGAAACGGGCAGCCGCTCCCTTGAGATCCCAAATTATACAGATGTAGTGGCAACCGATGCCCATCGGAGGGCTCCAAAAGAAATTACACAGGAGGCATCTACTGATAGCCGTTGTGCACCTCAAGACAAGAGTATCCAAAAGGCGCCTGACACGTTGCTAGCTGGCCTTGCCCCCTGCCAAGAGACTCCTGAAAAAGACCATGTGCTATCTCTACCAGACGGAGTAAAAGATGACAGAGAAGAATGGGGGGAAACAGGGCAGCAGCTGGCAACTGGCAACGAAGAAGGCGGCACTAAAGGGTTGGCGGCGGATGATAAAAATGAAGTAGATAATTGTCAAGAGACTCCCAACTCGCCGTCCTATCCCTGTAAAAGGCAGCCCGTTCAGGCGCTTCCAGTTATCTCGAGAGCATCCTCTTTCCCCACAGGCTTGCCCAGCTTCAGGGACCGGTGCATGGCAGAGAACCGCACCTCACTGCAACGGAGAGCCAACAGCTTCTGTGAGTCTCCTAGGTTGGCCCTAGAAGGAGGATGCCCCTCAGCCTCAGAAGCACTGCAAGGCCTTGCACTGTTTCTTCATATACGCAGCAATTCGCCATCTTCTGCGCCTCTGATAAAAGTCGGAAAAGGGCTCCACGAGTGCGCCGCGGCGCAATCGGAGGCCTCAAATGGAGAGAATGATCATGCCCTGGCAGTCGAAACCCCTCGCAAGGCCCCCCTACACACAAGAGCACCGGAGGCTTCTGGTCCGAAAGCCAATGAAGTAGGGGGGGTCTCCGAGAAAACCATGGCCATGCACTTGCCACGGGCCCCAGTATCTGCTGTTTTGACGCACATACCTCAGGGAGGCAGCTTTATGCCCTGTCAAGTCAATGAGTGCCACAATGAATCCAACCTAGCGGAAGCTCCTGCTGAAAACTTCATGCTGCAGGACAGAGGACGCCCTCAGAAGACGCCGGAAGAAAGGGCCGCTGACTCTTCAGAGGAGTACCAGGAGTTTTGTCTTGTGAGTGGGGGTGGCCAAGAGGCGTATTGCGTGAATACAGGGGATGCACCACCGTCCGAAGAAGTGCGAACCCTCCTCGATTTGGCGGAAGCAGCTGGGTGCAGCTCGGCCGCCGGCGATGCTACGAATTTCCTCGCAGAGGCATGCACAGAGTGCTCCAATGCATGTATGGACAGAGCGGAGGGGGAGGCTGCAGAAGCAACAGCAGTAAATGCAATGCCTAGCATAAATGTCGAACAATCAACAGGAGAAGCGAAAGGTACAGCTGTAGGTGCACTAGAGGACACAGCAGAATGTCTGGTGGGGCCTCAAGGAGAGAACAAGGAGGCATCAATGGTCGTTGCAGTCTCCCCCTTTGATTCCGCCTCAGCCGCGCAAGAACCCATTGGGGGCCGTATAGCCAATGAGACGGCAGTTGATGTTGCCCTTTCTACGGAGCGCAAAGGGCCTGATGAGACAAAGCCCTCTGACATCGACGCCCTGGGACAAGGTGTGTCTATTCCAGTGCCCCTTCCCAGAAATTCTAGCGCTATGGCCCCTCTGCACAGCGCTGTATCGACGGAACAGCCTCCACTAGGGCCATCGCGAAATGCAGAAGGAAGACAGGAGCCACCAAGTCCCCTCGACCACTCTAAAGGTACCGAGGGCTCCCTGGCAGGCAAATGTGTAGCGGATGTTGGTACCTCAGAACTGAAACCTTTCCATGTTGAGGCAATCCAAGTCGGGCAGCGGCAAGAAAACGCCATAGGGAGCTCCGCTGCATCTGTTGCCTCCACAGACGGGGCATTTGCGAAAGGCCTCCTCGGTGCCGTCACGGCCATAGTGGAATGCAATACTCCAGAGGGGCGATCCTTTGATTCGCTTCGAGAGTGCAGCGTAGGAAGCGGACAGGAGGCATTTAAATCTCTGAAGGGCTTGGAGCCCCGGAAGCCAAATCCCCACAAAAAAATTGAGGACTACCCTTCTCAGCAAGCGTCATCAGACCTTAGCTGCGCTTCACTTCCGACAATGGTAGCTGGTACCTCTTCTCCAAGGAAAAGTGACTCCTTGCACCCCACCGAGCTCTTTGAAGAGCCGCTGCTGGAAAAGGGGCTTTGCATGAAAGGAACTCCCGGACTCCCCCGGCATAGCGGAGAATTCACGCAAACAGACGGGCCCTCTGAGGCCACAGCCGAGAAGCGCTTTTCTAATCGGCAGCTAGAGTTTCCTCCTGACGAGTTGAGAGTCGCCCATGCAGATGCTCTTAGAACGGGTGCAAGAGACCTTGCCCATGTGTCTCCCAAGGAATATCCACCCCTCCAAGGGAATCCAGGACGTGAAAGCAGCACGCCTGTATCTGAGTCTCTTGTGCCGCAAACGCCTACCTGCCACGAGAAAAAGTGTATCGGGCCGGAAGCCCAGAGCTCCCACAACGATGCCCATGGGGAAGGCCACCAAATGGAGAGCCCCCACTGTTCTCTGCTCCTTGGAGAAAGTCTAGGAAACCTAATGCCTTTGCTACTGCAGGAATCAGACACCCTTAGAGGGTCTCCGAGCTGCCAGCCCTCTCTGAATCCCCCATTGCCAACGGACCATCAGCAACCCCAAGTAGCTGTGGGGCCCCATCAGTCTGGAAGGCCCCTGGGGTCTCTTAGCTCCCAAAGCTCACCCAATCCCAAGGGGCCGCTGGCCACAGGAAACCCAAAAGACTCCCTGGCAGGTGTAGAATTGCAGCAAGGCATATCCGCAAAGGCCTTCGCAAATACAAAATTTTCTCTCACGTCGCTGCCCTCTGAAGGACCCCATGGAACAGACATAGCCGAGCAGAAAAGCCAACAGGGGGCCGAGCCGAGGCCCCTGACGCCAGAGGCCTCTCTAAATTCCGAGCTTTTCAGGGATCCGCCTGCAGATTCACCCATGGAGGGGCCTGTGGTGCCTCACGCCTCAGTGCTGTCCCAAGGCTCTCAGGAGTGTTTATGTCCTCGGAGCTTCCAAGGGCCCCAAGATCCTGCGGGCTTACAGGGTTCCCAAAGCGATAAGGAGGCGTCAAAGCTCACGCGGCATCCTGAGGAAAAGGATATATCAAATGCCCAAGTGCCCGGGGGCCTCGAGAGTCCTTGTAGCCCTCGAGACCACATGGGACCTCTGAAGTTCGTGGACTCTTTGGAGAGCTGCAATTTCCAGGGGTCCTTGCGGAACGAAGAGGCCGCCCTTCGCGTCCTAGAAAGCCCGCCCAGTCCCATGGACTCTAAAGAGGCCCCCTACACTCTAAACATACGCGAGCCCCTCATGGTGGAACACCCTGAAGAAAGTAAGAACACTCAAGTGCCTGCAGACCTCCACGAGGCTACAGGCCACCGTGCGGCGCCACCGAATAAGCTGAGCAGTAAAGATTCCACATTACTCGCAGAGCCTCAGCCTTCGGTAGATGCAGTAGAAGCATTCGATGTGTCGGCCCTTCACGGCTGCAGCAATTCTTCCGCTGAGGCTGACGGCAAGCCTGGTGGAGGGGCCTCGGATCCGGTGGGGAGCCCAGACTTCCCTCCTCCTGAGGACCCCATGAGTGAGGTGCAGGATACACGAAGCTGTGGAGTCCGTACGAAGACAGCTGACATGTTTTCTGGATCAGTTCAGTGCCTTAAGCCATGGAGCACCTCTTCATATGCTTCGAAGGTCTCAGAGCTACCTGAATTTCAGATCGCTCCCCAACGCTTCTCTTTAGGGGGCCCCGAAGAACCAGATGAGGGCACTTGCCTTTCTGTGAACCTAAAGATGGCATTTTCTTTTCCCCAAAGGGCGAGGCCACTTGCTGCAAGCCCAGTGCGCTCTGTGTCTCTGGGAGTTCTACCTGCTGCAACCGATAAGGCGGGCCTGGGGGCCCTTGACGCCGGGCAAAGTCATGAAATGGTGAGGCCTCGTGAATTTCCGGAGCAACAATTACGCACAGCCGGAAGCTTCTCACAGGCCAACAAAGCAGAACACAAGGAGGCCCTAAAGGCCCCAGAGTCCATAATGGCCGAAGACCTAGCAGAGACAGGCGAAGAGAAGGGGCCTTCCATTGTCTTGACAGGTCATTGTGCCTCAGCAGAAGCAGCAGTTGCTGCTGTGAAGCCAGAATGCGATACGGAGACTAATTTCAGAGAGCCGCATATGGTTGCCCCGAATGACTCGAGTTTCGGAAAGAGCAAATGGCGCATGCCTTTTGCCTCGGGGGGTGGCTTGCGTCAGCCAGTGCCTTCTGGAGGGCTCTCTGAGGCTCTTGAACTCCTTTCTGCAAAGCGCAGCAGCAGGAGCACAACTGAAGATTGCGGAGCAGCACAAGGGGAGCCACAAGGATATATCTTGAACAACTTGCTCGTTAAGCATGCACCCATATCTGCCCCCATACCGGCATTAAGGCCCCTTAGCAATGTTTTAACTGTACCGGCATTGTCCTGCAAGAGCAAAAACGCCACATCGCCCTTTCAGAAGCTTCCCGCAGGGTCAGTTGGGGACGTGCCTGAAGGAGTTCTGACAAGAGCAGCACCAGCAGATATTCGGGACAGTGAGGGGGCCTTAGAGATAAGCCCTCCAGCTCAGTGTCCATTAACTGATGACTGTGACCCCAAGAACCTTCAGGTCCTCTGTAGGGAGCGTGTGGTGTATGGGATCCCAACCCGCCCCCAGAGGATGCCATCACCAGCAATGATTAGGGCCTCGAGGCCCCCGTCAACAGTCCAAGCAAGGCCCCCAGAGAATTCTGCTCTCCTAGTGCGTGCTCAGGCCCCCCAAGCGCAGCCAATTATTAAAGATCCCCTGTATGGCTCGCCGCTCTCCTTGCCTGCCCCTATCGGACCTCAGAATCCCAGTGAAGAGAGGCGCGCTTTCCCAGCACAAACGGGCCACACGCTTCAGTTGAACCAGCTGCCTGCAGGTTCTGCCTTATTTGAGGGTCCCTCGATCAGCGCAAGCAACTACGAATCCACCCAAGGAACTCAGCAGCCCCTTAAGGAGCCCTCTGCGAGACCTCCATTAACGCAGCCCAGGCCCCTCACCCTATGTAAAGAATCCTCAGCGGGCTTCAATGCCTGCTCAGGGTCGACCAGACCCTCAGCCCGAGCATCCAGCACTTTGCCTGCTAGGCATTTGCCTATGCAGATTTGGGGTAGGCCAAGGGCATGCGGAGGAACAGAGCACAGCAACGTCCCACCTTTTGCGCCACCTTCCCTTCACCACGCAGGTGCTTCAGTAGCATGGAGAGCCCCTGTCACTTATGCACAGAGGGCTGAGCTAGTGCAACGGAGGAACCCTGGGGAGGGCAGCAGGACAGAGGCAGACAGTGGCTGGGAAACAAATAAGGAGGACCAAATAGGAGGTATGCCGCCAGTTTTTTCAGGGCAGAGGCCAGTAACAAGGCCGCAGCCTTCGGATTCGCTCTTCAGCCCCTCACCGGTGGTCCTGTCATCGCATTCTTCACCGCCTCCTGCAACGTCACTTTCGGCCTTGCGTGGCGCTTTTCCGGTTGCATGGAAACCCCTAGAAGCTGCAGCGCAAAGACCGCAAGCCATGAGGCAGTACACTTCCGTATCAGCAATGAGCCCTGCACAGAGGCCCCTGTCTAGTGTTCCTGCTTCCAGCGCTGCTGAGATCTGTACTAGGTCCTCCTCCGCCAGCGCTTCTACAGGCGATATCTCTGTACCTCCCTGCCTCCCATCGGACCGAGATTCTCGGGTCCCGTGGAGGCCATCATGGCCTCAGTACGCCCCCTCAAATCCACAAAGCCACTCGGCAGCAAATGCGTGTAACGCACAGCAGCACCAACAGCAGCAGACTGGCGTCTCGCCCCAAGTCTTAACGACAACAGGCACAATCCCCCCGGGATCCCTGACAACCATCGCACCCCCCCACAATGCTCCTTCAATGCCTTATGCCCCGCCACGACGGAGTCCAAGGCCTCCAGGAATGAGGAGTAGCAGACCCTTTCCCATGCCCTTATCCCGAACACCCAGTACCACCCTTGCACATAAGCCCGTAGGAGGTGTGGAGCAACCACTCCCTGCTCATGCGGTCTCCCGGCCAGTGAGGCCCTTCCCTGGGCACCCCAGGAAGCCTTCTATGCCGAATTCTGAAGCCCCTAGCGTGGTGTGCCAGGGCCCTGCCGAGGCCCTGCACTCTTCTCCGCCTTCCGCGATGCCGATAAGGCCTTTATTAAGCACTGCCTTTCGGGGGCCTAGGATGCCTCCACCCCGACCAAATGCGGACCAACTGGCGTGCAGCCAAATTGCTACCAGGGGTCACGTTCGTCCTGCACCAGCCAACAGACCCAAACTGGAAGGCGCCACCTTACTAAATGGATTTCCTGTGGAGCCTCTGGCTCCAAGGAAAGACGACTCGTTGTCACTGCCACCGGCAAGAGGAACAGCATCCGTCGAAAGTGTGCTTGAAGCCCATGCCACGGCTATTCGGGAACCCCCTTCAACAGCAGTAGCGAGACCCTCATAGTCTCCAGCGTTGTCTGGCCACCCCTTTGGTCTTGCCGCGTCGAAGGACGCGTCAAATTTTTCTTTTTGTTCTACAGCTTGAGTCCCTTACGCTAAAAGCTGATGCCCTATACTTCCACTCAGATGTATGGCTCTCTTTGCAGCGTGGAGGGTTAAGCCCCTCTCCTTTGTCATAACACTCTACTTTAAATGACCACGGATGCCCTGAAACCTCATCAGCTACCTCAGAACTCGCCCCTCGCAGCGAGATTCTCCCTGTGGGGACTCCCTGTCCTTATAGACTGCAGCAGGTAGCACATCCTAGGCCTTGTCTGTGTGTCAAAGAGTCGGAGGCCCTCCAGAATCCCCTTGGGCACCCCTCTCTCTCCAACTACGTAACGCTAGCTGCACGCTCTAAAGGGTCCTCCAACATATGCCGCTACTCAGTGACTGAGACCTCCCCCTGTAGCAATACCCTGGGTGACACCAGCCCCCTTAGGGCACTGCTGCAAGGAACACCTGGCCTTTTTTCCGACTAAAAAAGTTCAGGAAGTAACTAAGTGTTGTCTTTTTGAGCTCCGAGCCCTTCCCCTTATCCTGTACCCCTGTAGGCTCCTTAAAAGCTTCCAACTTCATTCCAACTGGCAAGTCTACCTAGGAGATGGTGCATCGTTAATTACTTGCTGATCCATTGCTATTTGTGTCGCCCCACGAAGACAATTTGCGTCGTAGCCACGAAGCCTGCACGCCTCATTAGTTAGACAGGGAGAAGTGGCGATGAAACCAAAAACAAACGATTTTGCCTTGAAGGTCCTCTTATGCTGGCTAGGCCTCTAACCCCTTATCCACACTATTCGTTGGCGGGCGCAGCCCATTGGGCACCTGCAGCCCTCAACGGCCCCCCTTTGATCCACAGGACTCACTAAACCTCAGGCTTCAACAAAGTGGCCGGTGCCTGCCAACTGTCTAGGGTTACCAAGGCTTTAAGAAATTAGTATAATGTTGAGGCTGAGATGCGCTATGTAGTGTCCTAGTTTTATCAAAATAATGAGCCGAGCTCCTATTCTTTAGGCATATTGCCGGACGCAAAAAGTGCATTCAACACTTTTGGTGTAGAATTGCAGACTTGAATGGTCAGTGTTTGGTATCGATTATGTTTCCAGTCGCTTTCATCCGTACATAGTTCCCCTTATATCGCGTATTTGCTTTAAAAAGGTGTAAATGGTACGAAAAAGCGCAGAAGACAACGAGGGCCTCTAAGCCGCAAACACAAGGATGCCCTTGCCCAACTGCATGTGAACCACTTTTCGACGCAACGTCAGTATTTTTAACCGCCTCGCGCTGCCATGAGTGCTGCTGCTGCTACAGGAGAAAAGCATGTCTACTCGCTCTCAAACCCCTTACTGAGGGAAGAGCAAACGAGATATCCACGTGCGCCACGGTGAAGCACCATCAGCATATCGGTTGTACAGAAGAGTAATCTTTGGATCGGAGTTATTCAAGTATAGAATGGAGACATGAAGTAACCACATAACAAACTGAACAGACTTCCTGTACCTGCTGCTGCTGAGCCTGCTACTGGAACTGCAGCAGCTGCAGTGATGAAGAGCGTGTGGAGAAGGGGCACATCGGACTACAGAAGATAAAGAGGTCCGAAGTCATGAACGCAGTGCTGAGAACTATGCATTACTCTCATTCTCAGTAGTTGGAAGAGACTCTTGGCTATCCGCATCCCTGGAGGCTGTGTTCAGCCTGGCGAGAAACACTTCACTGCTTCGCATCTTTTGAATTTCTTGTTCCATATGTCTTTTGATTTCTGCATGATATTTATCTTCTGCTTCCCAGTATCTGTCATGATCATATGAAACTTCGCATGTGCCGCCGAGACTTTCTTCCAGAAACTCAGCAGGAACATGCTCCAAGAGCTTGCTGAGCTGTTGCTTGTTGCTCGTCTGGATAAACTCAACCTTGCTGGCCGTCAACGGATGTAGCATGATTTTTACGAAACGCCAGACGGAGTCAAAATAACTGGGGGCATCCAGCATGTAGGCCTTTGCCAAAATATCAGTGTAGTGGTCATTGAGAATGCCAACAACCTCTTTGCTCAAGTCCATGGAGGGCACCTGCGTAATACTAAATCCGCTGAAGTCTACGAGAAACACTAGTTGATCGCGCCCTGAAGACTTATCCACAGACTGCATTGCCCGCTCCATCGTGTACAGCGTATAATCTTGAGCCGCTTTGGTAGACTGTGCCGGTTCTCGACCGGGCCTGACAGGAAAGTAGGGGCACAGCCAGAGAGGGTGCACAAATGCTACGGCAACGGCTTGTTTTAAAATGGAAACTACGCGCTAGGAAAATGCTAACACCAACAAACAGACAAAACACACTATAGCAGCTCGGGTCAACAAAGCACGAGAAACGCATCAAGAGGAAGGCAGATGCGCCCAAAATGCAGCGATACGAAACACTGCTCAACGTGGAAAGGCTTTTGATAAACCCTTTGAGCTCTTTTCGATTGCTTCACGTAACATACAATACAGATATAATTACGTGCGATGCAACAGATGAACAGGAAGGAGTGCAGATATACTTGCACTAAGTGAGCAGCCCGTAACAGGAAGTTCCTCCACAGACAGAAGAAGGGGCACCAGGTACCCATCGTACGAAAAACAGAAGAATTCACACGACAGCTGCCGCGGATGCCCCTCGATTCGACCCGTATTTCTCTAGTGTTGCACTTCCTTGATCCTAGTACCTATAAAAATCTCCTACATCCGATGTCCCCTAATTATATAATATCATATTCACGTGGCCACCCCATTATGTTTCTCCTCGCTAGGACTTACTTGAAATACACAATCGGGTGGCCACGTTTATCGAAGCCTTTACGGTAGACGCTTCCCCTAGCTGCAGTCCCCTTAACTTCCTCTGGGCTTATGCAGTGTGGCTTCCTGTGCCTCCTCCACCAAACTGTTCGCAAAAGCTGTTGTCGTGCATGCACATCATCCCAGGAGTAACTTCTGAGGTACCGGCACAGAACCATGTCGTTCGCAAGCCACAGCACCTCTTCCCAAGTCAGTGCAGTCACTTCGCCTTTCGAAATGCTGCTTGAACTCCTGCTAAATAAACCAGAAAGCCAGCTCTTCTCCTTTTGTATCTGGGGCGTCTCCGTGAGGTCTGTCACGATAGGTAGAGCATCTACTGATGCTCGAAGTGCTTTTATTTTCGCTAGCTGTTCCTCTGTCAGCTCGAGTGCCTTAAGGGCCTCAATTGGCGGAGCAGGATATAAAGACGGAGGTGGCCCCGTGTAAACGCAGCTGGTTCCTGTAAATGCGGGCGAGCTGCATGACGTCGCTAGCCAACTTTCAGAGTCTGTAAGAGTGTCGCCTCGCTTAAAGGTCTCAGGGTTGGCGGTCGAAGGTGCCTCGCTCTCTACCAAAGCCATGGTGGGGCCTGGTCGAGAGATTAATGCCGGGTAAAGATAGAGGATCTGAAACCGAAAAAGAACAACCTTACAGTTGAGTAGCTGATAAGGTGTGATTCAGGCGAGTGACGGTAGGGGAAGTCATATGTGTTCTGTCGCAGCAACAGGCTGTAGCAACCAATCCTTAGTGTGACTGTCGCAGGCTGGCGGAAAATAAAATAGCCAAAATCGGAAGGAAAGTAGCAGGATAGGGTGAAGCGACAGCAGCTGTGGCGGGATACATCCAGCAAACAAAGAAAGCTGGGGCAAATCAGTGGTATTTGGGGAAAAAAGGTTTAGTTCACAGTATGGATGACAAAATGCGACCAAAAAGGGGTTATCTGGAGCTATACAAAAGAATAGGAGCGGTGAGCGAAGAGAGCTGACCGGAGCAGGCTCCTGCTTGCCCGAGTGTATGTCGACAACAGCGAAGGCAGCAGTTGCACGGAAAACACAGAAACAGCGGCTAGAATGGAAAACCCTTATAGTGGTTCAAATACCTCTATGATCAGGTGGAAAATAGTGTAGAGTCAGCTCACATGAATTAGAGTGTCTGCCTTCCTTGTCCTCTTGCCACTGCTACCACGTTAAGCGGCCCCACCCTCGCGCATGCATGGGCGAGCAATGTTTGATGCTCTCTCTCTTCTTTGGCTATGTGCCTTCTCATGCCTTTTTGTCAGGTAGAATGATTGCTCTGTCTACAGTTGTGGGGCGCCCTTTAACAGAAGGCCACATATTGCTATTCTCAGCCTATGGTATTGTACCTTTTTGTAAGTGTCTTTTTCTTTATGCGTTTAGCCTGTTTGCATGATTCTATGGAGCGCCTCTCATCACCAACAGGAAACAGGACCGATGAAGCCGCTGCGGATGCTGTGCGATGCGGAGGCAGCAGGTGACCGCACGCCCACGCCTCTTGTACTTCTCAGCCTGTGCACCGTAACGAAACGGATCCAACCCGCAGGTCGCAGTTTTCTCGAAACTTTTGAAACCCCTGCCGTCTCGAAGCACCATCGCAAAAAGACCACACGGGAGAAAGATCTAGCCGCATCTCCCCACGGCAAGTCTAAACTCTAAGTCCTTTACCTCCAGCCACGAACCGGATCTCCTAAGGTCGGATTTTCCATGTTTCGGTGTACCGTTCCCTCCTTGATATGCATCCAAGTAACGGCGGGCATTCTGAAGAATACTTGTGCTCCTGAGAGTCCATTGGCCTTCTCTTGCAGGCTCCTCTCCCCAGGAGGAAGAGTTCTCCACCGACCGCGCAGAGGCTTGGAAAACTAAGAACAAGAACAAAACTCCAGGAGGTGATGTAATGAAGTGTTGTGTATTTCTTGCCGATCTCAATACGTTATCCCGCCCGTCCGTGTTCCACGAGAGTACCCTTCTCAGTGTACCTGCCGCCTTCTCTGTCATCGTACTGTTCTTATGCTCGCCTTGCCGCGTTGTCTCTGCAGTCGCATTGCCTCCTTTCTCCTTAAGGGCTGCCTCTGCGTTTCTGGTCTATTATTTCTTCCCTCTCCTCTTCTCTGACTCGCTAAGCAGCGATCGTCTCTTGCTCATATTTACTCCCACCATCTCCGTCACTCGTTCATGTTTGCACCATGTCCGTCACTCGTTCATGTTTGCACCATCTCCTAGTCTCCCTTTGTTTCATTGTTCGCGAACGCTTGCACCTCAGGTGGCGGTGGCGGAAGCAGCTCCTCTTTGGCGTCTGGCTCGCACTTAAAGCGCATATTATCGTACGATCAGACGCTGTATCGTATCTTAGGGGTAGATGAGGGAGCCAGCCTAGACGAGATAAAGAAGCAATACAGAAAGAAGGTGCTGGAATATCATCCTGATAAGGCGAAAACAGCTAGCAACAGCCCTCTTGCAAGTCCTCCGCCCTCTTCGAGCCCCTCTTCAGCAGGAGATTCTCCGCAGTCCTGCGAACATGAGGCTTTCCTCAGGGTCCAGGAGGCATATGAGGCTTTGAGCGGTAAATATAGCTTCTTGTCGCCTTTTGTTTATATCCTCTTTTGTTTCTTCTCTTCTTCTCCCTTGGCCTTTCCCGCGAAGCTGACTCAGAATGTGAGGGGCGGGTCGAAAAAACCTTGAATTGTGCCTTTTTTTCTGCCATGCACACGTCGATATGTCCTTCGTATCACAAATTTTTGTTTTACGTCGTGGTTCTCTTTCACCCGTCCCGCGGCAGCACTCCCTCCTCTTGACCCTGCGTTCCAGTGCCATGTGTACCCGTATGGAACTCTCTGTTTGTATATATAACGATGCGCATGTGTGTATGTGTGTGTTGGTCCTTCTTGTACTGTTATTCTCTATTCCAGACTCCAATTTTAGGAGGCAGTATGATTCATCTCTGCCGTTTGATGAGTCGATCCCAAGTCCTAACGAATGCCACCAGCAACCAGAAAAATTCTATGAAATCTTTGGTGCTGCCTTCAATAGGAATGCCAGGTGAAGGTCCAGTCTTACTATTACTATCTGCGGCTGCTAACGGAGCACTCGGCACTCCCTGCTGCGTCAGTCGGCATAGAAAGTGCTGCAGGAGGCTTTTATGTAGCTGTAGATTCTCCGTCGAGCCTTGCCTACCATCTGCAGCGGTTTTAGGGGTCCGGGGGCAGTGGGCGAGCCAGCGGCTGTGGCTGCAGCAACAAGGGGCACAGAGTGCACGGTGGCGAGTCCGTGCAGCCTCGGTACACTACATCAATGCCACGATGTAGTCTGAATGCATGCGTTTGCCCCTCCCCGCCTCGAATCCGTTTGGTATTTCCGTTGACTCTTGTTGCGCACGATGAACAGGTGGTCCATTCGCCGGCCCGTGCCTTCCCTCGGGGATGAGAAAACGCCGCTTGCAGTGGTCGAACGGTTTTATGACTTCTGGTATGATTTTCAATCTTGGCGAGACTTCGGAGTCCATGATGAATATGATCTCAATGAGGCCGAGTGCAGAGAAGAAAGAAGGTCCGTAAGAAGGCCAATATGCGGCCAAGTTGGTGTAGCGGCAGCGTGGACAAGAGAAACAGAACAATTGGTGGAGGCACGTGGGTGCCGGTGGTGACAGCTCTTCGGTTTTTTGTTGGACGTGCGTAACTCGGGGTCGCTTGTGGCATCTCTTGTACGCAGGTGGATGGAGAGGGAAAATGCCAAGATTCGGAAAAAATATTTGAAAAACGAAAGGGCAAGAATCCAACGGCTGGTTGAGACAGCCTACGCCGCGTGAGACCTAGTTATGGGTGCTTGTATATGGATGTATGCGTAGATGCATATGCATAGAAGAGGTGCGATGGCTTGTTGGACTCTCTCTCATTTGTACATTCCTCGTCCTCTGCTTTCGGCTAGCTTCGGGGTATTTTGTCTGTTGGGTCTGCATGCAGGGACCCTAGGATCCAGCGGCAAAAGGAAGAGGAGAGGAAAAAGCGCGAGGAGGAAAAAGCTGCAAAACAGCGGGCTTATGAGGCGCAAATGCGGGAAGCTGAGGAGAGGAAGTAAGGCCCCCTCCTGTGGTGTTTTTACGGCTTTTCATGGTGGCCCCTTTCTCTCTGGAAGTAAAACTACCGCAGGTGTTCTGTGCTTTCTGCTGCTGACTGCAGGAAGCGGGAGGCAGAGGAGGAGCGGCGGCGCGAAGAGGAGGCCAAGAACCTGCAAAAGCAGCAGCAACAAGAGAAGCAGAGACTCAAGAAGTGGTGCGGAGCATTGTGCCTTTGGGTTGTGTACATCATCTTTACTGGAGTTGCTTTTGACAAATGTTTCTTCTTAGCAGCAGCAGCTGAACGCGGCTTGTTCGTTTTATGCCTTCTATGCTTTTAGGCGTCAGAAGTTTCGTTGGCTGTATCGGAAAATTAGCGAGGATGCGTCTCCACCTGCGCCTCTCTCCGTGGCTCAAGTGCAAGACCTAAGTGCACAGCTCGACATGGAGGTGTTACTGCCTTTCTTTCAAAAGATTCACGACTATTTGGGGGTGGAGGTGAGCAGTGCCATATTTGCGGCCTTTGTTTCGCTGGCACTAGGCAGTGAGGCTTGAGATTTGTTGGCCTCGAACTTCTGTTTTGGGAGACACGGAATGCAGCGCGGTGGGCTGTTTACCCACCCATAAGCACAAGCTCTCTCCTTTCCTCTAGTGGTTAAGTGCGAGTGCCTGCTTACTGTTGAACAGCAGTGGACACTCCTGCAAGATGTCTCACAGCGTTGGAGGTCAGATATGGGCCCTGATCCTTTGTCTTGTTGTGCACATTTTTGATGCGGCTTGTGATATAACTCGTATTGTATGGACTTCATCGTCTTCCCAGACAGTGCTCAGACCTCGCTTGGCTTCACGCAGTATCTACTCTGCACCCCGAACTCAGCTTCCACATAATGTGGTGGAGGCGTTGCGCTGGGATGTGGGTGCTCAGGGCCCAATCCAGGACGAGACGGGTGACCCCTCCGGACCGATGGACTTCACAATGTCTGATCAGCAGAAAGAGATGATTGTCGGGCTTTATGTAAAGGAATGGCAAGCGCTTTTAGACGCTAAGAGAGCCAAAGAGCTGGCCGCTGAGGAGGAAATGCTGAGAGTACAGGTAGGTTGCTTACCACTTCAAATGTCGAGCTCCTTCATCGGACCTCGTGTCATGATTCGCCGTCTCCTGGCCAATTGCTTCGCGCTAGGTGGCATCCACGGTTGTCGTGTTTTTTCATGTCTGTCTCGTCTTCTGCTGCTGTTTAGGAAGAGAAGAAACGCCAAGAATTAGCGCGAAAGAAGGCACAAGAGGCCGCGTGGACAATTGAGGAGCTCTCGATGCTGGCGAAGGGCTTGCAAAAGTTTCCGGGCGGAACAGCCCGGCGGTGGCACCAGATAGCCTCGTTTATTGGCACAAAGACACAAGAGGAGGTCTGTTTCAACTACTCTTTACCTTGTGTAAATTTATTACCGTAGTGCCTCGTATTTCCGCCAGGGAAGGGGGTGATGCAGGCTACTTTGATGCTTGAACTCCTGGGGGGAGTGCTGCGTCTGAGCACAGGTCGTTCAGAAGGCGAAGGAAATGGCAAACGGCTCAAGTTTGAAGTCCATGGGGTCAAAAATAAGCCAAGTATGTGTTGCATGTTCCATTTTTCAGCCACACCGTCAGTGGTTTGTCGAATATCTGATTCCTTCCCTAGATGAGTTGCACTTAGTGCGAAGTTTAGCGCACCCCCAGGTAGTGTAGTGGGAAGAAGGCCAAGATTTCGATGAGTCTTGTCTTGCGCGCCATGATTAGGAGCCACTTGAACAGACCAAGGCTCAGCAGCAAGGTGCACTAACTGCAAGAACCCTAAACAGTGGCAAGACCGACGCAGAGTCTGCACGGCCAACGGGCTCAACAACCGAGGCGCTCTGGACACAGGAACAACAGACAGTGCGCTCCCCATGTGTCATGAAATTGCGTGGAGATCCATCTGATTACAGGATGCCCCGCCTGCAAGGATTATGCTTCATTTCTAGTATTTCTTTGCTTCGCCTTCCGATTTCGGCTCAGGCTCTGGAGCGTGCCCTAGCCAAACACCCGTCTAGCATGCCGGCAGCGGAGCGGTGGTCAGCCATTGCAAGTGACGTGCCAGGGAAAACGCGCAAGGAATGCATTGAGCGATTTAAACAGGTGCGCTAAGATGAGCCTACACACCTAGGTTACACCGTGCCCTGTTTTTTTAGATATGCAGACATTGATGTCAGTCTGTTGGTACGTTATCTACAACTACGCCGTTTGTGTTTCTGAGATTTTTGGATTTGGCGCAGATTCGGGCCGCCATTTTGGCCAGTAAAGGGTCTTGATCGTAGCAGTTTGAAGGCATCTATCTGTTGGGCTGCTGTTACATACTTCCTCATTACACCTCGATCCGCTTCCAATTTTCCTTTGCGTGGCAATGCCTGTACATTCATGTACGTCCGCCTCGAACTCTATTTCCTTCGAGAATTCGCGGACGGTGAGTGTCGCCTTGTTTTGTGAATTTCAAGGGGCCTTCACAACAAACCCATCCCCTGCCCGGACTAGGAAGCTCCTGGAGGGCCATTTGCCTGATAAACGGAGCAATGGTATTGCATGTGTCGTTGGCGGTGCCTGTGTATACGCGTCTCCCTCTTACCCACAGTCTTCGCATCATGTCTACTTGCATGCTGGACCGTTGCTGCAGTTGCCATTTTCTCAGCAGTCCCAACTGCAAAGCCTGCTCTTTCACTCCCGCCTGCGCATGGCCACTCTACGGAGCAGCGCAAGGCAAACCTTTAGTCGTGCCACGCCACGACGCGAACCCCATGTTTGTCACTTTTTAAAATCTTCATGAGCTGAATAGCCCACCGTTTTTTATCGTTTGGCGATATCCCTAGAAGGCTTGTTTTGTTTTGTGGCGGGCAGTTTACCAAACTCTTTCGCTTACCCGCTATCTGCTGTTTTCCTTGACAATCCCCCTTGTAGTGATCTAATCACTCATTGATTTTGCACTTCCTTATTGTATTTGGACAACAGTGTGCGCATCTCGCACCTGGAGATATGCAGCTGCCGTCTATAGACAGGGCAATCCATCCCTGGGGGCTGTGGAGATTGATGACACATAGAGCCAAGTAGAATACAACATCCGCCACAGCAGCAGCACTTAAACCAACAACCCGAGCAACAGAAGGACCGGCGAAGCAAGCTTCAACTTTGTCAATGGCAACACTAGTGCAAGCAATAGCAGCAAGGCTCACCATGGACGGTTGAAGTCTCTTGGGCAGGACAGCACGCATGGAAAGGACAAGAGGCAGTGCGTCTCCATGAGTTTCTGCGAGTAATTGTTTAATGTGCACCAAATAAGCAGGTATACAGCATAGAAAACAGCAAATACCTTCATGGCTTTGTCCATCTTGGAGAAACTCATATTCGGCAGGCAGGGCCCTCGGTACTGCCGGATCCATTTTTGATACTTCTAGCAAAATGTACTTGAGACCAAATGACCCACTTGGGAACCCGCTACGCATGAAGTCTGGTCATCTGCATGTGCCCCAATTATGCAGGAAAGATACTTTGCAGAACCTGATGTCGCAGACCTGTTTCTTCCCATCCCTGCCAGCGGAAACATCCAATTAACACATTGGAATGACCGAATGAATACTTGACGAATGAAAGACTTGCCTCGGGGCAGCTTGCATCATAGTTACGGTTGCAATCTGAAACGCAGGGCCAACTAAAACCACACCGACGTTCCAAAGACCTCTTTTCTTCCTGTATTCTTGTGAATGCTAAGTGAAGGGCAAAGAACAAAAAAAATTCACGCACATGCGACAAACTGCTGAAGTTCGCGGTCCTTTCACATTTTCCTGCAGAGATTGCACCATCTCCTTCTCCGACTCAGTCGTTGTCCAAATGGCAAACAAATATTACCGGTGTAGGAAAACGACGCAGCACAGCCGTTGTTCTCCAAGGGATGCTGTTCTCCACAGCCAGGGGTACGTGTGGTTTGGGTTCATGGAACATGCACTGAACGATCATTTGTTCGTACCCATAGCTCAGGGCACTGCTGTTCATAGTCTTTCTCGCATTGTGAAAAAACAGGCCACTCAAAACCGCAGGTTTTTTCGAGCAGGCGCTTCATTGGAGACTCTTCAGGAAATGTGTTCAGCACCTAAAAGCGGCTGGAAAACGGTTTAGAAGGGTGGTTCAGTGTTTCGACGTACTGCACAAGGCCCCACATAGCTGGGCGATGCCTCGCACTTTCCTCCTCCGCGTATGATCCATCCTATAATAAATTGATGTAAAGGGGCCCGGTGATAAATGTTCGGATTTCTTCTCATGCCTTTACCTTCTGGACAGGCTGCACCGTAGTTTTTCATACAGACAACTTTTGCCACATAACTCAGACTGTGAATAAAACAGACGGCTAGTAGGCTAACTTTCATGGAGGAAAGGATGCTCATTCCGAACAGAAAGTGTGCACACCAAATTAGCCATCATCAAGAAACGCGAAACGGAATTATAGATGCTCGGTGGAGAATTGGCCCAGTCATGCGCTGCGGTGTATGGTCACACAAAAATTTGATAGGATTCATTTTACCTGACACTGAATCGGCCAGCAATCCGATTTCTATTAAATGTATTGTAATACATGTTTCTTTGCATAAATGATTCTGACAGGATCCATTCACGTTTCCGCATTTCAAGTGGTGTGCCTCTTGCCTGAGACATTGTGTCCAGTATAAGAAATAAAGAAAAAATACCATGGAATCGTGTCCTAGTTTTTGGTTTAGTTGCATGAAAGGTATTACACAACTGTTTGGCTATGCATTGGCTTGACTCGATGTTCTAGTCGGTCTTGCAGCCATATTACGTTGTACTTCAACTGCCTTATGGTAGATAATGCCAGCAAAACTCAGTCCCACACTACATTCAGTCACTGAAGAAAATCACAAAAGGATGAGTTTTCTGGGCTGATCACAAGGGTGCAAATGGTTCATCTTCATTCGAGTGCGTCATTTCGTAATTTCGACATGAAACGTCATTTAGGTCAATTAATGGTAGTGCTGCCATTCACACATCGCAGTTGTTCATCATTTTTCTGTCCTTGTCCAGCAGTCTTGATAAGTTCCTCAAAAATCTTCTCACAGCGCCCATCGGCAAATTGTCTGAATTGCCATGGGGTTGTGTGTATTGGTACTAACGTAGGGACACGAAAAGACGATTTGCCGAGCAGTCTTTGTTTGCGCCAACAATTATTTTGATACACAGAACAAGCCAATAAATGTATTTAAATTACTGCCTGCCCGTACCACTTCTGTGATTTATTTTTTCACCGAGATCGTCATATGTGTTTTTCAGGTTGTCTGCCTCATTTATCCTACATGTGAACAATGATGGGGTAGAGGTCTAACATCTGGGAGGCAAACGTCTCCAATTTCAGTGCTTGTAATTCCCCCATGCAATAACCGCTTGCACTTGTTTAATACCGTTACATTGCTCATTTGAGCCTCTCAGTATTCCCAGCTAAACGACCAAGAGCACCCTCATGCTGTTTCTGCTACGATTAATTCATTATTCAAACTCTAGAGGGAAAATGAGGGCGTATATAGTTGTCTACATGTGCAGCTTGCAGTATTGCAAGTTTTGCCGTCTTGTCCCGTCATGAAAGAACCACAAAGAGACTTCAAGTTACTTATATCTGTGATTCAGGTAGCAGTACATTAGAGTTTATTGGAGACCGAATGTCCAGCTTACCCTGTGTGACTGAACTATGGTCATTTGCCCTTGTTTCCCTCAGCTCGGCTATTCTGTCTTATTTCCATGATCCTGAATTCAGCCAAGCAGAAAATAACTGCCGAGAAACACTAATTCAATAATAGCCCGCATACTTATTTAATAGGTGTACCCGTTCATGGGTTGCTGTGAGTGTAGTCTCTTACGAACTCCTGGGCTTCCTATTTTCTGCACAGCAGTAGTCTGCATTCAAAATAGGAAAGCGCACAGTAGCCAATAAATACCATTGGCTTTTCTCCACAGTTCCGCTTCAGGGGCTTTATTTACTTCCATAACATCAGAAAATTGCGTTTTTTTGTTTTCTATCTCCCCTAGCAGAAGCTCGAAACTCTCAAGCGCGCTCTGTATATCCGAGGAATTCATGGAAAAAAATGGGACTTCGCCTTCCATTGGATAAAATTTAGTGACAGCACAACAAAACACTAATTTTGTTGCAGTCTATTATTGGTGGCGCTTGACCCTGAAGAATATGGTGGAATGAAGGCACGCTTTGGTTTTGGAAATTACGACAAGGTCGGCTGTAAACAGACATTGCATAAAGTTATTACCGTGAGCATGGATTCCTTCTTTTTTACCATTATGGAAGTGCAAATATTCGTCCTTTCTGCGTTCTGATTATGTTTTTTCCTGGAGTAAAAGACAAAAGCAGTCACATGGGTAGTGCCTAGATTACAAGTAGCAGTCCAGTATACGAGCCATGCACGTCAGTATTCTTCTTCCGTGTTTACAAACGTGGCACAAACCGCAAACCTTCTTGTCTACTGTATTATGACTTTCATGGCTTGGTATATTTCGTTCCTGTTCACGCACTCAAGTCTGGAAGCGAATGAACAGGGTGCACACCAGGTCTACTAGCTGAAGCACGGTCAGCCTGTTTGTGGGCTAGTGTATCTGATATCCGCATTGAGCCATGAGACAAATAGACGTCCTCAAGATTTCGCAGACTATGTATGTGCTGATATATGTACCGAGGTAATATGGCACAAATTTTAAGTAAACATATACTTTGCGCACAGCCCGAACATTTCAGTTTCGCGGTAGTAGTATGTTTTAGCATCAGTCGCATTGAATCACGAACACCGTATACTGACAAGAGCATCAGCTTGGAACTATAGGAGCCCGCCGGTGGATACCATGAATCCTTCACGATTCTAAGCAGCGTAGGCGTTATCGTAACTCTACGCAGTTTCGTAGGTTGAAGCTTAAAATGAAGCGAACTCGATTTCAGTAATTCACTACTGATATACCGCTGTCCCATTTAGATATCATTGTCTTCGAACACTGCCTACCCCGCTGGTTTCCATGATGTATACATTGGCTTAGCTTTCTCTGCACTTTGGTATATTAATAGCTTAGCTCTGAGATGGATTCATTGATTGCACTCAAGGCAAAAAACCGTGGGATAACTTGGCGTTGGTCTTAGTCTTATTGTATGACCCCATTTTATCACCAAAGTAAACCAAATAAACACTCTTCCAGCTCCTGTGGGCTGTCTGCAAACTGCGCTCATCGTCTGACACTAAGCGGTTTCCCAGCATCGAACAATGTGGTAAATCCCGATCTTTTTGAAGACCCACAGCTTTGGCTGAGAGTCCGCCTGCGGAAACTCTGCAGCGATCTTTAGCTTCCTTCCTCGGGCAAATGCTCTGGTTTAGTTGCCCTACTGCAGGACTTAAACAGACGTCCAGTACTTGTAGGCAGACAGGATGATGCAAGCGAAGAACGAAGGCGAAGCGAAAATAGGCACTTGATTCTTGTCTCAATATCTTGTGAAAAAATTTCCAAAGGGTTTAAGGGTGCAGCTGCCAAAGCACCCACTTCACGCCCTGCGCTGAGAAGGCAGAAGAGCAAAACATCGCTTTGTGAAAAATTGAAAGCTGCATCACGCAGCCGCGACTTTAACCCCAACATCAACTCTATTTCACGACGTGCACCCCAAGAAAGCGCTCATCACAGCTGCTTTAAAGACTCAAAACTATATTGTAGCTCGAGTTTCAGCTCAAAAGACAGACGCGGCAGTATTGCCCAGTTACGACAGAGAAGTGGCAGTCCAAGCGATCGCAATGTAAAGCGAACCAGATCGGTGCCGAAAACTCCCGCAGAGGTGTGCCAATTGCCTCCGTGTCGGAAGAAGATAAAGTTTAGCCTCTTTAATTACGTGCATCTGATCCCCAGGAACACAAGCGAATACGACCGTTAGGCGTCGGAGCCCGTTTGTTAGGTCCCTTCACTTCATCCCATCGCGGTTGTATGAATAAACGAGTGCATTATCGAAGCTTCTGTACACATTCAACGAGAAACAAAGCTAGCAAACAGGTAGGAGTGTTTTATACTTAAGTGCGTTACTCCGCGAAAAAGCAATTTACTATGAGCGGACATCTGTCTTCGGCCCCTATGTGTACCCACAGCCTCAGGCGCTGACTGGCTGCTCGATGTTTTCTACCGTCTCTTTGGGGTTCGATGCACCCTGAATGATGAGGAAGAGGAGCTGCTGCGTGCCTGAGAGGCCTGTTTACAAGAAGTCACTCAAGCTACAGCGTGAGGCCGTGTGGGGGTCGTCATGAACAGCTAAATAGGTGAATCTTACTAAAGGCATAAATTGTTCCTCAGATAGCTTTCCTCTGCCTCTCCCCGTCGAACGTGCCATGGAAGAAGGCAAGACGTTTAAACTACATTGCTGCTACAGGTTGTATAAAGACCACTAAATCGCCCCATAAAAGCATGCAGCAAGCGTGCGTGAACCAACTCATAAGGAAAGCTAGAAACTAGCTGGGTCCCTTTCTGCTTGATGCCCAGCCTAGCGCTCATGCACTCAACAAGAATATCGACACACTGGCAGCACTAGGCTTCCCGTAGTGTCCCTGATATGCAGGCGATTTCGGTCCGCTAAAGTGCAGACAGCAAGGCAGCCGCTGCGCAGGAAGCACTTCGTGCGAAGGTCCACGGCTGCTATTAGAGAGAGGCTCGCGATTCCCAATTCGGCGAGATGTGTAGCTTTCCGCTTTTATCCTAGGCCCATCATGCAGTTCCAAAGATTAAATGAAAGTAACAGCTCAAGGCCTGTGGTGGCAGATCAGGCAGGAAGCTGCTATAAACTCACGTTTTATATCAAGCCGAGGAAGTTGAAGCAAGCCCATCATGCGCCAAAGCAACAAAGCTGATTGTTAGTATGCCACTCAGCATCTACAGCGGAAGGAGGATGACGGGGAGATCCTGCATGGGGTTCTTAGCTCTGTAGTGGCTTGGATTACAGCCAGCTAATTGGGGTGTATGCAATAACAAAGGGGAGAAAAATCCCTGCTGCTATTCCTCAGCGATGGATCGAGTGTTGAAGCTGTTGCACTTTGCGCACTGCAATCCTGAGGGCACAGAGAAGAGAGTAAACATATGTCATTAGACGACATCCGCATTAAATGCTGCTTCTGAAATCGACAGCAAGTTGCTCTACTCTTCGAACCTGTGTTGCTCAATACAGTAAATGCCACTATTCAACGAGGATATATCCCTACTATTGATTTACTGGATAGGCACGTAGGGGCAGAGCAAAGAAACAGCAGCAGTAGCCACAGTACTGGACGATTTTGCACAGTTGTAAGTGGGCACATGGTGACACTCTAGCATCTAGTTGTTTCTCATTACGTATTACCCTAACTCCTGGCTAAGTGTTGCCCTTGCAACCAAGGATAAACGAGGCCCTAGAATTCCAGATCACGAAGTGGAGGGACCTCATTCACCCATCAAAATCCCACTCTAGCAAATTCGGTCTCACAATAATCGATGAATCATCAGCAAAATGCAACTACTTACCAAGAAAGTGGAAGTCGGTGACTGATCGTTCAAGACAGTCGTTACATGCGATCCTGACTTTTCTCCTAAACTGCTCGTCGATTGGCGTTCGTGCTATTTCCTCGCTCAATTGCTTCCAAAACTCGCTATAATCTGCAATTGACTTGCTACCTGTCCACAAGCAAAAGGAGGCAGGAGAGTGTGAGCATACTTTTGCGGGAAGGGAAGAATTTCACGGCAACCAAAAATGAAGCATAGTTTCGGGCGCGTTCCATGAGCCCCTCTGATTGCCTACTTCTACGTTTGTGCCCTGCGCACAAACAACCTAATTCAGATGCAGGGAAGAAGATGCATCAGTCCAACAAGACTTCTGCAGCTAAGGTATGCAAGGAAATTCTCAGGGGCAGCTTTCTGCTTACACATTGGGCAGCGAATTGCCTGAAAACCCCTCTGTTTCTGCAGCAGCCTAAGACAGTCCTGTGTCGTGTCACCACATAATACGCAAGTACAACAGCTTCACGACCACTGCACATCCTTTCACAAGCTTCTTACATCAGGAGAAGGAGAGGCAAAGGAAAGAGCCACTAAGCAAGCCGCAACAGAAGCAAGAGGAAAAAAACAATTGGGTATTGACTGTCCTCAAAACCAATAAAGATGGACAGCGGCAGAACGGCTGTAAGCAAGACAGGCATAGCGCTCGGCATTTACCGCATGCAAGGTGTGTCCGCACTGGAGAACTTGGCTCTGCCTAAGGCTTGAAAACATATCCTCAAGACAAACTGGGCACTGTCGCTTCATTGCGTTCTCTAGGCATTTGTGCTTGTTTCGCAATTGTAAGGGGTAGCAACTGCCGCATGTTGGGCAATGAAAAAACGATTCCCTGCCCCCCGAACGGCAGATTCCGCATTCGTCGCAGTGATAGACCTGGAGAGCACACGGAGTCAGCGGAATGTTTTGAATTCCATGAATCATTTGCATGAGTGAACGGCAAAGATTAAACATGGATACGCTCTTGATCACAGAAGTGCGAAAGAAAAAAGGGGAAGAGCATGAGTAAAAAGGGAATGCGAGGCATTTAGCAATACGCACCTTCTTCTTCTCGCCTTGGTCATCCCAGAACTTACAGATATGGCAGAAGTAGGCACCAAACACACTTGAGCAGTTGATGCACGTGTTTCCTACTGGCTGGCGTACCCCACAGGTGGCACACACCACCTCCTCCACTGCATGCCGATCCACCTCGCTGCATATGCCAGCAGACAGCAGGAAAGGGCACCCACATGGACACTCGGGGAAGCCAGAATAAAGCGACGGGCACATCAAGGTGAGAAAGCAAGCACGATGAATAAACCAAGGTACAGGCAGGTACAGGCAAAAGAAACGGGTGGTGAGAAAGAGCGGGGTCATACTGCGCGTTCTCTTGATTCTCTTCATTCGCTTCGTTATGACAGTGGCGACACCAGTATATGCGCTGGCTGCAGATAACGACAAGGCGCAAAGTGGAATAGAGGCAAAGTGGAAACGCACTCCACAGTTACTCTTGCCCTTCCACCCTCCCCTCTTGCTTGTAACCTATCCGAGTACGCGTGGAGCCCTTGTGCAGCTAATGGTTTTCTTTCCAGTGCAAATACCAAACCCTAGACGCCAAAGTTGCACTCCTACACCTAAATATCGTCTGTACCAGCAAGGAGCAACAATCTTGCACTTCCGCCTGTAGTGCGTGCACCCCAAAGGAAGCTCTTCATCATTGTCTTTCTCCTTCTCCTCGACGCCTTCTCTCTTTGCTGAGCTGATTTTATCTCTGGAATTGGACGTAGGGTCAGAGTCGATGCCAGAGCCAAATCTCGAAGGTTCATCATCATCATCATCATCATCATCATCATCATCATCATCATCATCATCATCATCATCATCATCATCATCGTCTGCATCTTCACCTTCATCCTCGCTACTGCGAACATCCTCCCACAAATCATCTTCCTCTTCACTATATTCCGAAGGAGTCCCGTAGTCTTGTCGCTCATGCCGCTCTTGTATCTCTTCTCTCCCAGTCTCGGGCTCTCCTTCTGCTTCCCGCTCGCCCTGTTGAGAAGTCGTGGAGTCACTGAACCTTTGTTGCTCCTGATTCGGCTGTTGTTGGCCAATGACAGCTGTACCTCTTCGCACTTCAAAATTCTCTTCCTGCCGCGCTGCTAGACCACCCCCTAGCTGTTGATGGGTGTGTGCTTCCTCATTATCTGCAGCCCTCGGCCACTCTGTGGTACTACCGTTACCATTGCAGTTGTTTACAGTGTTGTTGTTGCTGCTGCTTTCGTTTATTGTAGCCTCCCCCCTTGAATCTGCCCCTCGTTCCGGAAGATTCTCAGTCTCCCTATATGAGGGCTCTGAGTCCGGCATCTTCAAGGAGGCGGCAGAGTCACGCACAGGGTCCTTCGCAGCCAAGGCTTCTGGAGGATGAAAGAGCGCCAAAAGAGGAAGAGCCAGAAAGCCAAGTAAGGACGTGTAAATCAAGGCTGCAAAGAAAAAGAAAAGCGAGGAAAAGGGGAACAAGTCCCCTGAAGACAAAGATCTAGGAAGAAATACTGATTACAGAAAGAAACCAAGGCGAACGGAAGGCAGCGGGAAGGCTCAGGCCATAGTCCGCATAGTGTAGAACAGATGGTAGCATAAATGCTCTGGAAAATCATGAAATACCCAAATGTTCCCAGTTCCAGGGTTCATCGAGTGCGGATGCAGCTATGCGGCAATCAGGCCCAAACGAAGAACTCCATACCCTAAACCCCCAACATAATAGTTTACTATTTAAGATAGAATACTACGTAAATTGCCTTGATTCATCTGGGCAAACGAGACCCAAGAATGCAAAAGCGTTTTTCTGCTGGGACTGCAGGCTGTGCTCTGTGGTAGACATGGGCCCCAGGTAAGTTATATTTAGTTACCCAAGGATGGGAAATGCCCGTTATGCTACTGGCAGATATTGTTTTTTATTAGGTGCGGTAAATTATACTCAAGTCACTACAACTCAGAGGCCTCCCCGACTACCTCTATTAGGTCCCCATGAGCTTACATTACAAATCAGCGCTGAAGGTCACTTCTACTCCTCTAGGCGATTATTCACTAGAACGGCACTCTACAGCCGCACAGTAATACTAGCTCGCACTACTCTAGCTCCGCAAAATGAGGGATATTGCATTTGATGGTATGTGGCAGCAAATGCCCACCAGGTGTAAGAAGCATTGAACAACTATCTCCACAGAGATGTGCACATTCATAACCAATCGAACCGCCTCAATATTGATTCCTTCCATGGCTCCTTTAAAGAATAGTTCTTCCTTTCTTTCCTGGACACCACATGGTCTTCGCGGTAAGGGCACCAAGAGGATTGCTAAAACGTCACAAGCCTAACCTGCATACCAATCAGGGAAGTTGCACACACAGTTACACAAGATACAAGTACCTATCATAGTACTCGACAACAGAAACATCTTTATGCTTCACAAAGGGAGCACTGAATGAATGCCCCAGACACACAGTCAATCCTCGCACACCGAGCATACCTATGGCGATTCATATAATAGCCATCTAAAAGCAGATTAGCCTGCTACGCTCGAAAACAATCTCAGAGCACCGCATATTTCCCATGAGAGCGTAGGTTAAGTTTTTAAATCCATAGCCCTCAGAGAACATTCGGTAGCTGAAGGGGTACAGCATGGCACCAGGAAGAGCGGAGTGCATAATACTTGAAGACGACAGGAGAACAGCATCTTTAAGGAACTGGCCCACTCTAGGATAAGCCTGTGCGCTGTAGAGGTATGTGCACGGGGGGCTGCAGAACGCCCCACATCAGTGGCCACGAAGTCGCGCTAAATGCGAATCCAAATCCTTGAGCATCAGAAAGGTCCTCGTTACTTGGCACGAGAGATAAAATCCCCGCCGCCTCCATGTACTACCACCGGGAACAGACACAGATAAGCGCAGGTTGATCTTCATTGAGCCACCCCCTAAAGCGTCTCTTCCACTGCCCACGCCACTAGACGTGTGCTGGTCTTCGTATTAAAATAAACTGAATGCCCGCGGATTTTAGAGACCTCCCCCCACGAAGCCACGAAAAACTTTTGATCTATAAAGCGGACACAATCATGCTAATTTTTAAGTTGCTTATTACGCGGACACACCAGTGGCACTTGCATACCCACCCTTTCACTCAGGCCTCCTCTTTTCCAACGATTAACGGACCTATCCTCTCGGCTTCTCATATTTCTTCCTCATAACAGGAGCACAGTAGAGTTATGATTCTGCGTCTGAAATCTAGTGAAACGACGCTCGCCGCTAGAGCCGGCATATGCCCTAGGATATTGAATGGGCCGTTTCTCCCTCCTTGTGTCTTCTCCCAGTCGTCAGCCATAGAGGGTCTTTCTGTGCGACATTTGGCATCAGCTTTTGTGGATAAATGTAAAGCCGGCAAAGCAGTCATTTAACTGCCCCCATCCAACGGCCTCGCCTTTCACCATTCCCAAAGTGCTACACGAAGCCCTGTTAATGCGTGTGCAGCTTTTTGTTCTAGTACTCCTGAATGCAAGGTCCATAGGGACCAGATTGCAGACGGTGTGTGTGCACTTGTCTACGTGCTTAGCTATAGATATGAAAGATCGACCTCGACTACTACACGCTGTCTCCTAAAACCGAAGTCTTCTATTTATCATTTAGAACCGCTCTATTTGGGGGAGGGCCAAGCTAGAGTCTCGCCGACACCCAACTGGTCCTTGACTCAGCAAACTTCACATACACTGCCTTTAGATTGTTTGTTTAGTAATTATATCTAGCTGTGAATCCCCTCGTAGGCCATCTTACTAAGGTGCGGCAGCCTCCCTACCTTCCCCTTCCGTTCCTTCTGCCTCACCGCCGTCCCGCAGAGCACTAAAACGACTGTTTGGAAAGGTCATCCGTTCTCCCCGGGAACATGCAAGCAGTGCATAGTGCTGAGGGTCCTAAAAAAGAAACCCCAGGGCCCAAGCAGCAAAGAGTTCCTGCATGCAAGGTGCGCTGTACCGAGCCATATGCTGGAGGGTGGCGCCCTTCATGGCTCATCGTTAGTCAGATGCTTCTGATTCTGTGGCTCCCTCACAGCACTGACCGATGCAAGCTCACCTCTTGTTGATGGTGGATGCATTTGGCGCGCGCTGCAATCCAGGAGGCTGCCAGTGCCACTCCTGTCGGGTAAATGACTGCCTCCAAAAAAGGAAAAACCGCCCTGACCAGTCGAAGCCCCCCCCTTCCTCCGAATCGCAACTCTGCTGCTGACCATCGACAAACGCTTACGCCAGGTCGCTAAGGACTGTTGCATCCGGGGCTGCACCTCTTCACAAGCAGAGCGCTGCCGGCTGAGCCGCTTGAATGAGAGCAAACGGCGTCGCCGGGAGTCCTGCTGTTGCTCTTCTTCTGGAGGCTGCTGCTGCAAGTGGAGCGAGCAGCGGCACGGGTCAGCAAGCCCAGCGGCAACTGTCTGCTGCAGTTGCTGGAGCTTCCGCCTCGGAAACCTCCGAAGTCTATTGAAGCATTGGTGCAACAGCTCGTTGTGCTCCACCTGCAACAGGGGGCAAAACATGCCCGGCACAAAGCAGGCGATAAACAATGCTGGGAAATGCATGCCAGAGAGAGGCTCCTAATAAACCTCCTCAAATAAAGAAACGCGCAGCACATGGAAGATAAAAGGACCCATCATAAGAAACCAGCCATAGTTATGCTGGAAAGGACCTAACCCGGCATATCAAAATCTACACATGTAGCCTCTATGGGCAATCTGCAAAAAGCGGGGCTCATCCCTTTCCCTGCTGTCCCTTCTCCATGCATATTAATATATGCAAATACACCCATACATATACACGCTCATTCCCTTCGCCTATATCCGTCCGCCATCTGAAACACTGCTTGTACAGAGATCTCTTTTCTTTGGCGTCGGTGCCTCCCTTGTCACCACTAGGCGCAATTCCTGCATCCCCTCAAAGCCGTTAATACCTCACTGAGGCAGGGACGCTTAAAGCATGTACGGCAAATAGGGGGATGCAGTCTGTAATGGAAAGGGGCAGACAGGCCAAGACCGCCTCCGGTCCTCACCAGGAGGGAAAGCTTTCCCTTGAGAGAGCCCATGACTTGTTCGAGAGACTGCATTTTTGCCAGTTGTCCTTCAAAGAAGAATATGACTCCAAGAGCTACGCGAAACAAGATCTTTGGCCCCTCCAGGATCAGGCAATCCCATATTCGCAGCACTGTGGGTTCCTGGAGTGTTTACGTGGCCGTGGCGACAAAAACAAGCAGCACGACGAACGAGATTGCATGGGAAAAGGCGAACACAGGCGGAGGAAAAGAGAGGGAAAGAGAACGCATAAAACTACAAAGGAGAGCCTCTTGACTCACGGGGCAGGAGGTACTGAAGAGGCAAAGAAACCACTCTGCAGCAATCCACTCGACTTCGACGCCGGTCTTCCTGCGGAACCAGTAATGCACTTGTGAGCACCCGAGGCAGACGTGTCGTACAGGAGAGGCAGGAAGGAGAAGGACAGCAAGGACTGGCCAAGCTGGCAGCAAGGGAAGCACATCCGACGCAGAGAGGAATATGGCTTCACGATCTTCCTCGGCACACCAGTAGGCACTTACTTGAGGACCTGATAAACTCGGGGGGCCTTTTGGCGGATCAGAATCTCCAAGACCTTCATATCCCGCCTTAAGTCCGCCATCCCACTGGTGTAGTAGCGGCCGATTTGCAGCCCTTCAGCAGGGAAAGACGAGCCGACAGAGGACACACACACACACACACACATACACACCAGAGAAACTCAGTACCGTGAAGAAGGACCCTAAGAGATCACTCGATTTCAAGGGGTAACGCAGACAAGGGAATTGCGGGAGGCTGCAACCAGGAGACAATTGTTGCCGCCCCTAGCAGTGCCGCCGTTCGCCCCCAGACCCCGAACCCCTCACACCTTTGTCTTTGTCCGTGGAAACAACCAGCTGCAGAAGCGAGGCGAGGGCAAGCTCCTCCTTTTGAAACAGCAGCATTGTTGCTGCTAGAAAATTGAGGCCCTGGCAATACCCAACGGCCGGCCGGGCAGCCGCGAATCCCCGCAGGACACGCCGCAGCGCACAGATGCCATTGTTGCAACGGAACTGCGGAGTGGTGTAAACAGCAGCAAGCGGAGTGCCACACGGTGAGGAGGAGGGAAGCGACACACGCCCTAAAACAGCAGCAAGGCGAGCGCGCACAGCCTGCGCAAGGAGAGGCACGAGGCAAGATGCTGAGCCATCTGGCGTAACGAGGACAATGCAGATCACCCTTTTGTTGCTGGGAAAGGTCCTCGGCAAGTCCACCTCAATTTGGCCGCTCACATCCCGCGGCAGCTGCTCCTGCTGCAGCCTGCAGGCACCAGCACGACAGGGGCAAGTGTAGCAGCACGAGCAGGATGACGACAGACAGGGGCCAGACGGAAGACGCAGGGAGAACGACCACAGACAGCATTAGCGCGAAGTCCACAGTCCGCGATGCAGAAACGCGCAGCAGGAGTACGAGCAAGCGCTCGGAGAAGGCAGCAGGAGGTCCTAAGAGATCGAACGATCCTTTCAATTAACCACCTCCTCCCATGACGTGGGAACCTCACCTTTCAAAGGCTCCCGGATCCGAGTCCAGGAGAGCGTCGGCTCCAAGAAAAACTGCCCAAACTTTTCCCCTGCAATGAATGGATTCAGCAACAGGATGGATCGGGACGGAGAAGCCGCCGTGACGATCCCACAACGCGCACTTTGCGCCAGCCAGACGCGAATGGGAGTGGCGAACCCGCCGAGCACCATCAGCAGAGAAGTCGGTTACTCAGGAAAGAAGCACAAGACTACGGGAGAGAGTCCCAGCGGGGGAGTGCGCATGCAGGAGCGACACGGGCAAGGCTTGCCTCAAGTGGTCTGGAATTCCCCGTCGAACAAGCTGTTTCACCATTTTTCGGTCGCTTAGCGTTGGATCAGCCGCTAGTAACGCTTCCCACCTTCAAGTGCAGAGCCACGCAAGGAGGCAGAAGTCGGAAAACACAATGAAACGGGAAGTCATGTCTGTCAAAGGGGCCCCCAAGAATCCGCTAAAGGCCTCCGGAAGGAAAGGCAGCAACAGCGGCAAGACTCCACCGAGCTCTCTCGTAAGGGTGCACAGCTTACAGCTGCGCCTGCTTTCTTCTCTGAGGGGCAGTCTTCGCCTCGTATGCTTCCACACGGGCGGACAGGTCTGCTCCCCAAAGGAAGCCATAGCAGCTCTCCACTGCAGCGCCGAGACATAGTACACGCAACTATTCACCCGCTAGTCTCTGAGATGAGGAAGGCTGCAGATTGACTGCCAGTATGTCTCCCCCACTAAGTGGCATTCACTCCGTTTTCCCCTCCCTGCTCCTTTGTTAGCACAACCCCCTTCTAAGCCGCCCCCTCCCGTATTATGTATCCCGTGTGGCTTCTTCGCACGGCCTTCTTCTTCCGAGCTAGCTGCAGTCTCTGCTGCCCCCTTTCCCCCCTGGCTCCCGCCGTCCCCAACTAAAGCAGCCCGCCCAGCGTCGAATACGCATTCAAGACGCACAGCACTCACTACACAAAACGGCTATGGGTAGACTACGACATGGGAAGGCTTCTACGGCCGCTTGAGAAGCTGACTCTAGAGACGGCACACCGCTGGCTGGAATCTCCACTGCCCCCGAAGCTCCCGAGATTTCGAAGGAACCCCCTCCTCGAGCAGACGAGCACGACGCGTCTGCTACTGAAGGGCAGCTGTCGCCATTCGTCTGCTGCAGCAAGTCTGCGACTGGAGAGCTGCAGCAACGCAGCAACATCAGGGGAGATCGTGGCTGGTGCTGCAAACGCAGAGACTCCAGCCGAACAAGGGGGTCATCAAACTCCAGCACACAGGCTGCCTCCTCCAGATCCTGCCCCCCGTAGGCCTCACTGAACTCTTTCTCCCCCTCCTCCGATAGAAGGTCGCTGCCGCTGCTGCTGCCGCTGCTGTTGCTTCTGCTGCGGCTGCTGTTGCGGCTGCTATGGCTACCCTTCAGGACGGCATGACGAGCAGAGGCCCTCCCCACAGACTCTTGAAGACACCCCGGGTGAGCTCCTAGCGGCTCCGAAGGCTCAAATTGCAGCGTTAAAGCGCTGGTGCTGCAGCTGCGGTGCGTCCCTGCAACAGGGCTAGGCCTGCATGGACAGATCCTGGTATCCCAAAGACTATGCGTCATCACGCCAGAAAAACTGAAGTGTCGTTGCCGCAGCCAAGGGAGAGACTGCCTGCTGTTACTGGTGCTGCTGAGTTTGCTGCTCTGGGGGCTCAACGTCGGGCGCCTCCCGCTGCACCCCCTGCCACTGCTCCCGCTGTACTTGCTGCTTCTGGATGGCGGAAAACAGAGAGGCTCTCCGGAAGGCTGTCTGCTGCAGCAGAGATCGATGTGCAGAGCCCGCAGGTGCTTGGCCGTCTCCTTCAGCAAGCCGCTGCTACTGTGCCTACTTCCTGCGACATGGTCAGGGGCTGCTCCACTGCTGCTGCAACGCCGTACGCTGCAGCAGGCCTCTCCCCTCGTGGCTGCATTGAACTTGCAATTTCCACTGTCGCTGACGCAGCAGTCACAGCCAGATTCTCGCTTCTCCATGTACAACAGGGCTGGCAAGGGCGAGAGAGAAACGGCCTCCACCAGCGGGAGAACCCCAATATCAGACAACGTGGATGGGCTAGCACCGCTGCTACAGTCCTTTCCAGAGTGCCCCTGCACAGGCTGAAGGGCCTCCTCGCTCTCCTGCATCTGAGGAACCCCCTTCTGCATGCCAAGAGGGCTGTTATAGACCCCCAGCAGCGACGATACGCAAAGACGCCTCGGCGTTCGCGTCTGCTCCGCTGCCGCGCCAATGGTCTCCAGTTTCTCCAAAGTGTCGCTACACCTGTCCTCTGTCCGGCCGCTGACACGGCCACTGTTGTTGCAGCTAGTCGTGTTTTCGCCCTCAGAAAAGAGGCTTTCCCTAAGCATAGATGAGAACTCGGCTGCGGCTAAAGCTCCTTGCGTTTGACTCGCCAGTTCAGCGGCCCGCGAGGCTCCTGTTCGGGAGGCGCCCCCATCATGAGCCTCTGGACACCCCGCCCTATTTTCCATTGCTCGCCTGCTCGCTCTCTCGCTGAAGAGGGAAGCAACAAGGAACGGAAGAGGGGGCCCCTTCCGTCCGGAAGATGCAGGGAGGAAAGCGGGGAAGGGGGGGAAGGTGGCCAGCCAGGGAATATAAGGGAGAGCCCAAGAACCAGAGCCGTCGAAAATTGCGCTCCTGGAGCCTTCGAGGGGGGTGCCGCCTTTCGCCGTGCGATGGTCTCAGGTGCTACCCAGCCCCCCGAAGGGCACCACCCTCAGCCGCACAGCGCTGCTACTCCAATCGGCAAAACAAGGGGCCCCCGCTATAGCCTGTGTCGGCGATGAGGCATCACAGATGCGGGAGCCCAGTGACACCCCTCCTGAGGTGGAGGGGGGAGAGGAGGAAGAAGGCAAGGAGGAGGGAGGGCACAGACGACGGGAGCGATATCTGCAGCAACACTCAAGGAAGAGGGACGACGGATTTAGGGCCCTTTCCTTGCCTATGGAGGCTGCTGCATGAACACTGGCGTTGCAACAGACCACATAGATAGTAAAAGAACAAACAGAAGGCGAAATACTCCCTTTTCGTCCGCAAGCCCCAGAGGCTACTGTGGACGGCGACCGGCTGTCTGGCCCGGCCCTGGTGTTGCTGCTGTTCCTCCGAATGCTGCCACTGGCGTTGAGATCTACCTGCACTTTTTGACTTTATATATTTGATACGCATTTCGGTAATTTTCTGATTCCAAGGAGAAAAGAAAGGGGACCCAGACGCGCTTCACGCAGGGGTCCACGTCGTCTACACTCTCTCTGCTCGCTCTGGGCAGTAGTGCTCTTCATCAGTACATAGTCAGTGTTGGTTCTATTGGCTGCGGCGGCGCGAATACTCTTGGGTGACCCGAAACACGGGCATCAAGCAATTTTCGCTTTACCTGTTCGCTGTCTGTTTTCAGTAGATGTATGCTGGAGAGCTGCTGCACGCGGAGCTCTGCTTCGGGACATACGAGAGGCTACACCCTATCGCTCACCTGCAGAGGACTAATTGTTCGGTTAGCCTGAAGGCATTTAAACTCCAAAAGTCCGATAAAAAGGCAACCTAAATTTAGTCACTATTATTTTGGGAGATACCGCTAAAGCCTGCATGACGAGGGGTGCCAAGTTCCCCCCACTTGAACGGTCAGATCCTTGGTGCATACGTAGAGCTATGCTAGTACAGGGCAACAACGAACGCTTCACTTGAGGCCCCCCCTATACACCTTGTAGCAGAGGTGCTTTCTCTTTGAAAGTATCTTCTTCTGCACGTACTACCCCACGTACAAGGCCAGAGACCGCGGTCCTAGAGTCGGCGTCTGTGGTAGCGCATGCTCTGCTCCCTCAGCACCCGTAGGGCCTCTTATCATGATGAGACAACAAATTCTATTCTCTGTTCATACGACGGCGGTACACTTTTTCGTGGTAGGAGTCGATGCCGTCCGTTCCTTGATGCAAATGCGCTAATCGCAAACACCTTTCTTCGGCACGGTGGCTCCTACTTTAAGAGTCTTCAGTAGTCTTACAAGTGTATCGCAAGAGCTCAAAGCATTCTCTTTACTTCTTGAGGCTGGCATTATCCCGTATGAGGGTCAGTTCGACTGATATTAGCCTCCCAAGGCGGCAAGCTTATGCACTTCACAGGCGAGTGCGATGTACTGCTACGTGACGCCGCTTCCGTGTGTGATGCAGTATACATGCACCCCGTCGAATTGTGATGGTCAAAAGAATATGGAAAGTTCGTCTGTACCCCGGTGAACGTTGGGTGGGCGGCTCTCGAACAGCAGAAATTAAGGGATCTCACGCGCCGCTCCGAGCTGATTGCGTAAAATACGTATTACCACCCCGCCACTCCACTCCCCAACAAAAACATAAACAGCATATCAGAAGGCGGGTGAGCAGTAAGTGGTATTGTGGTAGCTCGAGACCAGCCAAACTTTGGGCAGCGAGAAGTTTCATGTTGAAGCATTTGGACCATGCCATCAACATGAAATTCCTCGGATTGTAGTCGTAAAAAGATATTGAGCGCCAATAATTAAACGCACTGCCAGCGAACCGCAATCTATTTGTGGCTTTTTCTCGAGGGCCTCTCAGGACCCCATGGAATAACTTATGCTGCGTGAGGCTCCCGTGCAACGCACAAGCATACTCTTGAGGACCTTCAAGTGGCTGGAAGTAATAAAAAAAGGCTAATGGCGTTCGTCTACATTCATGGCATGTGATAGCTAGTAGGCGAAGAGGAACTTGTATGGATACGTCGCAAAAAGGGACAAATGCAGTGCAGCAACGAGGCTCGATAAGCGCCACCTCCACCTTACCTCGAATGAAACTGGACTGACTAAAAGCTTCTTTGCATCAAGAAAGGCTTATCGGCGGCCCCTTGTGCCGGTCATCCGTAAAAATGCATGTCTACAGCCCCTATCCAAAGATGATGGACTTGTAGTACGCTTCGGCACTGCCGCTCAATCTCTACCCAAAGCTTTTCAGACTTTCGCCTCTTCAGCAGTCTTGTGCTTGTGCTTCACCCGACCAAAATACAGAAGAGAGGAGCATCTGCTCTCGGATGCATTGGAGCAGAGCGCATCAATGAGAGCTGGCATTGCAGCCCAGACTAGTGAGCAACACTGGGGTCTTTGTTTCAAGGCTGTCTGGGCTTCGAGCCGCTGCAGGGTCCTTCGTGTTCAAAGCCACTTTGGGGAGGTGCAACTGCATGGCACATACAGGGCCAGCGTCCTGCGGGATAAGACTTCGGAGACCTTGTTGCTGGGTGTCTGAAAGATTGGCAAGAGCCCTAGGAAGTAACTTATACGAGAAGGCTGCAACTTGGCTGCAAAGCAAGCTGTAATTCTACCGCGTTTATGTACTGTGTGGTCATGTACTAAGGCTACAGTTCGCATACATCACTCCTAAATCTGATTTAAGCGGAAATTTCCCCAACATTTGGGGTTTCATGCCGATTCTACGAAAGGGCCCCAAAAAGAGGGTTCTGCGCCATCTAGTTTGCCAATGTTTCTCCTGCTGCCGCTTTCTCTGCGAACCAGCTTTCGTGCTGCTTGCGGGTCGGCAACCCGAATTCCTGCAACTGGGCTTACTGCATGAACATGTTTGCTAGCTGGATTGGAATGGCTCTTCATTTTCCTTGCTGTGCGCCCCGCGCTACCACGTAGGCCCCCCAATACCATGAGGGCAACGGTAGGTGTCTCTCGGCCTGAATACCTGTTTGCGCGTTGCATCTGGATAGACAGTGCAGCAGCGTGCTGCAAACTGACGAGTAGCGAATTGTTATGAGAGTTCTACCTGCACTGTCTCTATAGGCGACTGAGCCGAGGCAGCAGAGGCTCGCAAGAGCGCGTGGCGAGCCAGCCCCCCAGTTGAAATAGATGAAGCTTGCATTCTCTGGGCTGTTGGTCGGAGAGACTGCAGTGCCTGCCTGCCCTCTGCTTCGTAGAAGTTCGTTACGTCTCTCTTGTCTCTTGGTCATCTCGCACGATGCGTTCGTCCTTGCACCATGGGGAACTTAAGCCTTGGCCAGATGATGCCCTAAAGTGTTAGATGAAGCGCTGCAGGACTTCACTGAAATCTCGGTCGATCATCAACATGTGCAGCCCCACAAAGGCCGCACTTCCCGAAAACAAAAAAAAGTAGTAGAGGAGCCGCCTACCCAAGTCTCCCCGTGCAGCCACCTCTATCGCCACGTCCTGAGCCGACCAAAGCCAACGCAGCAACAAAACAGAGAAGGCAACGCTTTGCTGCACCCAAGACACCGCGCACAAAGAAAGCAAGAACAAGCAAACAAAGCACCCCGGGGAGACCGCGCCAAAGAAGGAGCAGCTAGCAGTTCTCTAGAGGTCACACAAAATAATTGGCGAGTCGTTAGCACCAGTTGGGCAAAGATCTTAGGAAGTCTGGCTGCGTCCGCATGCGATGGGAAAGGCTGGGGACGAAGAGAGGCGACAACATAAAGCTGCCGCTGTGGCGAAGACAAAGAGACTATAAGGAGCTAGAAAGCGGCACGGATAGCACACGGAGAATCCGGCATGTTTGCTTACCACGATGCCCCAAGCGGCTGCCGCAGTTAGTAGAGACGATAAAAGCTCTGTGGTGGCAGTCAAAGCAACACGAAGCTGAGGCGTATAAGGCAAGTGACCGTGATGGGTTTAAGCAGACAAAGGATCTTGATGGCATTCCGCGCACTAAGAAGCATGTGACTAGCGTTTCGTGGATCAGCAGAGTCCCAGTGGCCTCATAACCAAGCAAAAGCTGCCAACTGCGTGGAGGAGGAGAAAGCTTTACGGTAGCCTCCGGCTAGGGCGGAGCACAAGAAAACCAGGCAGCCAAGGTGCCAGACATATATGCCGTTACTTGGGTAGAAGGTCCCGCGGTAAGAGAGGGCCTTGAGTTTGCGCAGGGCCAACGCCATGAGGATCCCGACTAGGAGAAAAAAAGTGTAGATTTCGAGTTGTATCCCACCGTCAGCGCCCGAGACCACCTCCACTACCATGTCCTGATGAGACATGCAGCGCTCGGATGCATGGAGCTCTACAACCGCCTCTCAGGACGAGGTACTGGCGCTCGTTAGATACTGCAAGCTATGAGCTGCTACGGCACTGTAAGCGTTGCCTTTTGCCTCTGTGAGCAGCAGCGCAACTTCAGGTGCGACTGCGCTTGCCCCTTCTGCTACCACTGCGGCTGTCTCGACTGCAAAAAGGCAAAGGAAGCGCTTAGAACAAGCGGCCTGGGGACATGGAATAAGGGCCTTCCATAGCCTTCTAGCGGAATTGTTCGGGAATGACGGTCATGAGGTACCACGATGCCCCATAAGGAAACTATTGCCAGGAAGGTCAGAACCATCGCTGCAGCAAGACGGCACAAGGGCGTCAAAAGCAACACACGGATGCATCTGATGCGGGGAAAATTCGCCCTCCGTCGGATCACACCTTCAAAAGACGGCTCTAAGGGATCCCGCTGCCTAAGAAGAGGCATCACCGATGTTGTGTAGCGCCTTGGACTTCGGCGAAAGGCCTCCAAACCTTGAGCCTGCAAGGGCCTCGGATTCCGCCACCCTCAACTGCCCGCTCTCTCTGCCCTGATCCCATGATCGAGGTATATACGTTTGTGGATGCATGCGCACATACGCACACATATATCTACGTACATTCAAGCATACGTATACGCCTATATACATGCATAGATACCTGCACACATGCATCCATGCATATATATATACATGCATTCACACTCAAAAGGCAGCCGCAGAACGCATACCTAAACAAGCTCGTAATCTCGTGCTCGTCACTGCACCGTTGTTGCTGCTACTGGACGCCCCTACAAAGGCCGTTGTGTGCCCAAAGTCAGGGAGGATCCTCTGATGGAGAACCCGAAATTTTCCCAGGCGTCAAAAAGCGTCCCTCTAGCCCCCCAATTGTCTTCCCCTCTCTCTGCCTCTCTTAAAGGGTCTTCGTGGATATACATGTATATATGCCGCGCTGGTGGAAATCAAGCAGCTGCTATGGCTCAGATATCATTCTGCGCATCCTACCTCTTCGTGGGCTCTGTCGGTCTCCCGAGAACCATTGGACTCTGTAGGGGCGATGTCGCTTTGCATCGACACACAAGCTTCAGTAATGCGACATGCGATTCCGTTCAGCACCAGGCATGGCATCTGCTTCTTCCGGCGGGGTGAAGAGAATGCTGAGTGACCCTTTCTCACGAACCTGTGGCTCTCTAGAGAGTCCCAGTCAGTTTCTGTGCAATAATCCGCTATCCCCGCCTCTGTATCCACCTCATTCTCGCCGATTGTGTCTGCCACTTCACCAGGCGTGCCCTGGAAAGATTGGAGAGACCCCCGGTTGCTGCGGGGATTTGCGCTTTCGCTGAAGTTGTCCTTTAAGCCTCTCTCAAGTGGCATCACCCCCTTCACGCCTCCGATATCGTGCCCATCCGCGCCTAGCGGTTTGGATTGTTTCAAATGTAGATCTGCTCCAACATCTCTGGAATCCCTGTAATCCCTTTTCTGCACCATTGTGGCTTTGTTCCTCGCCAGCTCTCCCCAGCGCCCCCGGTCACCCACGTCTGCTACGCCTCTGAGCTGTCCACAAATGTGTGGCGCTCCTGCCTCGAAAGCCTGTTGCTCCTGTGCAGAAGCCACGCGGTGACTGTGGATGCGGAAACACAGCGACGGTATGCAGTTAAAGGGCTGAGCCGCCGTCCGTTACGCGTCTGAACTCCTGCCCCTTGCGGCTCTTCTAGGAGCAACGTGCTGCGGGGCTGCAGAGCAGCTCAGAGTCTTCTGCGCTTACTCTCTCAAGTGTTTGCATCCAATCAAGCAAAAGGTCTGCGTCTGCTGATAAAGAGATAGAGCGGTTCGCAGCCCTTGTAAAGAAATGTCGCTGTTAAGCGGGGAGGGAGTGAGGAACGCACATGGAAGATGGCGCAGGGCTGAAGGGATAGGGACCCTCACATAGAAGACTGCACAGTTGGGGGGCCATGACCTGCCGATCGAGGACAGGGTACAGATATGACCGCAGCCAGGTAAAGTAATGAGAAAAGCACCACAATGCACACGACGTGATCACAACTTTTAGTCGCCCGAAAACAGTGAGTGGAGGTGTCTTCCAGAGTAAACACCCAGATAATAGATTTATAACCATAAAGGGGAAAGCTTCACTGACGGAAAGTGGGCATACTTTGCATGGGCTGATGAGGGCAATGGACGAGCTCAGCTGACCGCTGGTCGGAGGCCATAAAGTGTTAGAGATTGTTACGTTGCTTGAATCAACGCATATTGCTTCCTTATAAGCACTGTCTAATATTGATTTTCAAAATTTTAACGTAACGGCAGAAAATGCCCTTTAGCGCTTAGAGGAGCGGAGGTACTTTCCGTGCGTAGCGGGGGGTTCGACCAGTGGCGCACTTCAGTATGGCTAGGGCGTGATTATTGCAGCACCATCATTTAGCCTCTCTTTCCATGAAACCGAGGGTAAAAGTAGAATTTGTGGTATGATAAACCTCATAACAGCGTCTCTAGACAGCGCAAAGATAATCTAATATCCTTAACACCAGATCAATACACCTGTTCGTGGTCGTAGAGCCCGTGTTGGTGTTTGTAACCACTACAAAATTCGTCGAACAAAGCACCGTGTTTATGACCATGAAATTTTGATGGCCAGTGCCATGGACGCTGCACCGCCAGAAGGCGTATTGATCCACTCCGTAGCGACTAGCGTCGCACTGCCGCCTCGGGGTCGGTCACCTGAAATGGATGTGTCGAATGGTGGCCATTGTTGTGTCACGCTCAATCAGCCACAAAGATGTGTATTGCTCATTTCATGTCCTATCGCAGTAGCAGCCACTCATGCTTCTGTGGATCTGCCTGAAATGCATTGTTCTTTGCTGTTCACCTTGCACGTGAAACTGTTGACAGCCCTACGCCACCAACATCTCCAGCAAAATCCTGGGACGCGTCATCCAAGAATGAAATGTTTGCCCCGGTAAAGTTCTGGCTTAACTGCGAGCGACTGTAAAAGAAAGTCAGACCCCTCCGTGGGAAGCAGCAAAAGAACGAATGGGTCGAACCCCGTTGCTCCCTCGATTAGCCTTGGTTTGAGCAAAGAGGCAAGCTGTGCAGAAGATACTACCTTGCTGCAGCAGTGAATGTCTTGATTCAAAGCGGCCCCAACCTAAAAAGGGGCTTGTAGCCCATTTCTAGAGCAAGTTGCATTAGCGCATGTCCGTCGAGGCTCTAACCCCCCAATATGGGCGCCACGAGACACGCAATGGAAGCGAACCGATAAAAAGATATGCTTTGGGGCCCTGACACAGTTGTGCTACATTGTTTTTCTTAGCGAGATCACTACGCTCTTGAGCTGCCTTGCGGCGTTTAGCGGTGACGAGGGGGGCGGAGGCGAGGGCGTAGCACAGGGGGTGGTTGCGCTTGTAACTGCAGTCTCACCACGATGGGCCAGAGACTCTATGATTCACAAGAAAGTGCTTCACACACACTGCCTCCGTCACTGCTTCCCTTCCCATTGTTTGAGGTTAGCTGCACATCGGACAGAGCACCTGCGATTATACACGACTTGACTTTTATTTCCTGACGTTGGCTTCAGGCTCCTTCACGAGAAAAAGACACAGGCTAGTCTTCTAACAGAGGGAGCGGAAGAAAAACCTATGACAAAACTTCTACGTAATTCGGACTCTGGAGAATCGCCAAAGGACCCTTTCATCTCTTCGCCCTCCCCCCCCTCCGCGTACCACCTTCCTGACAGGAATGACTCGAGATCCTGCTAGGTCCCTCTGCTGCTATTACTGCTGCACTTACGCAGTTTGTCTTTAAAACTCATGATATCGACAACCAGCGGCGTAAGCGTTCGCGGGTCCGGCGTCGGTTCGAAGGGGAGCGATTCGAATGGGATTTTCTCGGCATGTCGCACCAGCTTAGGCCACCCGAGACAGCAAACACAGGGAAAACACCAGAAGACAGACGAGGTGAATTTGACAAGCCCTACGGCGGTATGCCTTGAAAGCTCGTATCTCTCCTTTGAGTATATAAGAGACTGCCGGCCACCCTAAGTATCTCTTGGGTTCATTTCAATCAATCCCTGTGTCAGTCCGCCCACTCCAGTGTGCAGCTACACTGTTTCATCCGAAAAAAGATAAAAGGTGTTACAAGACCCGGCAGGAATGCTTCATGGCGGTTTTGGCTGCATGGTCACCTGCTTTGTCTCGTCAAACTTCGCAATTACTTCTTCAAATGCCGGCAAGAAAAAATCCTGGAAAGATGCCTTGTCCATCTCCGCCTGCGAAGAAGGCGAGCAATGGCAAGCGAATGAAGGCAACACAGAGTTTCTTATAGAGCAAGGATGAGAACCCCCGGAGAGCCGCGAAGTACGGGTAGAGAGAGGGTCCAAGGGGTTACCACCAGGAGCATTGGGCAGAGAAAACGGAGCGGGTTGACTTAAGTGCGGCTTTCATGGAGCGACACAGCACGACAAAGCCACAGGAGCAAAAATTTCCGGGAGGCCTACACAATGCGCACGGCTAAGTGGGAAGAAGGCACGGCAGTAAGCAGGAAAGACGCTGCAGACCAGGCCGAGGACTGCACAAAGCCCCCCTGTAGAGCCATCACCAGCGCACAGGGGGGTGTGTGGAGGGCGCTTACCTTGTAGAATTCCTTCAGGCCCTGCAGAACCTTTACGATGAGGTCACTGTCGAGACCCAGCTCCTGCGGCACAAGTACCACCACCACGGAAACTGGACGTCATTCGCACACAGCCTCCCTATCCTCAAACGCGTCAACATGCGAAGGGGTGAGTCAAAGTGGTACGCTGAAGGCCTTGATGCTTGCCTCGTAGAGTTCGCGCATGACCACTAGGGCGTCTCGGCTTAAGAAATTCTTTTTCAAGCCGGCGGCAGTCGCGTATTGCAGTAGGCGGTGCACCTTTTCGACCTCCAGCTTCAGTAGCTCCACAGCACACACCCCGTGGGGGGCCCCCTCCGGGGCACCTGGGGCCCTTATCTTTTCTTTGAGTTGCTCGCACAAAGCCTCGGCTGCTGCAGAGCCCTTGGCAGCCATGAGGCCTGCAGCGGCTGCCCCAGGAAGTGCTTCTGCGTTCGTCTTGAGCTCCAGTGGGGAAATCATTCTTTGATGGGCATCGCAGCCGCGCAAGAGCATGCAAAGGTTTCCGTCGGGCAGTTCAGAGCCTCGATCGTTCAGCAGGGGCTTGTGGCATCTCAGGAATGCGGCCATTGCCAACACAGTGGCGTCGGTGGCTGTTCGAGAGTCTCCGCAGGAGGCGCTCCCGCCTTCAAGAGGAGCAGCAACTGCAGACAACAGGCCCGTCTGCGAGGACCGGTAGGGGGTGGGCTGGAAAGTGCTCATGGACATGAGCGATCCCGAGGCAGACGGGAAGGGGGGCTTTGAAATCTGCGAATGGAGGGATGAGGCCCCCGCAGGGGCCCTCCCGTTACCGGCCTGAATTTGGAAAGTGAGGCCCCCCGAAAAGATGGAACAGGTGGCGACAGCGGCAGCTACCGCCAGCGAGGACCAGGGTAGACACATTTGCGCTTAGAGGGAAGGAAGGGCGCTTGTGGCGAGGGCAGTCTCTGCCTCTATCTGTCTGAAGGGGGCGGAGGCGGGAGCTGAGTCGCCTTTTCAGGGCTTCGTGGGAACACACAGCACCGTTTTCTGTCCGTTTGAAGGTTCGTTGCTTGCTTGCAAGGTACACTTCAGGCCTACCCTTCGCTCGGGCTGCTGCAACCTCCAGGGACCGGTGTCTGGCAGGAAACTGTGGCAGAGACAGCCGATGAAGGGACACAGAAGGGAGGGTAGGGGGTCGGAAGCGATGTAACTACCAGTTCCGAGACGCAACACACACACACAGAGAGGGCCACATCGAGAGAGCGACGGCCGAGAGGAACTTGAACACGGGGCTTGACTCGCAGGGAGACACGCAGGCACTATGGGAGAAACGAAACCGAATGTGCTGCTGCCCTCACGCCCACAGAGCCTTATGGACACGCCAAATTCAGAATTAAACCAAACGCTGTCTGCTGGAATGCGCCAGAAGTTGCTGATGAGCCGACAACCGGATGCTGGCTGGGACAGCTTGCTAGGCTCCTCAGCAGCAAGCAGCAGCAGCAAAGCAGCAGCAGCCAAACAGCCCCGAAAAGTGATGCGGGAGGCATTAGCAGCTGCTCCGCAGTATCTTGGCAATTTCTGAGTGGCGATTCTTGCCAGAAGGATGATTCGCTGCAATTCGAGGCGCACAAGAGGATTGGAATGCGCCGCTTCCTACTATGGCTGCCACGGTTCTCCGCCCTCGAAAGGCACAGCGGCAGTGTTCGTCTGTACAGATTCGATCTTGAATTGGCACTACGGCAAACCTGCTCATTTGCTGGCAGCAGGCCAGGGGTCCAAACCCATTCGCAGTCTTAGACACTGCGCCAACAGTAGCAAGTCCCCTGTGTGTGGCAGACGGCACTCTTCGGCGCGCACTAGAGCTGCAGGTGTCTGTTTCACGGAACGAACAACGAATAACTGCTCCGCAACAACTGCTCCCCTTTAGTATTTGCAAAAGGACGAGGAAGGCCAGGAGCTGCAGGGGACAGCCGTACGGCAAAGCGGTCCCTTTGTTTCGCCAAAATGTTGAACCCCAGTAAGAAGTTCATTGGGGTGGAGACCCTCAAGAGCTACAACCCCTCGACAGCGCACCGCAGGAAAGAGAGAGATGCCGAAAAGAAAAAGGTCGGTTGGCTCTTAAACCCACTGCTCGACCATTTACTATCTCTTCTCTTCCACTCCTCCCATCGTGCTGTCATTGTGCCTCTTCCTGCCCTCAGCCTACGAGGCTCTTTCCTCTGTGCCCCTGTTTCTCCTTTAAAACTATTTTCGGTCTGTTTTTCGAGAGGCGCTGTGTGGCCAGCGCCTCTAAAAGCCCGTGAGCAGCTTTGTGGCTTTCCGTAGGAGTTGGTCGAACTCCGTTTCTGTGGATGTTTTGCGGGCGTGTTGTAGAATAAAGCTGAGCGGAAGATTACGCGCGAGCAGGCGCTGCTGAAAAAGAACCCTGTGGCCATCAAAGAGGAGCTCGATAAGCTGGAGGCGTTGGGTACGGAAGGCCTTATTATGTGCACGGTTTGCTGTATCTCTTCTCTGCGGCTTTTCTCCATGGCTGCGTGGGGTTGGGTCTCGCCCATGATCGTCGAGAGTAGCCTCAGAATCGCCGCTGCCTTCCTGCTGGCTTTCTCCTGCTCCCCCTCGCGCACCCCTTTGCATGCGTCAGTGGTTTCGTCTGCGGGGCTTCTGTTACGCAGCCAAGGCAGGCCAACCCATGAGCGACGGGCGTACAAGGCGTCTGCAGAAGCTTCAGCAGCTGTGGGCGCAGGTTGTGAGCTCCGTTGAGGCGGAGCGCCGTGTGCAAACGGCTGATGTCTCTTCCATCGCATCCGGTGATACTCGCTCCTCTTCCTCCACCACTCTCCCCTACGCCAAGTGTCTGCAGCAGAGGCTCTCCCATGGTGAAAGAATCCCAGACGAAGAGGAGCGACGATACTACTGCCCAGAACTGTGCAATACTGGCATATTTAGACGTAAGTCGTATACGGCTGGCCTTCGTATACAGAAATGGATGAATGGATGGATGTGTATGTGTGTGAATATACGCATTCCTGCATCTCCCGAAATTCTGTGTAGCATTTTTCTCTTCTATGAGCCTATATCTCCCCCACTTTTTCTCCTCACTCTAAAGGGCTCTTCAGCTTGTGGCCAATATGTCGTTGTTGCTCCATCTCTTCACTCCGGCATGTGGTGCGCCTGTTTGCCCACTGTCAATGCATCTTGCTTTGGGCACTGTGCACAGACCCTGATGGCTCCATTCGGCCGTATCCGCCCCTCGTTGCCAATGACAAGTATGAGCAAAGAAGAAGATGTAAGTATCGGGGTATTTCTTAAAGCGCGGGAGGGTAGAGGGGGAGGGGAGGCGGGCTGGAGCCCCCTCTTGCATGCATATGTAGCTTCCAGTTGCTTAGTAGGGCGCTCAGCTTGCGTCTGCTTCATTAACTCAGAGAAGCCTGCTCACTCGGAGTGCTATTGTTGCTGCTGCGTGTGTGGGTGCTTGCGGGGGGCTGCCGCTTTGCTTTGCAGTTGTAGAAAGTCAGCAGCGGTTGAACAGGGGTAGGAGAGCACCTTCAAAGGACTCCGATATGAGCAGCGACTCAGGAAGTGATGACGAGACACCCGGCGCTGCCGAAGCAGCAGCGAACGGCAGCAGCAGCAAGAGCTCGGCCCCTCCAGTTGCTGAAACAGCCGAAGCAGCAGAGGACTTTCTGGCTTCCATCCCCCTGCCGTCAGAACCCCCCCCAGTAGATGCCGCAGCCGCACCGACCGCTCCGTGAGGCGCTTACCCTTGATGTTGCTGTGTTACTGCTGCCGGTTTGGCTGTTGAGTTGCTGCAGCTGCAGAAGCGACCAGGGCATCTCCAGGGGCGAAAAGGGCTGCGACAAAATCTCAGCGTTGGCCGTTGCGGGGCACTCGCTGATCGCCTGCTTCCTCCGTTTTGTGTGTGCTCGAGCAGCGCTGCCACTCAGCAACAGCATTTGTCACCGTCTGTTCCCTTCTTCACGGCTCCCTTCCCCGTAGCTCCCGTTGCGCCATGCACCGCTGCAGGAGCACCGCAGCCATCAGGCGGCCCTTATAATGGAGTAAGAGGCTTTAAAGGGCGCCGCGTGGCTGGAACTAGGGGGAAATTTTGGCTACACTTTTTGAGTTGTGTGTGCCATCCTTGCGCAAGGAACATGCTCCTCGTCTCCTCTGTATCGTTCCGTGCTGCTGATCCTGCTTGTGCAATGACTGTGTCCCTCCGCGGGCTGATTGCTGTGCTGTTTCTAGGGCTCCCAGAGACCACCTGCCTTCTTGCCCCCCGGATTCACTGTAAGGCTGCACAGACACTCGATGTCGTAGCTTTCTTGCGTGCTGCCCACAGAGCGGCAGGGAGATGGAGCGCGGTGTACAGGGGCCTTGGTGCGACTTTTTGGCAAGGAGTTCACGAATTCTTAGTGCCTGTTGGGTGCTTGCCCTGGCTAGCAATTTCTGTGTATTCGCCCCGTCCGTGTGTGTGTGGTTGCTCTTCTGTGGGGTGTGGACTGCTCAGCCCCAATTCGGTGTCCCAATGCCTCCATCGCAGCTTGTCGCGCACATGCAACACCAGATGCAGCAACAGCACCTGCAGCAGCAGACTTCTCCTGCTGCCGCTGTACCGCACACCGTGGAAAAAAGGCTTCCCCCGCAGCGGGCACCCCAGCCCCCCCCGAAAAAGCAGCATACTATGGGCAGGCCCGCAGACACTGGCGACCTCAAGGCTGCAATCTCCTTCGTCCCAACGCACTTGAGGTGAGCAAGCACGGTTTGCCCGTCCGATGCGCCTTGTGGTAGCTGGCAAGCCTCTGGGATGCGACGCTCACAGAGCCGTGCCGAGAACTCTCACACATGAGCGCGTGCAAATTACGGGCTCCTGACGCTGCGCGACTCTGTGCCGCTGGACTCTTAAGGCTTCCTCATTTAGCCCCATCGTTGTGCGTGTCAGGACAAAGAAGCTTCCAGCGACAGCAAAAACTCAGGAAGGCCCCTCCATCTCCCGGGTTTCTGCATACTCCATGGGCACTGCAGCGCTTGGCCGACAAGTGGGCGGAGCAAAGGCGCCTGCTGCTGGAGAGGCCGTTTCTGGTCTCGCGCGCTTCTTGGGGGAGGCGAAGAAGCAGCAGGAGGGGGCTGGCGGGGCACCTAAACAAGCTGGACCCGCCGATTTGGATAGAGTGAGTTGGGAGGCAACCAGGGTTAAGGCACTTCTCTGGCGCTGTAATAAGAAACAGACTAGTCGTGGAATTTCTCGTAAAGCCATCGTTCTTGTGGGTCTGGCCTTCAAAGTGCCGGCGTGCGGACCAGCGTTGTCTGTGAGGTAACGGCAGCCCTAGTGCGGGGTGTCTCCCATTGAAAACTGTGCAGGCGTTTGACGAGTTTCTCAAGGAGGTCGGGGCTGCCTAACTGTGCGCCCTTTGAAGGAAGAGGACATAAGCGGGTCGCAGGCTCTTGCGTCCCCGCGTGCACCCGTATCTTCCTCTCTCGCTCTGTTCTACCCACCAGGAGAGCGAGCTGTAGCAGTAACGTAACAGCTTGCAGTGGGAACCTTGGGCTTTTGTTACAGCTCAGGCTCCGCACTGGAGTATTTCAGGGCTGGAGAGCCTGTTGCAAGGGTGGCAAGACCTGATGGCAGGTCGTCACGAGGCTGGTGTATGCTCTGAGGGACGCAACGTAGTTAAGTAGATAATAGATGACGACGCAACATTGTGGTTCTTGTTTGCCTAGGAAATGTTTTCCGATACTGCCCAACGGGACACCGCTCTGGGGATTGTAGACGAGTTCCCAGCTGACCTTATTTCCCTCTTCCCCAATTACCTACCATGTAGAAGTCGTTTTGTAGCCCTGCAGTGGAGGGAGCGCGCAATGACAGCACGCTTGAGGTGTGTATCTTGTAGTGTGGCTGGCTTTTTGATCATATGTGTTTATTGGTAGCGCATGTGGGCCTTCCCGAGGGGCCATTGGATTCCGCCTTTTGCCGGTCTAAGATTAACTCTTTTCGCGCATATGGCAACAATGTTACAATCTGTTTGTTTTTCCTTGCCTTCGGCAATTGAGCACGACGGGATGCGGGCGCCATTGTACAGCAGTTATCTTGGGGAAGGCACTTTGATGCATCTCGTAGCACTGCACCACGGCTTGACGACAGAGAGCCGTTGTGCAGGCAGTCCTCTTTGAAATGCGTGGCAACATGTTACTACCCTTATGTAGGGTCAAGTGTAACTTTGCGCCTCTCGGGAACGCATACTCACGGAATCCGATTCAGGGTGCCTCAACGGGACTCGGACAAATCTCCGCTGGGTGGACCTGCCAAGCCAGCGCCAGCCAGTAATAAAGGGGGCATAGAAACCCAACCTGGGGAGACAGCAGAGTGAGGGCAGCTCTCATGAGTAGAAGGGATTAATAGAGGACGCGAGCCCCACATTTTCAGGCTCCAGGAGGTGCATGGATGTAAGCCTACTTCGCTAGGACAGAGGTATTGCAGAGTCTCAGAGGTGATGAGAGTACCATCTACAAGCGTGTGGGTGGCTGCGCAAAATGCGTAAAAAAATTGATGCGCTTTATAGTGCTGTGCAAACCTCCAGGCATGGCTGGCTGTAAAATGATCGACTTACGATGTGCCTCGCCGTTCTTCGAGTTTAGCTGCGAGTGGTCAGCCTGAGCCACACCGTCAGGAAGGCGGCTAAGATGGCATTCCTGCCGACAAGAAAGGGAAAAGAGAGTTGATAACGAGATTCGGCACATCTGCTTTGCTTGTAGCCAACGCGTCCTCGCAGGAGACATATAGGCCCAGACCCTCTAAAGGCAAAAAGCTAGTCTCCCACCGGAACAACTTTCTTCTTCCCCTTATCCCACCCTTCAGAGTTCCCCACATGACGGAAAAAGGAAATCTACGGTGCGCGTAGCTGCCCCCTCTAAGCACTCCGAGCACTCACATCTAGTTCAATAATTGCGTCTAGCGCTGACGCACACCACTGATTTTTCTAAAATTAGACTAACACTACTCGGCAATAAACAAGATGGGCGAACGGACAGATTGATCAACCAGTTATTCAACGCATATTTGTAAGATATAATTAATGCAGTAGAAAGTGTTTGGTTATAAGCGTAACCTACTCGGATACATTCAACAGCTAGGCGGTCTGCGTAAGTGTAGCAGCTTTAACAACATGCAAACGCTTTTTAGTGCACACTTCATCAATACAATAATTTGTGGAAATTTGAATACGTGTAGTCCTTCTACATATATAATGCCCTTCTCATACGACGTTGATGGCCACATAAGTGGACCTGGGCGGAATGCATTGACACCGGGTAGTAACATGTTTCCTATGGAACTAATGTGCATTTTCTAGAGAGGGCTGTGAGATTCGAAGGTCTGTTTATAAACCCTTTTAATTCTATACTCAATGCAAATGAAACAAAAAGCTGGTGACTGTTTCGGGGAAAACCTCGCATTGTCTCAGGTCTGGACAGCTAGAGTGCGCATGATTGCACCCCCTAAGCACTCCTAGCATTCACTAGTAGTTTCACATCGCACTTTGTGCACCGGCACACAGCACTGAGTGTGCTTGTATTGATCTAACATCAATCTACAACGAATAGGCGACACGAACAGAAAGACCAATTACACAAATTTCCACCAATTCTTAGATGAACATAACTAGCGTGGTACAAACTGTTTAGGTGTAAACTAACACCTAACCCGCTACACGCTTCATGCGAAGCCGAAGTTCTCAGAAGGAACCCCTCGACTGAAAACTCATGCTGCAGTGACAGCATGGACAAGGTTACCGTCGCTCAAAGCGATGCGTCTAATAGGGGGCTCTAAAGTGCACTTATGCTCAATGGCGAGCAACGGGTGGATACACTGCCCGAAGTAGGGTTAATCAAGAGCTCAAGTGTGTGCACATGGTGACGGGGACACAGAGCTGATGGGCGGCACACACAAAGGCATTGGGTAGGCATGCAGTGCAACAAATTCTATTGAATGAGTCACTGGTCCTTCCAAAGGTTCCCGGTGGCCCGGGTGGCAATACACGGTCTGACGGAGCGCTGAGGTAAATATAAAAGTGCATTTAATCACTACATACGTGCGTTTATGTACGAATGCCATTTTCTTGCTCCTTACATGGTGAAGCAGGGGGTGTTGGGCACTGTGGGGGCCCTTCCCGTAGTGGGGGCCCTGGCATCGGCACATGCATGTCTCTGTTTTGTGTCTGATTCCCCACAGTCTTGATTATAACTATACAGAATCAAGAAATAGTAGATTTGGAGGTCTCGCGAGTGTTCTGCCTGTTGCCGTTACAGTTGTTCTTCCCCTCTCGAGATTCATTCCGTTACCCTCCACTCGTATCCCGTTCATCCCATCGGGATATTCGTAGGGACACAGCGGCAGTAGGAGTAGCATCGAACACTCAGTTATTGTACTGCTTAGCTGCTGGGCTTTTAAGGCTGGTCAGTCGCAGCCCGCAGTTCATGGGCAGGACGGAACAATCCAGAGACGCTCCCGTAATTGCGTTTCCACCTTCAAGCAATTCCTCAACCCTTATTCCTCTCTGTGGCCTTATCGTGGGGCTATACTGCTCTTTCGCCCTACCATACCACCAAGGGCTCTGCCACCGTTGGCTTCTGGAGGGTTCTTCCGCCTACTGCTAGTCGAGCAGTCAAGGGAGACTGTTCTCTGTATCATATTTCCCCCCTTTCCCCTTCGCTCTTCCTGTTTTTTGCCACAAAGATGGTTCCTCACTCGGAAGACCCCGAGGAGATGGGGGAGACCTCGGAGGCTTCTCAGCAACCGAGCAACCGGCTGCAGCAGGAGCAAAGGAAGGAGTTGGCCTCTCTCGAGCAGCAGGCTGCCCCCGATACCGAAATGGACGAAAAGGTATTGTTCAGACCTTGAAAGGTCAAAAAAATACAGCATAACCTTAAGGTTCTAGGTTGGGAGCATTGAGGAATATTCTTCCCCTCAGTTGTGCCGTGTGTTGTGTTGGTTTTGCCGTGATGGCTATTCTTGGGTCCCACTGGGCCTTCTCTGAGGTCCGATCATAATGGGTAGCTTTTCACAGCTTGAGGGTATGGGGAGGAGGAGGAAAGCGCGAGGAGAAGTGAGAAGTAATTTTCACCTCGGGGGGGCTGCATCTGGTGTGTGGGATGTGTCAAATGGCAGCTGCGTGCATTTGTTAGGTTACCGCCGTATCGGGTCAGATGTGCCTTTATGATGAATGCAGAGGCAAGCCGCTCTGATGAATTCTCTTGAGCAAGGAGAAACAGGAGCGGCGGCTCTAGGGGGAACGGCGCAGTGCGCCGTCTCCGCGAAGGCCGTTCAACAGCTGAAGGATTTGTTGCTGCTACCAGTAGCAGAGGTTGAAGCTGCGCTGCAGCAAGCCGAGGGCAACCACCTGAAGGCTACACAGCTTCTTTTGGAGCAGGAGCTTTAGATGTATTCATCGCGTTAGCAGTTATCCAAGGCACAAGGGACGGTAAAAGAACGTCAGGGTCTACTTCTGCATCATTTGCTCCGCTTCTGTGCATCCATTTGGCTGGGTCCATTCTAGACCCACCAGTTCTTTGCCAGCCGAACAATGGTTTGTTGAGAAGGCTCCTGACGGACGAACATTTAGTGGAAGCTCTCCGGCCTTCTCCTCAAGGCGTCATAGTCAGTTTTGCGGGCACGCATACACCGGTTCTTTTTGTGCGTTGCAGTGGCGTTCGGTTGTCCAGAAGTGCTGCAGAGGCCTTAATAGACGAACACCTTACGCAGAATGCACACTCTGCGTCTTTTCTATCCCTCGACCTATGCTAGCACCTGCACCGTAGTCGCTAGCGCATAAAGCACTCCTGTTGGCCAATGGCTAACCGAGTTCAAAAGCTTGCTGTAGATGTACATTATGGCGTAGGATTGAAGTGGAGAGGTTTCAGGTGGCTCATGCCTTCCATACTGTACAGCGCTGGACCTTGGGAGGCACTGAATAGAGGGGGCATCCTACAAAAGCAGAGACCTTGTCAAGTGTTCAACCGATGCTCCTTGCTCACTTAGAGAGGCGCCAACGAGCCATTTTCGCAGCTCTAGCACTATTGAGCCTTGTAGACTAGGAAGGAGGTCTTGTTAATGGAAAAGTACACGAAACGCCGTTTCTGATGGACGACGTAACTTGCAAAGTTTTGTCCAACCGTCACATGCCTATTAGAGACAGAATAAAACGTCCACATTTTGCGCTCTTGGCAAATGGCCTTGGTGTAGGGGGGCCTGCAGATTCGTGCCAACCGCTAGCTTAAGATGTGGCGAGGGTAAGGGCGTGTATGATGTATTTTTTGCTGCTCTTTTGTCTGTCAATTGTACAAACAGTCTGTAAACAATTACTGATCTTTCACGTGCGTGCAATGAGCTGCAGAACTCTTAACGAATGATATGTTTGTGGAATGATCTATGACGATGCCTGAAGGCGACGTGCCGGTGAGTCACGTACCAGCACGGCTGCCACTGCTCGTCCATATCTCTTTTTAGAGCTGTAGCGACAGCCTGATTATCTAAGCCAGTGCTCCCCTCTAAGAGGTCCTTCCTGTAAATGCAGCGATGCGGAACGTGCAGGACTAACACACAGCGTGGATGAAAGTCTTGACAACACTGGTAGCGTCATACTGTGGATTTGCTCCTTTGCCTGCACATTCCTGGAGCGTAAAGTTTGTTGGGTGTGCTTCATCAAGCAACGTTGGGAATAATTGGGAAACGATGCAGCGGGAAGGGTGGTGTTCCTGTAAAGCTTCCCAGGTTCCCACAGATTAAATAGTATCAGCCTCTATTCGCGTTTCTTTCATATAGCAGCAATCCGGTAGACTGGTGAATAGTAGTAAACTCTAGCGAAAAGCAAAAGAAATATGGTTAATTGTGCAATTATTCGTTCCGTTGCGAGGCAGGACAGGCTTCCCGCTTACGCTTTTGCGATCGCGTAATCAAGCATGTAGTCGGGCATATCGGGGGGAATCATGACTTTGGCATCTTTGTAGAGGGTGTACTGCAGTGCCTGGTGCTCATCTCGCTGTACTTCGTCGGGGAACATCTTCGATCTCTCATTCAAGGGACACTCGCTCCACAAATTGCAAGGTCAACAACAAGTCCAAGCTACATATAAGCAACCAGCATCAGTCCCTTCTAAATGAAAATATTCGATAGTGTGGAGCTTTAGCTGATGCTTTATATCATGAAATGCCTTGGGGAAGTAGCCCTGCTTGCTGAAGTTAACTGCACAGTCAGCAGAAGGTTGAGGGCAGAGCAAGATTGGGGGGTTCAGCTTCAAGTACAGTGCTCAACTTCCTAGTATTTATGTAAGTGAAACATTTCGAACATATATGCTAAGTGTGCGCGGAATTTCAACCGGAGTAGTGCGGCTGGCAGTAGGGAAGCTTCACAGCCGTTTTACAGGTCGGGGGAGGAAAAGAACATCTTTAAGACCAATATTCAATAGATTTAGCTACTTGAACATTGAAAAGCATTTTTTGCATCGTTGGGTTGCCACGCGAAGCCGCAGCTGGATTCTGGCGTATTCTCGTGCGCATCAGATCTTGCAGACCGTGCCATCATGTTCAAAGCAAATAAGGATGAAGAAAAGGACAGAATGAGTGTAGAAGGCAATTAGTAAAGTGCAGAACAATTTTTTTTTTGAGAAAGACGCACAAGTAAGTGGAAAAAGTGAGCGTGAATAACCCATGTAAATCCGTGGCATCAATAACCGGCATTCCCACGCTTTTATTCGTGGCTACTACAGTACCAACTAAATAGAAATTTTAATGGCTAACATAATGACTCTGGAAACCTGTTTCGAATTCTCTTCTTTCACAGTGAATTTTGCAACCAGCTAGTCAAGTGTCGGATGGAGCCATTTATGAAAGACAAAAGCAATTTATTAGTGCGCATGTGCCTGTTCTCGTTTGTCTAGAGCTCCCCGTATCTGCCCTGTAGCCGTCCCATTTACTTGATTTAACCGAGGGTAGTGCAGTTATGGGAGTACAGAAGACGGTAGCCTGTGGCAGGCTAAGTTACGCTCAACCACTTTTCACCTCAGTTGTTGTACTTAGGAATTAGAAACGATTAAAGGGTAGTAGGTTGTCTGATTGTGTAGTTTATTTGTTGGGATATAGCATTGGCTCGACACAAAGAAGCGCAAAGTTGAATACTATTCACTAAATTCGATGTGCATCTATATGTCGATGCTCGGAGCGCTTAGAAGGTGCAACTACGTGCACCGTAGCGTATTTTCTTCCTTCATGTCGGGAAAGCACAGGAGAGCTAGCAGGAGGATTGATGGAGCATCTTCACAAAATACTCAATGAGTTCTATTAGTTTTCATCGAATCTGGATTCAGGTGTGTACATACGGAAACCGTGGCTTGAGCGTTACAGTTGGTAAAACGGCATGGTTCGATGCAGCTCTCCCCCTCTGAGCCAGTTGCTGTAAATTCAATGGGATGGAGGCAGTACAAACAGCGCTTGCCTAATGTCTATAAGGTAATGTGTAGCAAATTACATGTTTTAAAGCAACATTTTGAGGGAGAACATTCCTGGCGAAGGTAGTTCACTGTGGCGTATTGCCTGTTGAGGAGGCCAGGGCCAACTTGCAAGGTCGCGCGGACGCTGTTGCTCCACAGATGGCAGATAGGAGATATGTCTCAGCTGATAAAACGTTTGCGCACTCTTTAAGACTCGCGGTTGCCGAAGGGCTGCAGAGTGCGAAGAATTGGCAAGGCAGCTAAAGGCCACTTCGACTCGGAATTTGGTTTTGCCATCATACTCCATGACTTCTATGTAGGATCCGTGCACCATGATGTAGTCCTAGGTATGCCATGGGAGACCCGATGGAAAGCGTTCATGGGGCCTCAGCTGAATGCTGTGAAGGTTAGTGTGCCGGAATGTGCTAGGAAGAAGCAAATCCGGGTCTCCTTGACAACGCTCATTATCCCTGTCGTGAGTGCGGTAGAGTCAGGACATCAGTAAGTTAGGACGAGTTCGTCGTACGGGAGGTTCTGCAGCCAAGTAGCAAAAGAAGGTTCTGAGCATGAGTCTCGTCTATCTGGCGCTACATTTGTAGAATCCGGGTTAATGTTCCCCTAATGAGTATCAGGAATGGTTGAATCTCGAGGAGCTTGCGGATGCTCCATACCTCAATGAATTTAAACTGAGATGACTATAAACTTCATTGTTTGGACAGCCGGAGGTGAAGGGTCAGGATAGAACCTGAGTCTTTGTCGCCACATTCAGCAAATTAGCCTATTTTGCCTTTCGCCTAAGCACTGAAACGGGGAAGGAAGTAGCACAATTATTCTTAATCGGTGTCGAGAAGCTCAACAAATTACTCAGGACAAGAACTCCGAATAAGGAGCACACATTTCTCAGTGCGTTCTCTCGTGTCTGAGCGATTCAGCAACACAACGATCAGGACATGGTCACTGCGATTTACATCGACGCAGCTGGGCATGGGGCGCACACCCACCGTAGGCTGCAGTATGTGCTACTCTTTGTCACAAAAGCCCAAATGCTTGGTTTTGCTATTCCTTGCGCTGATTGAGCTCAAAAACAACAGTAAACTCGTGTATCAGCTGCTCTCCCGTGTCCCTACTCTTTACTGGGGAGCCCCTTTGATTCAATCCTGGACGTGGTGGTCCGGGATCAGCATCCACCCTTATAATAGAAGGCTCTAGGATAATAGCTGACTAGTGCCTCAAATTTGATGGGCAAAGCTCACGAGTGCTAAGCATAGCATTGTGATAAGCACCGGTCGGTTGTATGTTTCGAGGCTGAAGATTTGGTCGTGGTTGATCGGCAGGCTCTACGAGATGTGCCCCCAGAGAATCAGACAAAGACGTTTGCGGCCAGGTGCAAGGACTATTCGGAATTCTCTTAAGAACCTGTGCTCTTTCTTACCCAATCAATGTTGTCACAAGTTGGAGGTGCCTCAGGAATCTATATTAGCGTATTGGAGAAGCTGAGCGTTCCAAAGTATCGGCGTTAACGGAGGAGCTTGGAGGCCTTGGAACCTGAGGGCGAATTCGCGGTTCTGTTTGGTTAGCGACACTTGTCGTCATGGACGTGGCCTTAGCATTCCCTAATCGCTCTTCCCCTGCAAATATTCTGCCTGCAAGGCGTGTGTTTATCCATGTTTTTGCCCTGGAGCGCTTCTAGTTTTTACTATCAAGGTGTACTTTAAACTGAAATTTATACACCAGCATCCCAGAGCGCTGTCCAAACATTCTTCTTTGTGCTTTTTGGGGTGAAATCGACTAGACTGCTTGGAGTGATGGCTGAATGCAAGTGCAGAAATCACTCTGTGGGGTGCTGAGACACTGCTGAACTACTGCGTGTTTGAACCCTTACACATTTTACATGTTTTCTTTCGCCTCATGCAAGGATGATACATTGTAGAGCTCCGATGACATTAAGCCATCGTCTGCGTTCATCGTGATAATGTGGTCCTTCACTCATTGTTGGCTACAGTGTGTATTTCTTGCCTTCGATTTCCCTTTACCGGCTGAAGCCCCCTTTGCCTTTGTCACTCGCATTGCAATTACGCTCTTCTGCTTGCCGAGATGTTGATTAGAAGTGCTGGAACTCTTCCGCTGTCCTCCAGGCAGTTGGCTTCAGGGTGCAGGTACGGAAGACGATGACTTTCCCTTTGAGATGGGGGAAGATGCAGTGGGCAAAGCTAAACTTCAACACTTGCCACTCAGCTAATTCTGTTTAGATGAAGTTGAGAAAGAATTGTTGTAATGGTTTGTATGTTAATGTAACTTGTCTATTGTTGAGCAGTAATAGATCAATGCAGGATGACGCAGTGTTGTGTGCCGGTGCGCTAGATGCTGTGTACAGTAAGCTGTAAGTGCTTGTTGTCCTTTAGGAGCGCTGGTACATGCACCCTAGCTTCTCATCTTCCACCATAGTGGCGAGCTATGAGGGGCGATGAGAGAAGAAGGCAGGGGTTTTCTGACAAGTATTTGATGACTTTCGTATGCATTTGTATTGAGTCTGATGTTAGCGTGTTCTTTACGGAGACTTCATATGGAACGTTAAAAACCAACTAGCGGTAAACATAGTTTTTTTCAACTTGGTCACTATATATTCTTACATGGCATGAGTACCTACCTCCTCAAGCCTTAAGTTTATAGCCATCTAAGAGGTCTCTTATTGTGGACAATGGGTAAAAGGATTCCTCCTAGAGGGTGCGAAAAGCCTTCGGGACGAGCAAATCTAAACCACACATAAAAAGCAATGAAAGTGCATCAGTACATTACTAAAAGATTTTGTTTTATTCCAATGGGAGGAACTTTCGCGTACACGGAAGTTGTGATCCTTGTATCTGAGGAGACACAGACCTCCGGACTCGGAGGTCTGCTCCGTCAGCTCTCAGGAAAGGTAAGGGGAGGGCAATAAGGCAGGAACTGGGAGTTCGAACTCCCGTACAGCCTAGCACTTACAGATAGCAATGAACGCTGAAAATTCGGGGCGAAATAGCATTACTGTTTCCTCATATATAAGGATCCGAACCCAGGTACAGAAACGCAGGAAACACAATATCCAGAGTGAAAAGGCATCCTAATCATCAAAGAGTACTTGTAATATCACAGCAATGCGCATGATAGCTTTGAGACATGCTGTCGACACACTCAAGTTTCATTATATTTCTGGGATCTTCCAACTGCAGAGCGAAAACGCGCTTTTTTTCCGGGATCCACCCGACCCGCGGGATCTGTCCGTTGATTTCAATGAACGCAATTCTTCTTTCCCGCCGCGAGATTTTTGCGTTACCTCTGCAAAATACAATAAGAGTGTCAAAAGGTAGTACCTAGGGCTAGGGCTTACCTTCTGTTGAAACGTGGTCCATCTGGTGGAACGTAGACCGGCCGGCGGCTGCAGCTGGCAGCGCCAAGCCGAACTCCTTCAGTAGCGCTTGACTGCGATTTCGCCCGCAAGTTCCGTAGTAACATAGTGACGGAAAGCCGTAACCTTTTCATTCTTGTTGTATATCTGGGGAGAGATAGCTGGTTTGGGGCCAGCGGCGGCGCTGAGCCTG